CTGAGACAAGAAATACAGTCTTAATACATACCAAAGCGGTGGACACGGGAGTGGTATTGGCGGGGGAGGCCTAATGCCAACGCGATGAGATCGGCGACGTAATCCTCGACCAAGATAACCTTTAATTTAAAAAATAGCCCTAAAGGCGCTTTTACGCAATGCAATTTACATTGCAACTTGTAATGCGATTCTACTTCTGAGACATCTAACGTTGTCAGATACGAGCATTTCTTGCGATCGATAACGTTTTTTGAGCATTTCGGACACACTTTAAAAGTTAACTCCCTCCATATTATAATTGCATTGCAAGTTGCAAGGAAATTTGCATATAGTGTATAAGCGCCTTGATTTATATAACTTTTTTTTTATTCGTGAATCCTCTTAAAATTCATGACATTGAATTTTGCCGAGCAGGTTGTTATCCCCTCTGGCTTAAATAAGCCGTAATTATAAGGGATGTCCCCAAATAACTCTCCCCCGATCTTTTGTTGTTAGTTGATCTCTAAGCTCGAGCATATTTAAATTAGTTAGTGACTGTCATATACTTTCAACTTCCCAGTTGTCTAAAGGTGAAATATATAAGCTACGGTATACATCTGATATATTTTAATCTAATTTGTAAATATGAAAAAATAATATGTCTTCGAGATAGCATGCTGGATCTTTTGAATTTATAAACAGAATATATAAATAAATTGCTTGTTCTCAATTTAAAAGAAAATAATGCAAATTTTTGCTAGCAAACCATTTCTCTGCAAAGTGGAGATCATGCCTATATAATGCTTCTTTTCAAGCGTATAAGGCTTCATCGCAAAATCAAATCGTAAGCTCGATGCGAGTGCTTGCGTCTAATTAAAACAGGCTGTCAAGCATTTTGTTTGGAAGAAATTACTAGTTCGCAGCGAGCTTGCGATAAGTGCATGCATGGGCAAGAGCCTTAAGTATACTAAGGTGCTCGGGTAGTTTAAAATGAAGTTATATATAGTACGCTAAAACGAAATAACTAAAATGAACAATCCCAAAATAAAAACCTGAGTGAACTCGAACCCTGGAATCTGGCTTGTGTATACCAGATATTGCGTTAAGTTCGATTATACCAAGATGAGATATGGTCAAGATCACCAGCAGACAAACACTTGGGGTAAATTTTGCCATTGATAGGAATATCTAGAAATAATTAGAGCAATGATGTCACAATTACATCAACAGTGAGGCAGTAAAGTTGTGGTTTTCGTCTGTTCGAACGTTTTTGCATGACGGGACATTTTGGCTGATAATCCAGGTTTTATCGAGAGAAAAGGAGTTTGTCCCCATGAAACATACAAAGTTGTTTTTCTCGTCTTGCTAAAGACACAATCGTCTTGCAAAAGTTTAGCCTTTTATATAGTTATCACTGTCTTTGCAACAAAAGTAATAAATATTGCAAATATTTTGAAAAAAGGATCAATTAATTACTCATGGAAATAATTAATGTCTGTACAAATTGGTGTAAAAAACCTGATCCAAGTAACCAATTCGGCTCTGGTACAGTCGATTTATCTGTACCCTATATATATAAGGTTGCTACGAGATAGCATAATATTGCTGGAAACATTGTTTAAGACATGTTATGTATAGTAGAAATATCCTAGCACATACGAATTTAAATTAGTCAACAATTTTTTTAAAAATTCATTCAAACTTTTGAACACACGCTTGCATGCTTTAACTATTTTTTTCAAGGAAAAAAAACATACGTTGTTTATCCGCCTTAATGCTTGGTCCGGACGAGGAAAAACCGGGCCTTGGGCTTGGCCATGAAATGGCTTTTGGCTTTCATTTTATAACTTCGATTATTACATACCCTAGCTGTGTACTGTATATCTTATTGTAAAAAATCCTACTGTGTATACTTATACATGCAGTACGCCTCTTACCTGAAATATTTCCTGTTCTTAATTATCGATTAAGACGAAACTCTTCGTTTTTCAAACGTGAATTAAGCAATAATGATCATGAATGACTTAAATTCCACTTCTGCCTTTTTTTATATAGCATGAGCAACTCAGATAGCTACTTAATTAATGCTAACAATTCAAGATAATATTGGCTTTGCTTGGAGCAATAACGTCCTGTACCTGCCCCGGTTTCCTGAGTTCACAAGTTGCAGTTGATATATATTGTCTTCTTGATAACAGTATAAACTAAGTAGATATTTTAGTATATTGTTATATTGTCCTTTTGATAAAAATAGGTACAGAACGTTTGCATTTCAAGCCTCTTAACACGTGAATTTATAATTTGGTTCGGTGGATTTCTTCATCACAAGATAGAAGTAATCGTGTGAACGTTTGTTACACCGAAACAGGATTATCTTAGAAAAAGAAAACATGATCAAATGTCGGAAAGAAAACACTATAGAGACACTCTATACATCGTCAACGGAGCAGCAGAGCTTAAATGAAAATCTCCTTCTGTGCTATTGTTTGGCGTCCCAGATCGTCATCGCATTTCGTCCTAAATCTTAAACTAGCGCCCTACTTTCTATCCATTGCCGACTTTAGTTACGTACGTTAAATCTGCGTGTACGTGCGAGCAAGTTAACTCATTGTCGCAAGCATTCAACGGTAAACATGCATGCATATATATATCAGCATAAATATATCATTGTTCATGGCTACTATGCAATGAAGGGGTGAGAATGTACCCTCGTTGCCGACCTCGTATACCTCATCTTTTTATTTTAATTTTATTCTGAATAAGCCGAAATTGAACTATAAGATTTATTCAATTTGTCTTTGAGGAATGTGTGACGCCCAAGATTTCAATTTCTTTCCCCCTTAGATATCTAAAGTAAAAAACAAATTCCGAAAAGACAAGGCATCTTGAGAGTCAATATATGATTGGAACAAAACAGGTTGAGCCTCTGAATTTTCGCATTTCAAAGTCATCTTCAGACAGAATATTTCTTTTAATTGTCGGCTATTCATGGGATTTAGATTTTTTTTCACTTCACTTTTCGAGATACAGTTCCTTGTTACAAACATGCGGACATAGCTACGAACAAGGGTAAAAGAGATCAAAGTTCTTCGTGGTCGTGGAGGTACCTGTAAACAAACCTTTTTTTATGGGTTAACAGATTCGGTCGATTTTTTTCACTGCAAATATATAAGAAATAGTACTATAATCTTGAAATTTTTTGGAATACATTTATTATGGAGTGCATGTCAATCTTGTTACATGTATATTATATATATATAGTAATATACAAAACACTTGCATACATATATTACGATGCCTTGACTTTCTGGACCATACATGAGTAGGAAATATAGGTAAATATCCTGGCAATCGTTCTCTACCATAATTTTTTATTCAAGTCAACTATCCTCCCTCCCCCCACCCCTTACAGTAAATACTATATAAATTTTCAACATTAGTTTAAATGGTAATCTCCATAATGCGATGCTTAGAAATTCTGAGACCGGTAGTACAAATTCGTTAACTACATTTCCATGCACAATACGTTTTGCGGGGTGTTGGTAAATTTTCACTATACATGAAGCATTAATATCACACGATAAATAGTATTACGCGCTCAATTTTTATTTTCGGATGAAGAGCTTTAATACTAATTTTTCAACATTTTTCTTTTAAACTTTTTTCTTTTGTTATAGTATTCAAAGTTTGTCCCAAAGTTCTGTAATTTGTTCCAAAGTTCGTTGCAAAGTTTGATAAAAATTGTTGTATATTCAAACGTTGTGATAGCAGTTAATCTTTGGTACTTTGTTTATTCCAAATGTGACTGATATAATATTCGACGTAAAAATGTTTTGTGTTAAGATATTAAGTAGAAAACAGTCGTATGAGGAAATTATTTTTTGTTTCCAACAGTTCGCAGTCAACTTCGGAATTTTTTTGGCTTAGTTCTATTGTAAAAAAGAATCCGACCACATTGTTTTGTAAAATATTACGTTTTGCATTTAGCTTTATCATGGTTAAGTTCACACAAGTCGAATTTGTTGGTGTGCTTTTGCAATAACCAGGGTTAACGTCAATATATAGTTAACTTTTTGTACAACCGATCCCATGCAGACCCATACATAAAATATGTAGGAAAAAGATTAAAAGCCGGGAACAAACAGGACGCGAGTTATCTCAACTTTGAAGTTCTGAGATATAGAAAGGCGGAATAATACTTCACCAAACATCGTTTCTAACTTATGAATAATGGGGACGAGAGAGAAATTTTCGTAGCCAATCGTTTACTCCTATTCTCCATATCTCAGAAGTTGCGATAACTTGTGTCTTATCTGTTCCGTACTAAAGGCTTCTAGCAATCGCAGCCATTATTAACTATTGTTTTCCCCAAACATTTACGTTGTTATATCCCTCCCCCCACATTACCAATAAAATTACTAAAATATTGTAAATAATTATGCAATATTTGTATTCTAAATCCCCTCTTTTTTTTTCTTCCGAATTAAACTGCAATGTTATTTTTCCCCGTTATTAGTATATTACTAAAATACTACGAATCATGATGTGTTAACTTACTTCCCAATTAGTTTAAGGTGGCTCCCTACAGTTTATTGAAATTGTCAAATACACATTTTGAACAGGGATATTAAGCGATCTAAATTTCTATTGATAAAGCATCCGAAATGTAAAATGCAAAATGACGCAAAAAAACCCGAACTGGTTTCCGATATAAATTTGATTAATCTAGTGAACTCTAATAAATAACTGGATTCGCGGATGAATAACGCCAAAATTTGCGGGAATTTGCGGATCCAGTAAAGTGCGGTAAAGTCCCGCGAATTTTGGCTTCACAAAAACAATGAGGAGGTATCGTTCCAGTTATTTATTACAGTTCACTTGAATAAACTCTATTTGGTGGCCATGTGAAACGTGTCTGTTGCTATAGCAACGGTTGCTAAGCGCAAGTTCTGAACAGATTTCGGCTCATGGTGTTGCCTAAAACTTATATTAAAATTTAGTCTTCTAGCCAAATATTTCGATGACTTAATATCCCTGTTCAAAATGTGTATTAAACAATTTCATGAAACTGTAGGGAGCCACCTAAATCCTCGTACGATGCTTAGAAATTCACACTCATAAATTGATTTCATGAAAATCTCAGCCATCGTACGTTGGTTTCATATTCTACTATCTTTCAGGGCCTTTTTTAAGATATTATTTTGAGAGAAAGCAACCCCCCTGCATAAAATATAAGCAATGTTATATAAAACATATAAGCATGTATCCATGGTTGCCATAATTGTTTTATGAATTAGCCAAAATGCTAACTGAGGGGTGTAATTGGCCCTCGGAAGTACCACGGGGGTACCACTTTCATACTTTGTACGCAAAAACAATATTGGGTGGATGCATGCTTCTATGTTTTATATAACATTGCTTGTATTTTAAACAGGGGGGTCGATGACTCTGAAAAGGATTCCTTAAAAAAGGTCCTGCTATCTTTCCCTTACGATTATTTTTATTACGATACTAAACCCCTTACGATTATTTTTATACTAAACCCCATTAATTGTTAATCAAACTTTTCAATCCCTTACCGATTAGTAGGAATATAAGACAAAACAGGAAAGCAGCGTCAAATAACTCTCCCTCATCAAATGTGGTTTAGCGACTGTCTGAAAAATATCCGATTCCCGACCTGAAGAAGGTTTTCTACTATAGGCTAATCTCCTTATATACATTTGGACTTGACTCGCACAAAAATGCAACAATGAAAACCAGCCTTTTGGTTCAAACGTCGAGAGCCTTGTGCCGAATACAGTATAATAGAATAAAAGATAATGAAGAGTTTCAAATCATCACCTCGTTGCCTTTGGTGCATTTGACACGTGTCAATTACGGCGCAAAAGACAGGCTGGAATTGGTTATATATGTTAGGCAGTCACTGAGCCACATTGTGAGGACAAGTTATTACTTTGGTTGGTCGATTTTCCAGTGATGCTGACCATGCAGTACACGCATTTCTATAAAAAAGAGTGAAAATTGTAGCAATCGTATGGTATATACCACACAAAGTGGAAATTAATCATTCTTGGCTACACTTCGTTTATCTTTAACTGTTTAGGGCCTGTTTACATGGAGGGTCTGTTTACATGGAGCCAGTTATCCCGGCTAGGCGAGGTCAAAAGCGCATCACATCAAAGGCTTTAATAGCCGGGATAACTCGCTCCATGTAAACAGGCCCTTACAACGGTAATCCCACCACAGTTATTACCAACTTCACGAAGCAGCTTAGGGAATGATTTTTTATTTAAGATATTGATCCTTATATAATGTGAAAGAAACGGGAATCTGTCTTTTCTAACAGATAAAAAATATTGCGATTGAAGATGTATAGATAATGCGTAAAATACTGACCATTCTAATATGCACAATTCATCTTGATTGTGCCTCTCCACGGGACTCTAATACTTGCTGAAGACAGCTGTAGTCACCCTGAAGAAATCCATCAATCACATAAAGAAGGTCAAATCTGTTAATGCTCTCAAAGAATTCCTTCAGATGACTTAAGTTTGAGGCGCTGATGAGCCTTTTTCGATCAATTTGGAAGATAATTTGTTCAGCACTTAGAGAATCCGGGAGTGAAAAACGTTTAGCCCAGTTCTTTAATTTCTCCTTGTCAGAGGTATGGAGAACTTTGGGAATTGTGACCAAAAGGGTCTCGTAGGGTTTTTTCAAGTTAGCTGCCGGGGATTTGGTTGGATTCGCTTCAGGTGGAGAGAGGTTGGAATCACCCACCTGTGTTGGGATAGCTGTATCCTCATCACGTGTTGAGGGGATCAGAGCATCCCTCGGAGTGATGGGATGTGGGTCATCTTGCATCGAAGGGAGCGCAGCATCCCTCTGTGTCATAGGAGATAAGCAATCTTGTGTTAAAAGCAACGGGTAAACGCCGCGTACGTTTGAACTTGAACTTTCGTGATTTCTTTCAACTGTAGATGTTCGCCCATATATCTTTTGAAAATTTTTGGATCTTTTTTCTTTATTTTCTTTGGCGGTTTGTTCAACGAGGCATTGTCCATGAGCGGCTAAAAGCGTTTGGTGATCCTTTTGTAAAGTGATAAAGTTTTTCTCAGTTTTTTTGAGCTCCTTGATTCTCAACCTTAATGTTATCTCATCATTAAAATCAACGCCACTGTCGTGCTCTCTGTCTATTTCCCACATGATGTAAATTCGATTTCGTCCCCAGAGTAAAAGATCGTGAAAGCCCTACAGTACAGAAATGCAAAAGATGGCAAATTAATTTATGCTTAATAAAAAAAACAGAATCAGTAAAAGTTGCTTCCAGTGAATTCTAGAAAATCATCCCCGAGCCGGTGCGCAGCGCCGTGCGAGGGTACTAGTTCCGCCCGGAGATTAGGAATTACACCCGAAACCCGTGAAAACTTAGCGGAATCCAAATTTGTTCAAATTCTGTGTCATGGACATTGGACGTTCAATGGTCATGGTATACTTGTGCGCACGCGCAAAATTTGAACGAGTTAAGATTGGTAATTAGCAACTTGGTAATTGGCTAAGACAAAATGTTTGTATTTCAATGAAAAACGTCGGCAATTTAAATGTCATTTTGCAAACTATTTTTTTAAAAAAAATGTTTCGTAAACAGAATATGAAATGCGGAATCAAATTAAATTATATAAACACTGGGAAGAATTTAAAATATTACTAGCGATGAAAAAGAACAACTCGTAGTTTATAATCCTTGAAGTGGTAGGTGTCTACTTCGTTTATTTCGTGCATGTTTGCTGCACGAATGCATTTTATGAGCTTGGTATGTCGTTTCGCGAAGACCTAACCGACTATTGAAGGCTTTACACAATCGTTTTAACCTATGTTTTAACTTCAAATAGAGTTCTTAATTAAAAGTGTCATTCGGAGTTTTGATATAAAAAATATTATACTTTGAAGCTTTTATAATTTAGAGTCGACTGCATCACTGCATGATTGTGAAATCATTGTGAAATCACAACATTCGACTTAAACTGTAAAAGTCTATAACTTCATGCAACGCTGTGCAGCAGGCAAGCGGGTAATTTCACCTTTATTACGACTGTGTTTGTTTCCGAAAAATTTGAAGCATCAGCTAGCATCGGCATTACATTTAAGTTATTTCATAATCATTATAAACTGTGAAATAGCGAGGGTTGCTGCATGCATTTATTTCTAGTTTATGTATACTGCAGACATCATACTAGGGGCCTTAGACGAGTTACGCGAAAACGAAGTTCGTTCCGATTCTCACAATCATCAATCTCGTTCCCCGAGCCCGCGATTCCTCTAGCGAGAAACAAAGGCTCTGACATAATCCAAACCGGAAGCCAGAGATCCTGGCTTCCGGTTTGTAACGGTGTTTGTATCTCAAAATTAAAACGGCATGAACGATCAATCAGAATCATTTCTGATTTCGATTATCCCAGAGCCTTTGTTTTCTCGCCAGAGGAATCGCGGGCTCGGCGAACGAGATTGCACAATCATTTGTTTATTTTAACTTTTTCCCTACATTTGTTACAAATTTAAGGGAAAGAAGTGTCTTCCAGTCGAAAATTAGAAATAAATGTTTTTTTGACATTTTAGTATTGACTAGCGTTCTTCGACTCTATAATAAACAGAACTTTTAACTTAAGCCGCGTTTACACTTCAGGCCTAGACTTGACCAGGCCTGGTCCAGGCCCAGTTCGAAGCACGTAGTGTAAACGCGGCTTTAGTGACAGAATTGACCAAATGCAGATTTGTAGACTATCCTTTGTATTCTGCCTAACCGCTAGTGGCATGCACTGATAAATTGAGACGATTTGGGTTTTATAAAGCTATTATAATACATGACTTTTAAACTCTGGATGCTGATTGGGTTAAGTCTGTGTCTGTTGATATAACTCGATATAAACGGAGAAATTTTTCTGCTGTTCTGCATAGATTATACTACTTTTCGCCATTGGGATGTCGTGTTTCCAAACAAATTCTCGTTTTTATAATCTGGACATTCTCATGGAGCTAATTTATCCCCTATATAATCGTGTTGTTAAGACTTTTAGAGTTCAAGTGGTCTTAAAACATAAATAGAGCTTGGGGTTAATTTAATTTATGCATACGTTTCCCAGAAGTACGATGTGAAAGTGAAAGTTTGATTTGTGCAAGATATATGTACATTCCATTTAACTGCTTGTCAACAACTCTTGTTTTCTCAGATTATTGTACCACACATTTGAATTCGGTCAGATAGCTGGTTCGTTGACCCCGTATACGATATGGAAGATTCTAATAACAATCCAAACTATATCCTATATATGGCTACTTCGTGGATGTTCGGGAAAATGGGGAAACGAATATGTATAAAGTAAACGATGTATGCCTCAAAATTTATGATTGGCAAAGCGAAAACGTGAATGAAAATTGAAAATCACAAGGTATAATGAAAGTTCTAAACTATGATATTTTAATTTTGCTCAAAATATACAAATAATCATGCAGTCTAACACTTCAGAAGCTTGCACATCCTCTATATATAGTGTATATATGGAACTCTTACTTCTTAGCTATGACGTTATCTTCACCTGAAGAGGACTTGATTTTACCAAAAACGTATCGTAAACCTGAGGGAATATCGAATGTTCACAAACCTGTATATATTTAATACGCTTAATAGCTAAATGTGAGCTAGCTTAAAAATAGGCTACTATAGGATCTATAGCAATTGCCTCGATCTCCGTATAACTAGATTGATAAATTTGAAAACCGTTTAATGTTTGGAATGAATTTGGTTAAAATTAGGACGAGAAAAAAGTTTAAAGGCGAACTTAGTGCAAAACTGGGGAATTGCATGGCTAGAGATGTCATGGCGTCAGACCTACATTTAAATCTTTGTGCAAATATGGATAACAATTATTTTGGAAATACACGTGCAGAAAGTGTGCCAGAGTGCACATAGTCCTCTCTACTTACAATCAACAAGATTATAAAGAGTACAATTTTCAATTATATTACGTCCAGAACCCCTCGCGTCGGATACACGGTGAATTTCAATTAAATACCTAAATTCTGTCCATCGACGCAACGAACCGTATACACTCAATTCTCTCAAAACAAACAGCTATGCATGGGTTAAAACAATCATACGGAACCCCCATGCACCTAATTAAGTATATTTACCATGTAATTAAATACCAAACAGCCTAACAGGGTAAAAACTGAAGTTGAAACCCCATAGACTAACTGCTAAATTACCACGCAGGGAAGCAGAACACTTATCTTTGACTGCCTACATGCAGCTATAGACTAAAATTTGACAAAAAGTGTATAGTTTCCTAGGCGTTGGTACAGTTCCTGCTAAAATATTGTCACCTTGTATTCACTTTCGTAATTGACATTTCATTTTTACCTATTGATATTTATACCATCGAATCACATTCTTGCGCTGCAGTATATTTCTATATGTCAGCAAATTTGGCATGAGTCAGTTTCTGTTATTTGAGTTAAGTTGACAAGTACTTTGCCACAGCTGCAGCCTGCAGTGCTAAATTGTGATGACTCGTATATTTATCATTTTTTTTGCTTCACTCAAATGTAATTTATGCATATATGTATTCTAAGAAGCAGTACAAAGTGAAAGTACAAATATGCTTTGTTGTACCTAGTGGAAAGAAAAGTAATCTGTTGTGTACATCTCGATGGACTGTGTGTCTCAACAGCTTTTTACCATTTGCAGGCCCTTGCATTTGTAATATACATTGGAAATCGTTTGGATATTCAAGACGAAATGACAATAAGTAATCGACGAAAGACCTTAATGATAATTCATCATGCATGTATGGCTTAAAACATGCAAGGCAAGCAGCAGGTTTGGGAAAACGTAATTACATGCATCTAGACGCTATACTCATACAGTTGTTTGATGGAGAGCAAGGCAGAAGTTCGACTCACGAGGCATGCAAGGTAATATTTCAAACTGTATTCATTTCAGCAAACTTCTATATAGTAAAACACAAATTATGCAGATACAGCCATTCGAATCTTATCCGACAGCCCTTTGAATAGAACAAATGTAAATTTCATGAACTGTATCAAAACCAAAACAACGCGTGTACAGAATAATATAACAAAAATATATTGTTTTAAAATACAATACCACGGTACAGCTCGGTAGCAAATTATTTAGGCATTTTTATTATTGAATTTTTGACTTTATATATAGTCATCATCATGTAGAAATGATAAATTACAAGTGCACGTATTATATAAAAATATAGTGATTAGCTATATATGTGGCTAATACAATTTACAGAAAACTGATAGTTCTTTGGATGTCTCAGTACATGTCATGATTAAGTTAGAATCTTCCATATCGAAATCTGCATGACACCATGCAACTTGTATAGCTATATAGCATTGCGTCATCTCTACCTGACTGCATGAGACTACATACGATTTACTAAGGAAAGAATTTATAATATTGCTCTCCATCAATCTGTTCGTTTCCTTTGGAACAGAGCGTCCCAGCTAAATACAGCCTATATCTAAAGATGTATTTGCCTGTAGTATTGCTAAAAGCGAAGGACGTTTGTTTAATAAATATTCCGTAGATAAAACGATATATGTTAGTCAACTATACATCTATCGTAGGGACGATAAGAACAGACAAAAAATACAGCATCTAGCTTTTGTGGGCCCAAGTATCAGTTTTGGCACAACTAAGACGATCTTAAAGTGACGACCTAGATATATTTCGGTAGGAAAAGGGATGTCCTTATATTTTAATTGTTTGCCGATTGAATCGCCAAACTCCTTGCCATGCAGATTTTTGGTCATAGCGAAAAGTTCATACTCTAGAATGTGTAAAAACAGCAAGACACTAAAATAACAACGTTTAGAATCTTTAACCAAGAAAAGGTCGGGGTTTTGGGAGACTTTTCTCGATCTTTAAAAAGTGCCTTGTCATGTGTTTCGCAAGCTATATTGCATGTCACCGAAATTGCGGTTTGAATTTCAGCTTACCGGGCTTCGTTTATTTTTAGTTCTAGCTGTTATTATATAGTTACTTGGGCAATAGAATACATAACTTACTTCACAAAAACCTCTTGCGATGTTGGCCAATAGTAGTAAACTATATCATTCCTGAATGGAAAAGTCTCGTAATCTCCCCGTACGTCAGTTAAACTCGCTACTGTGGCATTATGGGTAGTAAGGGTCCCTAACTATCCCAAAGAATCCACTAGAAGTTTTTGTGCCAGAACCATCCTCAGAAAGTTTTACAGCGGTAATAATTACAATAATTGCAAAATCCTAACCGAACCGGCTTATCCCGTCAACAAATTTTGCTTCGGCCATCGTGACCGATGTTTCATGCATGTGTTTAACACCCTTAGAAATGCAGCTCATAATCAAAAGCATTTTTCAAGGGCCCTTGGAAAGTCCTTGAGAAACCTAAATCATAGAAATGGCTGACAAAGTGCTTAAAAATTGCAACACCATAGCCCAATTACCACATTCTATTTTTAGGTCGCTAATTATTTTTATAGGTGTTCTTTAAGAGAATTTTGTTTTGATTTATTCTATAGGTGTTGCTTTGTCAAGATATCGATTACTATATCATGATATCGATGATGACTTGGTGCAGGTTAGGGAAACATTTTTATACACGCTGAAATCCCATATTTTTGGGCATGATGAAAAGAAGGATCGCAAGTAAAAAAAAGTTTAAGGTAAAAAGTTATTTTGAAGCAATGCTACAAAATATTTTAGTAACACAATAGGCCGTTTATTCTGTCAGTCCTGACAGTTTATTCTGAAAGCTTATATTCATGCATATCTTCAATGTCAAATTTTTACATGTTAAACGAGGGTCAGGGTCCTGTTGAACATTGCATATTCCCTCATACATTAAAAGATTTCAGTTAGGTTGTGATAACATCAAGGTTAAGGTTTTTTTGAACAAACCCTCCTTGAAAGTTAAGTAAATCAGTCCTGCAGCAAAGCAAGTCAAATCAACCACATATGTGTCTATACATGATAGATTGTGAAGTTTACCACTATGGTGACTGGCGTATGATGATTGATAGTACGAAGCAGGGGCGGATCTAGGATTTTTCAAACATAAGTCCAAATTGGGAAATTTTGAGAAAATTTTTAAAATCGGCAGTTCGGAATTCTGATTATTTCGGTTCATTTTAGGGTTCATCACAATGCCCAGGAAAGACATACTAGATTCCGCTTATTAATAAAAAAACAACGTATTAGATGCCTCGTGGATTTATTAACAGAGCTGGCGAGGGTCATATTTCAAAACACACAACTTCGTACTCCCATATATTATCCCCTTATGATAGCAATAGTTGATTTAACACAAATTAGACAATATCCTGTAATAAAATAAACAGAAATATCTCCATTGCTTCGCGTAAGATGCATTAGGCGTGCAAGAACTTTACAAAACCATGCTAATCATAACAAACATAATATGCTATAAATAGTCGCGGATATTATAATATGCATCGCAAACTTCAATATAATGCAAATTATCAAACACTCGAACGAGTGCTGAGTAAGTAGGCTTATCCATTCTAGTGCATTTTACGACGGGATAAGTCTTATAACCATAATATTATGAGCATAGGAACTAGGAAGATTATGATATATAAACTATATTGATAATTGATCAGGTTACACAACAAAGCGGCATGAAATCAATAACTGTGAACGAACTTGTCACATGGAACACTCCTAAATCATTATACTTTTAGGTATATTGCTATATTTGTTATATTATATCCATGTTAAACGTTTCTCTTACCACCACAATCTTAGTTTTCATGTTCAGCAGGGATATCGTGATTAATTCCCTCGTCTATTGAAGTCTAACATCAACAAGTTGCTCGCATAAAATCGCTGCTCCACGATAAAGTTTATCAAGATCCAGTTATCTTGTAAAATCCTGCTTCGAATGTCCGCGTATTAAAACAATTTTCTAACAATAAAGTTCATTGTAATCCTTCGTATAACAGAATATTGGAAGTAGAGAGCCTGGCTTGGTTTAATAATAAATTTTGCAATTTTATCATTCTGAAGACAGAGCGATCGAACCCCGTTTAAAGTTCAAGTCAGTCCGGCCACCCCGCAAATCAGTCGAGATAAGTCCGGTAAATTCAAACTGACCAATCGCAATGCAAGAAATGGACTGATTTGGCCCCGTTAAGGTGCAAATCAGTCCGGCCACCCCACAAATCAGTCGAGATAAGTCCAAATGGCTTATCGACCAATCAAATGAGCCGGCTGACCCACCCGATTCTGCGAGTTTTTTGCGTTTTACCGCTGCTCTGGATAAAAGAATGTTGTTTTTCTGAAACTGAACCCTTTAAACTGGACTATGATTATAATTCTTGTTATAATCTTGAATGAGGGTAATTATTCATATTTCAAGATAAATTTGAATATTTAATTGTCATTTTTACTGCCAAAAATACGTAAGTCGCGCGACTGACTGGACTTACCCTAGATCCGCCCCTGGTACGAAGGCAATAATATACTTCTGATTTTGTTTTAAAAGTAAATTAAAACTACTTTTAAATGTCTATATAGCACAATAATCAGCAAATACACGCCGTGACGCATAGGAATATTTTATTTTATTAATTACAAAAATCTTGCCTTCCTTGAAGAATACTGTTTATCGAATTTATATATAACTGACCTCTCCCTCATGCATGCAATATGCTGGACATAAAGTCAACAATATATAAAGCACAATGTCTTTCTCGGCCATCCTATATACTTTACGAGTATAGTTCAAAGGATTTTGTAATATAGCTTCGCTATATAGCTTAGATATATTGTCACCACACAAGTTTATTTCACGTTTCCTCGCTAGATCTAACCTTTAAAATTCCTTCCTTTATAAAATTGCTTCTATAGCTGTGTTGTATGTATATAAAGTTCTATTTTGTCAAGGATATCGTACACTTCTAATGTGTAATAATCGACTTTATCCTTCCCGAAACAAATTTTGTTTACATAAGTGTGCGCGTTTCATGCATTTTTCCGGGAAAATGATGCTTGGGGAAAACCCTATGCATACATGCATATATAATTTAACTTCAAACTTCCGGCGCTCCCTGTATATTTTTCCAGTGAAATAGAATTCATTGGAAACCACTATACATTTATCAGCATATACCTATGTTTTGAAGTTTAGCTAGGTAGGTCTACCTCACTGATAAACGCTTAACATTTTAGTTTACACGATAAGGTTTACGATTATAAGACGTTTTATCGGCTTTTCAACATATACATAACCAATATTCAGAATGTCCCTAAATAAACTAAAAGTGAAAGAGAAACTGGTCACAAATAAAGTCGACAAATAGCTCTTTAACAAACGCTTGTGAAAGAGTACAAAAAATAATTGCCAATAGTTCATACATTAAAATAACATTACCGCGACAGATAGTTATCTAACCTTGGTTAATGCCGCTAAAATAGCCTCTGGTCGACCTCACAGGTAAATATTTGCAGCTATTGTGAATACCTATTGAAATTAAAACGACGACAGACGCTTTTCATTCATATAATATGTACTAAGAGCCACAAATATTTATTCGAAAGCTGACACTTACCGACTAAAGCAATTTCGAAGTGTCCTAGACTGGCATATCTTCAATAGGAAAATTGGCTAAAGAATTGTTAGCTACGTTTTAGCCTTCTTCCAGCGCTCGTCAGAATGAAATTCGTTACGTATTTTTAACCTGGAATAAACTATAAATCTTAGCTAGCTATCGTATATCAAAATGTAAAAATGTACTTCGGGACGATAGTATGGGACGATATAGATATAAAACGCACACCTATACCAAATGGCGATCGAAAAGTATAAATGCATTATTTCAAATTAAATTTTAGGGGTTTTATTTCCGCCGGAAGTCCGGAAATGTCTGAAATAAAAATTCAAAACGGCAAAAATATATATTTTGATTATCATGAATGTCATATTTTTATGTTCCAAAGAGACAACATTGCCGATTGTATATGTGTACGACATTGATATTCTGAATGTAGAATAGGTTTATTTCCTTATATGAGGCGTCCAGGCAGCCTGATAGAGTATTTAATATTTAAATATATTTATGGCGTAACGAGTATGATTTAATATCGAAATGTATGTTAGAATGACGTTTACTTGCATGATTTCAATTGCATCATCGTATTGCAACCTCGATACCTGTCGAACTGGTTAAACCAGTTCCTTTGTGCGAATAAAAATTTTCCCATTGAATGTGATTTTCCATCTCTCTTTCACTTTTTAAATGGCCGATTGCAGCGTCATGTTTTTGTTATGTAATATGATATCTAAATTATCGAAAACTTGTTTTCCCAAGATGAATTTTCTTCGATAAATTTTCTGATATTTTGATATTGTGAATACTTTAGATAAAAGATACAGTATTTGTATCATTTACACCTTATTAGATGTTTTGGAGGTTTAAAATTGATGAATATTTTTGCTCCTTGTATTTTAGGTGCAAGTATATATAATATACGCCTATAACCTATAACCTATATTTAGTTTATTTACTTGTTCTATATATAAAGCACTAGTAAAAATAACCCATAAAGTTTATGCGAGACGAAAGGTGAATGTTTGTTCATATTTGAGGTGTATATTTATCAACGACATAAGCATTGTATTTCAAAATAACATCCGTTCCTAAAACACACAGTTGTTACGGTATATTGGCTTTAATGTATTGTCAAACGAATATCGCTGAAATTTTGTACAGTTTTGACCTCTTAATCATTTTGGCATGAGTTATATATACCAACGGGCATTAAGGTAAAGTTACCAACAGGCTTGACGTAAAGTAATCTTCCTATCTCGTATATCTTGCTGCCCAAAATATATAATAATACGGAAACGATAATCCTCCCACTATAAGTATGATTCCTGCAACAATGTCCGTGTTAAAAGTATACGAATGCAATTCGATAGCTTTTATACTATAAATAAAGTCGGAAAAAAACTTAGAAACCCGAAATACAAGCTGCTAGGTATACTGAAATACCCTAGGGAAGCCGTAACCGATGTGCTAAAAACCTTTGAAAATGCCGCTCGTATCAAAGAAACTTATTTCAATGGCATTTTAACAGTCCTTAAGAGACCTAAAATTAGAAAAAAAGCTGACAAAAAAGTGCTTGAGAGTTACAACACCATGCATAGCGTAACAAAAACACATTTATAATTTTTGAAGTGCCAACTTGGGGTATAAATTCAGTCTCAAATTACACCCAATAGTGTGAGGAATTAATGAACTCCATGCAGGAAAATATAAACAGTGGATGTGAAGAAACTTATTATTCTGCTCGAATTCAGTTATATGTAACCATTTCTGGGGAAGTTAAATATGCAATGTAAAAGTGAAATGTGATTTGTAATGGAAAAAGGAATTATTCATTTCCGCGTTAATTGTGTCCATCAACAACTTTTCCTGTTACAGATTCTTGTAATACCGGTCAAAAATATCACTACAGAAATCCTAATATAACTAATATACTGCATCATGATTTCATAAAGAACTTCATGCAAGTTCGTAGAAACATATCTATAGATCTTGTTGTTCAAAAACTGCAACTGTCAAGAGGGGCACGGGAATCGTTATAGTAAAGAAGATCAAGGTAGGATAATATATAGTTTCAAATTAATATATACAATAATATATACAAGCAATTGTTAATCATCCGTTATATATGTAAGTCTGGTAGCATGTGACAGTGTATTTTGAAATATCGCACATCTCATCATCAACATCCTTCATAAATGAAAACTGATTTGAAATCGATTTTATAAGAACGAAAAAGGCATTTTATTAATGGAAAGCGAAACAAACTCCCTGCGAAAAATAATGCCAATATCTAAAGACAAATTGAAGCCAAAATGTTTCGGAAATAATCAATTATATGTATGTATACATACCGGCTGGAAAGCACGGATTGACGGTTCGTAAAACAGCAAGTTAACTTGACTCAATCGACTGATGTCTGCTGAAGTAGCTACGCAGCGAAATATGTGCCTATAATAATAATATATTCATATACAGTGGATCTAGTTTCACGATGGCAGTCGATGTTTATAGCCTGAAATGGATAAAGGGTAGCTAATATTTCAGTCTATTATATAAACTCATCATGTTTCGCTTTGGCTTTGCTCGGGCAAAACTTCCTTCCTACCATGCGATGAATGCTTTCTAAGCCACGGCGTTGTAGATATTGATGTTTAAATGCTTTGTTTATTCACAATTTGTTTTTTACAAAAATAATTACCTGGCTAATTGTAATAACAGCATTTTTTCCTCTAAACAGAGGATATTTTGACAGTTCTAAATACTAGCTACAGTAGTAAAGCCTGAAGGAAAACCCCGCTTTAAACTCAGGTTAAAGTCCGCTTTCCAATGAAATACATTCCAATCGAAACCGCTAGCGCTAGCTGTTTATCGTGATATGCTTTTACATCAAAGTTTTAGAACTTTCCTAGTAGACAATCGTAATGTATATAAGTTTAACACTCGAGCTTCAAGCTGTGGTATCAAACGAGTTGTCAGCACGGAGCCGTATAGCTTTAATACGCGGGGTTTTCTCAAATATGGAATTTCCAAAATAAATTGAAAGTGAAAGACAATTAAGCGACGAATATCATCAACTCTATTGGGCTTCAGAAGAAAGTTTTGGGAGAAGTTGTGTTGACTCTGTTCATACAACAAAATGGTATGCTGACAAATAGCTAACAACCTACCTTGGTGAGTTTTATCAGTCTCTCGTCGGGACGATCGAAGTCGATCGAAGTCACTATGAAAACCTATTAAAAAGTAAACAGGTAATCAAGCGCTTTTCATTTAGACTGAGCGACATGTATTTTATTCGCAGGATGACATTTATACACTTTCGAATTGCTTTAGACCGAGGCATAGTGTGGAACGAATTTAATAAGCTGAGCATACGTTGCATCTTATTCATTTCAAGCGCTATATTAAAGCTAGTTAATGTAGCAAAGAAATCTGTAATTTATTCTTACCTGGAATTTTCTTAATTTAGTAATTTAAACCTGAAACAAGTGAATAGCATCTATCTACTTTCTTTACACTCTGCTAACACTGAGTTATAGGCTGTGCCTGACGTAATTTTAATTTTAATTTTTATTTTAATTATACTTTGATATCTCAAGGTATGATGGGAACCGGAAGTAAACATGTCCTCTCCAACACATGTTCTCTTTGGTATTTCGAGAAGCTTCTGCATACGTAGGACCTCTTAATCATCAACAGTATAGTTTGTATTGGCGACTGCCCAGAATTCTTAATTTAAATCGATGGTTTATGTGTTTATATTAAGGTCGATAAACGAAAACGCAGAATTTCGAAGAAATTCCAGAATTTCCAGGAAGAATCATTCAGTACCCTAAAACAGATATTCTGAGATCATTATGCTGTATGCTCTATTTTTATATCCCAAAGCAACAACATTGCCGATTGTAGATGAACCTTCCTACTGTGGTAAAGTTCTTACTCTTTTTGTGCAAAGTTGTTGCTGCCTGGTAGAGTAACGAGAGTTTACATAATGATGGTCAAATTATGTGCGCTTTATGCCAGCTCGTTGGCTATTCCCATGGTTTATTTACTTGCTATATATGTGTAAAGCTTAATATGTGCTGGTTCCTAAAACATATTTATTGTATGTAGCCAGTATGTTGCTTTAACAATTTAATAATTTTGCTACACGTCTGACCCAATACGCTTATTCAGTTCTATCTTGTGGATCAGTGTATAAAATGTATCAACAGTCCCTTGAAAGCCCTTTCTAAATCTAAAATGTACTCGACGAACTAACTTAACACTCTGTGCCCTTATTATATTCTATATTATATTATATTCTGTATGTTATTATATTCTGTACATTCTGTGCCCTTATTATACTCTATATTATATTATATTCTGTATGTTATTATATTCTGTGCATTCTGTGCCCCTATTATGTTATATTGTATTATATTCTGTATGTTATTATATTCTGTACATTCTGTGCCCTTATTATATTATATTATATTATTATATTCTGTACATTCTGTGCCCTTATTATATTCTATATTATATTATATTCTGTATGTTATTATATTCTGTGCATTCTGTGCCCTTATTATATTATATTATATTATTATATTCTGTACATTCTGTGCCCTTATTATATTATATTATATTATTATATTGTGTACATTCTGTGCCTTTACTATATTATAATATATTATTATATTCTGTACATTCTGTGCCTTTATTATGTTATATTATATTATTATATTCTGTATGTTATTATATTCTGTAATTCCTGTGCCCTTATTATATTATATTATATCATATTATTATATTCTGTGCATTCTGTGCCCTTATTATATTATATTATATTACATTATTATATTCTGTTCATTCTGTGCCCTTATTATATTGTATTATATTATTGTATTCTGTATTTTATTATATTCTGTGCATTCTGTGCCTTTATTATATGATATTATATTATTGTATTCTGTATTTTATTATATTCTGTGCATTCTGTGCCCTTATCTTATTATTTTATTTTGATAGGTTCTATGCTAAATAATGTATCTGCAAACTCAAAGCTCGAAAGCCAAATACTATGACTTAGGGACTCGAATGTTTATTAATTCGGATTTATACAAAATATACAATAACACCTGTGCGGGTTTTCCCTTATTCTATTATTGTCTTTACCACCAAGTCTCGCTTTAGTGCAATATAGTTCTCTTTACAACGAAGTGAGGCTTGTCAGTAAAGACAATAACATAAAGAAGCCAGCATACATGCATGTCTATATCTTATATTATTCAACAACTGCATTATTTGAGGGTATACTTCCATCCATCATGATGTAATTTATTTTAAGATTCCTGGAATTCCATGGAGTACATAGTGAAAGTATAACTGCATGCGATGAAATGTCAAAATTGATTTTAGCTATTGTATAACTTAGGTCAACTCTGTCTATCAACAAAATAAACCAATTTTTTGCACGCAGATTTGAACATACGTGATTACCTGTAGGACGTATTGAATAAAATACATCGAGATTTTTACAGTTATATGTACAAAGGCAATCCCATAGGTTCTAAATTAAATAATGTCAGTAAAAAACTGAGGCTAATAACTCGAAAACCAACTATCTTAGCTATATGATCGGGTATTTATTAATTTTCGCTTCACGGATGCACAATTGTAGACTATATTTCATTATTTAGCAACTACATGATCGATATTAGCTGTGTGAATGTATAATTTTTGCATACGAATTCCTGGAATTGATGTGCGTTATTTCAAGGAATTATAATTGTACTTTACGAGTAAAAATCAGAAAGCGTTTATGCTATTGTATATTTCGGTAAACTAGACCAATTTCATCAAAATGGACTAATTTTTCATACAGATTCTCTAACATTCTACATGAGCTGTACTCATACGCAGGATGAAATATTGTTGAGCTTTATATAAATTGACATGAAATATATATCAACACCTGCCAAGGCCTGAATAACTATATCGATACCTTGAAGGCAAACAAACAGACGATGTATGGCTCAAAATTTCGTTTTAGAAATGATCATTTGTCGTTGAGAACATGGACAAAAAATGGGAGTCAAGGTAATATACCAAGGGTGAAGTGGTGATTAAAGTTTATATAATGTATCGAAGTAAAGAGCTTATAAAAATGCTTTGGCCACCAATCTAATGTTATGAAGGAAATCCATGTATATTCAAATGGGCCAATATATATATATGCATGTGTATATGAACAACAAACCATTAACAAGCCATTAAATGTGGTATAACAACTGCCTAAAATAGACAAAACACTTCTCGACGTTTCGACCTGAGGGCCTTCGTCAGGAGAGTTTGTATGAAATGATCAACAATATCAATATTTGAATTCGCGCATGCAAAATAGCTAATTTAAAAGTGCCATTAAATATACAGATGAAATCGAAGCGCATTACAGTTATAACTTTCGCAATTTTGACTGCAATTGGACACATGCAATGTGTTATTGTCATCGAGGGGGCAATATTTCAATGCTCGAAGGATTCCTTTGGGTTTTAGAATACAGAAAGCTACTGTATAGTAAAAATTAGGACATACAAACATACAGAAAAGCAAAGCAAGCTCTTCGCATTTCTAAACGAAGCGAATGCATTTGACATACAATTTCAACTTAAACGAAACAAATTAAGACTATTTAATGATTCTGTACTTGCAACATGGGCGCAACAATGTTCCGTGGATAGCAATTATATATATTTTCAAGAAATTCTGCTGTGTTTCATATACTAAAGAACACATATACAACCTCGAAGGCATCTATTGTAAACAATTGTAAACCTGTGAATGGTAAATTATATATTTAAGGCTGGTCTTATAGAATTTTAGGGGTGATCTTTGCTCTGTTTACAATGTGAAACCCATGCATCATTTCCCAAATACTAAACCGAATAGGAGTTCTATAACTCTCCCATATCTTTAAGCTACATGTTTTCAACCTTGATTATACTGCATGTGTCAAGTTTATATATGAGCGATAAAACACGATAAAGTTTCTTTTCTACATTTAGGCCTATTTCATGAAGTTAATTTCGACCACATTGTCGTTGCATGCGTTGCAGAAGTGCAAGCTAAGCTATTTTAAAACGAAGTCAAAACGTCAAGAATTTGTGAATTCCTGGTGATATCGAAAGACGATGCAATGCTACTATACCTGTTTATCCTTGAAAGTTAGGCGTAGGTTCAAAGAGCGTCCCTGAAATCTATAAGAAATAAAAATTTAGCCTTTGGTTTAAACAGTTCGTGTCCTAAATGTAGTTAACTACAAGCGGAAAGTCCAAATGCATTTCTTCAGGTGACGATAAAAACGCAGCGAGAGTGCTTATTTCGTTTCTTCAATCGGTCCCACATACATATAGGAAGTATCAGTCGAACTGAAAAGTTGAACTGAACAGTCAAACTTACTTTTGGACTTGACTTCGACTCAGTTTCAAAATGCACAACACGAAGAAAGGAAACTCGTCGCCAGTTCATGCACGTTTCACCATGCACTTACGCAATTAAATGCCATGCAAGCATATCTATCATTCCATCACCGCCCCGCTCCCCGTCATTGATAAGATTTCAATTTGTTTTCCGGAAGGCGGGTGCTAATTGCACATGAAACGATTTAGATTAGATTAAGATGAGATTATTATATATTTGAGTTTGTCATATACATTTGGCAGGAAAATGGTCAACTTTGGCTGTTTAGCAATCCTGCATTGTGTGTGTGTTTTTTATTGTTTAAGCAAATTGGACACGTATTCAAATAAAACAAAAGATAGAGTTCAAGTAAAACGGATTTAAATAAAACAGTAAGGTTCATTTTGAAGAAGGGTTAGTCCTATACTATCCATTATCGCGTAAATTATGCCGCATGCAAAGAATTGTCATTGTAGTGAAAGTAATTTATGAGTGACAATGGTCGCTGTGTAGAGATGTAGATACATTTCAGTATAACATAGGAGCAGCGTGGCAGGGTCTTCAAACAACTTAGCATCAAATGTGGTATAACAACTACTTAAAATAGACAAAACACTTCTCGACGTTTCGACCTGAGGGATAGTACTTTTTTCCATTGGCTGATTTCTTAGGGGGATCCCACTTTGGATAACGGTTTCCCCCCATTGCTTCAAAGTGGAAAAAAGGTTATCTTCGGAACTATAACTCTTTGGAACATGACTGACTTACTAGCAAGGTGATGTGTGTGTACACTATGATTTAGTATGCTACGCTCGTCCTGCGACGGGAGGAAAAGTTGCTGCATGTATAATAATAATGGCTTGTCATATATATAATGTATCGCACAATGATCACAATTTAGCTCCTAACACCTAATATATTAAAAAAACGTATGAAGCACTTAAGATATGAAACAACTAGCTTATGGAGCTGAACACTTCATTAAATGCTGAAACAATTTACAACTGTCGTACTTTAGGGGATTGCCAATTTGAACATATAAAATCCCCTAAAAAATTTTCTCAAGATGAATATGTATGAATGATTCAGAATGAATATAATTTGGAATAATTATCATCACCCTAAATTTCGAGCAACCACCCCATTAAACATTAAGCTGATAAAAAGAATGGGTTGCCTGTCGGATTACGGTAGTCGTTACATTAAAACTGTTTTACAAGCACACATAATCGTCCAAAAGTAGACGTGAGGTTGTAAGCCCTAACCTGAATGCTCTATGGGGTGATAATCCCCTAGAACCAAAGCCCTAGGGGTAATAATCCCCTATAATTTAAGTTAAGGTGATAATTCCCTGTGGGTAAAGAAGGGGTGATAGATTTTTCGGGGACTTATATTTGGTCATATTTAGCCGGAGAGAATTGGGCAAATGATACAAACGATAATTCTCCACAACTTTTGTCGAAGGGGATAATAAAGAACATCCATGAAACCGTCCCTATGTAAATGACATTAAACAGCAATAAACTGGATGTAGCTAAAAAAATTCTATTTCAGTTTTTTTTTTATAGTAACAATGAAGTTTCCCCAATTTACAACCATGGCAATTATATATAGTATATATGCATATGGTATAGCTATCGCGTCATACGCGCCAGACAGATATACTCGTGTAGTAAACAAGTGACTTAAGATCTTAACTATATGGTACATGCATGAATGTTGCATATCTCTTTCGTCCTCCTTGTGATGAGTGGTATCTAGGATATAGACTATAGTATCAGTAATATGTGTTATATGTTATATATGTATCAAGGTTATATACATTTTTTGAAGCTACTTTGAGCATTTCGTCTTCATGCGTCCAGACACATACATATATGCACTTCAGACGTTCTCATCTTGTACATAACCTTTTGCAGGAAATGTGTGATAGTAAAGAAAGTCTTAAGTGTAAATATATGCGAGAAAGCATCTCTCACGACCTACTTATGGTGAATAGAATCACTAGCAAATTGCAAATGACGGAGCCTGAAAGCTGAAAAAACCTGCCGACCTTTCTATTGCATCGTCTCGATTACTTACTACCTCTCTCGTTTGTTGATTTAGAACGAAAATAATCGTAAAAAACAAAAGACAAAAACTGCTCTAGAAATCGCGGCCCTCTCGAAGACCTGGTCTGCGTGGCCTAGTGAGTAAGATCAAAACATTCATCATAAGCATTAGGTCAATAGAGATATGGTCTGGAGGCTTTATCGCAGATCTTTTGAAATTTTGCATGCCAATTAATGTGTCAGAAGCATTCCCAGTTGATGCCATTAAACGATTGTTTCTTTGCAAAAATAATTCATTGTCTCTGCCATGCGTATAGTTGCATTAAATTTGCTGAGTTTTCAGACCATATCTTTATCGATTCGTGGTATAGTGATAGTGATCTTCATTGGGGAACACTATTCTATGATGCTCTGGATACTTCATGTATGCCATTCCATAACATAAGTAACCATAATCGCCAACAGTAAAAGCATCAATGATACACATTATATCTATTCTATAAATTTTATAGAAGAAATCACTTAGATGCTTTAAATTCAAATCGTTGTTGGCAATTTGATTCAATTCAAAGAGGACGTTGGTAGAACTTCCGGTATTTGGGATTGCAAACTCCTGGTGAACCCAGATTTTTAGCATTTCTACCTCATGAGAATTTAAATTCTTCGAGATGAACTGCAAGAAGATCTTATAGAGGTCGCCTTTGAGGGTTGCTGCTGATGTTGGATACATTGGATCGATATCTGTCATTGCATAGCAGAGGTGACTGTAATCACCAACTGCAAAGCTATCGATGATTAGTACAAATTCCATTCTATTGATAGAGCTGAAGAAACGACTAAGGTGCTGTAAATTTGAAGCGTTGTCAGTACTTGTGATTGGAAATCGACTGGCCCAGGCCCTTAGTCCTTCAACCTCTGAAGGTTTAAGTTTTCTCCAGATGAACTGTAAGAGTAATTCGTGAAGGTAATGCTCGAGAGTTGTCGTCGATGTTGGTTGATTCAAATTTCCCCCCTGTGTTGAAAGGTTTGGTTCGTCCACAAAAACACCGCTGTCTGTATCGCTATTCATTTCCACAGGTTTAAATAGTACCCCTTCAAAATAGAAATTCATAGCACATTATTTTCAACATCATGTTCATCATAGTTGTTTATAATATAACATTTATAGTACGCGCGTGCTAATTGGATGAGAAGCGTGTTTCAATAACTGTATAGAAACACGAAAAAGGTTTTCAATTTCTAAATATCAATCATATCAATGCACTGCCCAACCTCGTACCCAGGGTCCTTTTACCTCCGCTCCACAGCCAAATTACCTGGTAGTCGCTTTCGCACGCACGCACCCGTTCGATGATTCTGCACGTCTTGCTCCGATTTTGTGTGCGATATTCGGCTCTTGATAAATAAATAACGACCAATAAATCAGTTACGGATGATCAAAATGAAATGAGGTCGAACAAACATCAGAACATTCGCGCGTTCCGTGTTTTCATCTATCAAAACAAAAAAATCGCAGCAGAAATTACAAGTATAAAACGGGCTTTTATATGATTTCGGATTGCTTTGATACACTTATACGACTGTTATTAGAAATTATAATGCCATTAGTATTAGCTGGATGAATCGTCATGTCATATTCAAGGAAATTTGAAGTTCAATTTTCAAATTAACAGATACAGTAATCCCTTAAAAGTTGAGTTAAAACAATCATTTAAAATAAAAGGCTTTGTCTCTCATGATCTCATCTGTAAGGCAAATTCGTTATTTATATAGCCAACCCACTTGCTATTGTTTTAAAATATGTGAAATGCGTGCGTAGGTGTATGGTATTATGGCGTATTAAAATTGCTACCCTTGGCTTTAGAGCTAGCTCGATTCGATACTTATTCATTCTTCGTTATATATATCAACACCTCGAAATTGGACCGACCTATACTATTCCAATAACCGAGGAACTAGCAAGATGACATTATTCAGCTCGCGAAATATCTAGCTTGGCATACAAATCTCGTGATGTCATGCACCGAACGAAGCTATAATTCGTATATTAAATCTGAGAATATATGCTCATTAACTGGGTAATTGCATCTATATTCGTCCTAACAAGGCATCCTATAGTAAGTATATCATAGAAATCAGCATTATATGCTAAAGATAATGTGCCTAATACCTCATGGTTAGAGATCGTCATCCACGCGTGTTTCTCGCGCGAGACGAAAGCAATAAAGGGCGTAAAAACGAAACAACATTGAAATTTTAATTTAATTTAATTTTTTTAAATGAATCATAAAAATTATTACGAATGCATTAATGAATTACATATGAAATGAATTGTAAAAATTATTAAAAATTTTAGAAGCATTATGGCTTTATTTTTCTACTACAAGTTTAATTGAAAGGAAGGAAAGAGTAACCGTAAATCCGGGTAAACGGGTCTTTCCCTGCATGCTAGGTCAATAGATGAGATGTAACGTAACTATAATAGCAAATAGTGCATGATTTATAGCTGTCTCGCCCACAGGGACTGATGAATTGAGGAAAAATATCATTATAGAAGGCCAATTACGCTTTTTTTACCGAGGCCTTGTTAATCTTCATTTCGTATCGCCAAAACCTCATCCAATGTTTGTTTATCGGATGTCACACTGCAATTTATATGTCACTTTAAGCACCTTGTTCCCAGGCCACATTTAGATTAGATCTGGATTGCATTTTTTAATTCGTTTGTTGAAGTACTTCATGTAAAACGCGCTTTATTCCGAGTATTGAATTCAATAAAATACTTTTTTAAAATTGTAGAGCCCGAGTTTTCACTACAGGTTGCTAAATACGGTGTCTTTAAGATTGCAATGCCAATTCTGAATATTGAAGTATCGATGGGCAAACTGTTACAAAATAGGAGCATTTTTCCAACTTAAACTTATTTGTTGTATTGTAACATCACTTATCGACGCGCTGTGAGTCGCACTGTGGGCTCAAATACTGCCACTCAATGCGTTGTTAAATTGAAAATATTTTTCGAGGGCTCAATTTCAGTGTTAAAAGAAGAGAAAAGATATTTCTAAGAGTTATTGTTTTATTCTATGGCAAGTAGGTAAAATACGATTCAAGATAAGTGCAAAATTGTTCGAAGAATAAAAAAGGTGTTTCCCCTAAAGGCCAAGGGGATTTCCCTTTCTGAAGCATCTTTTTTAACAATGTTATGAATTGCCTTTTCAAAATAAATATTTATCCATCTATTCAGCCTTTCTTAGAGGGCAAATTTTAGTTGTATTAAGGAACGATGCGAATGAATTATGCCTGCGTAAAAGCGTTGAAGACCGAGAGGTGTTATGTTGTCATTTCCCGTGGGTGAGTGAGAATTTAACAGACAAAAGCTGCTTTATTCTACTATAATCGAATAAAAATAGTGTCCATACTTGAGCAAATTGGGAGGCTGAATAAGAACCTGAACATTGGAGACATTTGCTGCAACGCAAAAGACGCAAATCAAGTGTAAAGAGCTTAGCGTGTCAGTGAGATTTGAATTTTAAAAAAATCCCTTTGAAATTGAAACAAAATACCGGGGTTAGTACTGCATATGCATCTGTGTATACGTATTAACACGTCTAATATCCTATTAGTTTTAAAAGGCCCATTACTTACCTCCCTTATAAATTATAGCTGCAATCGAGCAGGCCTTGTTCTATCGTGCCTACTTAACGCTGTTGATGAGAATAATAGACTTGAGACCTGTGACGAGGTTAAACGTTTCTCTGCATGCCGTTTTAGGGAAGCTAATCAACCAATTGAAATGGTCTATTCTCGTACCAGTACCCTTCTTACGCGCGGTCGTTGCAGGGCGCGGCGAATGATGGATAAGGGGGATGGCTACTATAGTCTAATAATAGTTATGATATTGTCACATGACAAGCCTATAAATTATTGTCGATAAAGTATTTTTTTACGTTTCTTGCTGATATAACTTTTAACTGATATTACTCCTTAAACATGTACATCCAAGATTGTCAGGCAGCCTCTCGAACTAATAGTTATTATCTCGCGACCTTGCAAGCCTAAAATACAGTATGTTTATTAGCCATTTTTATTCGAGACGTTGTTGAAGAAGGGACATCCCCTTTGGATTCGGGGATTTCCCATGGCCATATAAGTTACTTTCAAAATGTTTAGTTGTTATTCGACATTAGTTGATATTGTTTTTCTAAAGTTCTCTGTAATTTACCCTGAAAACAAACATGACATATTATAAACTCAAATAATGCACATGAATAGGATAATATAACGTGTCAGTACTAAGTCTAAGTGTTTGTTTGTCGCGAGCCGGAATGCGACGTCTAAATCAGTTTTCCCGTTTTCAATTAGTGCTAAAATTGTGAGAATATTTCCTTGGTTTTTATTTTTTTTCTCAAAATTTACCCCCGAAACAAACAAAACTATATCATAAAGTAAGTAAAAGTGGTTTAATCGACCAGTATACAACGTACTTGAACCGTAATCGAAGCTAATCTCAAGCGAGTATATAGTTGTGAAATTCTCAATAACATAACAAAATCGAAATTGCGGTTAAAAGTGTTTAGTCAAATCATAGCTAGTTAAAAAAACTCACGTTTTTACTTCCAGATCTGATCAACGATTTGTACCCTGGCGTATGTGAACATATGAGCACACGTACAAACGCGACACTTTAAATTCTAACCTGAACAAAATTGAATGAAGATTGTGGAACAGGTTCTCTTTTGCATTCGTCAGAATGATAATTCCATAAAACGTATCGTGTTGTCTAAATAGGCCTTAAAAATACTCCAAATGTTATGCACTGGGCTTTACATATTGCCTGGATGAAATGCGTGATTGGCATGTCAAATCACATGATCTGAAATGGTTAAGTTTTATTGGCTATTCCATGATCATGCCACAATATCTGAAATGGGTTAGGTTGCATGCAAGCTGAAAAGTCTATTAAAGGTAAATAAACAAGTTTGGATTCCGCTATATACCATACATCAGAATATCTTCTAATCATCTCTGGGAGATAATTACATAATTTAGGACCTAATAGATTACTTGGTGATAATTAAATAGTTAAGAAAAGAGGATGTTAATAGTATATGTTGTAAAAACGCATTATAAGTTATAACTTACCAATATTATATATATATATATATTCGCCATTTTCATGGTATGGCCAGAGTATTTTGGAAAAAAATTTTGATGGCGAACAAAATTTATTGATAAATAAATTCAGTATACAACCATTCATTATTTGAATATTTACGTTAATTACAAATATAAGATTTGTGATGACATGCAATGCACTAACTAGATTAGACTAATTTTGGAAGTAAGATTAAGATAAGATAAGATAAGTATAGATTGAAGTAAGTATGGATCTCGAAAACTGAAGCGCTTTTATAAAAAACTTACAGTTAGCTATATATATGGTATTGTATAGTTATATTTATTGTTTCAATTGTAGGCTATATTGTATCATGCATATACCGGCTGTCCTAAAAAAACCGGAACCCGTATATTCAAATCGCTGAAATTATCATTCACTATATGCAGTATGATTATTATACACAATAATTGAATAAAGTTCGTAGGATTTTATGTAGTTTGTAGATCCAAGATAACACGCAAAAACGGGGGAAATAAGAATGTTCATCTGCGGATTTCGTCTTAATGCCTAAATAGTTATAATGTAAACGGATTCCGCGGTTGTTTTGGACAGCCGACGTGTACCATGCACATATATCTCAGCTTTCGTAATAAAATTCTGGCATTTATTGCTGATTAGGGCTGGTTTTCATTTAGTTTGTAATTGTCGTGAACAAGGCATTTTCGCGGATGTGAAATAGTCCGCTCAGAAATTTGTCGTTATTGTTGACTAGTACATAAACACAAAGCAAAATCCTTATGCAATTTCGTAAGACAGTTTCGACTAAATGAAACTATAGCCCTAAAACGTTATCTCGTGCACAATATACTTAGAGATTCAGACCCTTGTTGATTATAACTATACTATATAATAGAATAGAGAGTGAAAGTCTTAGCAGTTGCACGCTGTACAGCCCTATATATACTACATTCATCCCAGCCATGCAGCAGCATTCGTAACTAATTTCTGACATTTAGTATAGTCAAAAGGTTAATCTCATGCACGATATGCTTAGAGGTTCAGACCCACTTGAGTATTAATACTGTAATGAAGAGATTGAAAGTCTTAGCAGTTGTACGCTATAAATAGGCCTATAGTATATTTATCCCAGTTTCCATAAGTTAACTAATTTGTGGCATAACCTAAATAATTTGTGGCACAAGGTTAATCCCATGCACAAAATGCTTAGAGGTTCAGACCCTTACTTCTTTATTGGAATAGAGATTGAAAGTCTTAGCTGTGGTACAATATATATAGGCCATTATTATTCATCTCAGTATTCTTAATTGTTGAGTGGTTCATCTCCACATATAATGCTTTAGAGGTTCTGACCCTTAACTGATTATTCGTAACGGAATAAAGACATTGAAAGTCTTTGCAGCTGTAGGCGTTGCCACCTATATTACTCATCTTAGTCTTAGTGCTTGCATCTTGAAGCTCAGTATCCGGGCCAGTTGTTCAAAGCTAGGTTAGCGCTAACCCTGGGTTAAATGTTAATCCAGTGTTTTAGTTTATGTGCTTGTGAAAGACTGTTCTTTACAAGACTTTAGAAGATATGACTTCTATCAGTCCAGGAAATATTTATGATATAAAGATTTGCTCTTACCCAGGGTTAGGCTAACCGCGGCTTTCGAACAACCGGCCTCTGTACTGCATCGTGAGGTTCGGACCTTTCGAAAAGTGATTTAAAATCTTATAGTAATTTTACGGTATACTATGATATATAAATACTGATAACAAATGAAGGTGGCCCCTACTTTCCTGAGGGAGAATTGGACGCGACTCGTAACTAGACAGTTTTTTCGAATAAAATGAATTAGATCGTGAGAGAAATACGTAAGCTATACGGAGAAAGATGATTATCTTTTAACAACGTTCAAGATTATTTTAACCCGCTCGAAATCTATTTGATTCTGAAAACTGAAAAATTCCGAAAAATCGTGTCGCTTTACCAAATCCCCCTAGTGGAAAATAGCCTTCATCAACAAAGTTAATATATAGAATATATAAAAAAGCAAATATATAAAATTATATTACAAACTTTCGATAAACGTGAAGATTAAACTCCGGGTATTTATCCCCCAAAGCTGCGTCTACGGGAATTCGAGGTAGACGTTTGGTCGCCTTTAGCAAAGCTTTCTTGACAGATTGGACAACGTCTTCTACATAAGATACAGTAAATACAGTTGACGGGTGATTAAGTCGTATAAAGTCATAAAGTTATCCTGTGATTTGTTAGTCGACGGTTCGAATAATTTTGATATTTGGTAGAAAATGGCTATTGCACAGCTAAAAATATACAGAGTGAAGTTTTGATTAGTTTACAAGATATCTATATATACATAGCAAAAAATGAATTTCTTAAGAAATTTAATTTTCTTTCTTTAAGAAAAATATTTATTACGCGACTCTCACTGAGACTGCTTGAGTGTATAATTTTAGTTTCAATTTGCTCTCCAGATAATTTGAAAAAGTTATAAAATTGCAGGTGAGGCAGAATTTCAGAAAGTACAAACAAATTTACTTGTTATGATGATGCGAGATATGCAAATGATCATGCAGGATAACTATATCTATTTCGTATAAACTTTGCTTACCTTCCATTCCTCCTGATCTGATTCTCGCATTCCCTGTGCACTCTATGAGAACATGGCAATGTTTGATATCCAGTGAATGCATCCTACGAAAACAGAAGAAAAAGGATTGTTTCATATAGTTATTTATCCTTTTCTACGTATCATTACACTAGTCTCATGAAATGGATGAGCTAAAGATATATATAAATCTGATTGGCTGAGTAGCGTCTTAATGAAAAATTCGCCATTTTCATGTGCATGCAATTTAACACTGTTATTTTTAGGGAGTTATTTTAACACCAAAAAAGGGGTCAAAAAAAAAGGTTCAAAATGAGTAGCTTTTTGGAGTAACAAATAACTCCACTTCTGGTGTTATAATTTAACACCGCTTTTGGAGTTAATTTAACTCCAATTCTGGACTTAAAACATAACTCCATTTTTGGAGTTAAACACATTTAACACCGTTTTAGGTGTTAGGCCGGTTTTCTACTATATAGGTAAATTACTTCGATCGAAGGAAATTTTTCGCTTGATTTTCTTTTCAATTGTGATCTATCCAGTAAATCTGCCTCGGTTTAATTTCACAATTGAAAAGATAAATAAATTGAGCGAAATATTCCGTTCCATCGAAGATTTCTACCTATAATACCGATCGAGTCAACAAACAATGCAGCACAAATATCGTTATTATATTATTATAATATTGAATACATGAGATCAATTACATTTCTGTTTGAGTACAGCAAGTCAACTACGCATTAAAGGAATTGCTTCTATAGTATAGCTCTTTAATACTTTTTATTTACACTTTAACACACATGCACATTTGCAAAAAATTTAGAAAATGTTTTTAAGTGGAGTACCATGCATGCCTAAAACATAATGGTATAGTCATTAAGACACTGGTTGTTCAGTTCTACTAGAGTTCTACTAAGCTAAGACTCACTCTACCAAGATGATGACCTGGCTGTATAAGCAATACTGATCCACGTTTCTTCTTTTACAATTTTCCTCGTAGTAAAATTTTCGGAGGTTTCCTGTTGTGCCAATTGCACGAAACGAGTCTTCAATCTACGAACAAATAGAAAAATTGCATGTATATGAGTGTAAATTCGAGTAGTGTGCTTTGTATGCATATAACAGAGCACATTGTTCAACAGACCTTCAAAATCTATATGTTCTATGTGATCCACAATGCAAACATACTCAAACAAATAAGCAGAAACATGTGAGTATAAGGAAGGAATAATTTCAAGTAACTTAGGCTTAGCTAATATAAAAAGAATAGGAAAAAAATTCCACATACCTAGATTTACTGCATCATGGTAAGTTGCTTCGTCCATTGAGAATTGAACAGTTATTTTGGGGTTGTTTTCAACATCGTTTCGCTAGGTTAGGGCCTGGTTAGGGCTTTCTTGTATTGAAATTTGTGTTTGAGTTTCCCATTGGCATTGCTTCTTCTACCCTCTACCGGGCATTGTGGACTTCTGTCCTTCTACTGCTTCTAAAGATACGAATTCGAATTGTTTATAGACTATTAAAATATCCCAGGAACTTTAAGGTAAATATCGGAGGCTCGCGATATCATGTATTCATGCTGATCAGAAACAAAAAAATACTTCGCCGTCAGTTTTGCGACTGAAAAACTCTTTTGGCAACAGCCCCACAGAAAAAATAAATCGACCAGCATCAAAAATTATAGAAACAACTATTTGAAAAACATTTTAGAATCAAACTATAAGAATCTTGCAATAAATTTGTCTGTTTTTGCAGGCCAAGTTAACACAATAAAAAGGCGGGAAGACTAAATGCAAGAAAAACTTCAAATATTTACCTTAAAATAGCTCGCACTAGTCGCCAAATCCAGCTTTTCGCATCCAAAATCGCAAGTCCTCTACTAAGTTTACAATTTTCGAATGAAAAGTACCGAGAAAGAGAACTTTTTACGGAGCGAGCGCGGCTTCGTGTGTACTTTGCAAATATTTCGCCAAGAAAGACCCGGCCACTGAGCTGTATAAAGACCTGAAGTCTTAGCATAGGTGTCCCTGGCAATTCAACCCACATCATGAGGTTTTCTTTTTCTTGATTAGTTGACTCAGTTTGTCTTGATTTTAAAATCAACTGTCAAAATTTAAAATGAAAGTTAATGTTAGGATACTATCAGTAATTTTTTGCTTTATTAATTTATGAACATATTCTGTGGTACCTAACAAACACTTATTTCTTCAGTTTAATTAATCTATGATTTGATGTTGTTGGTGATTTTGTATAAATGTTATTGAGGTCTCCAAGTGGGACAATGGAAAAGACATATAAATTAATTTTTTTCATACATGAAAATTTAACTTTCATGAGCCCTCAAGATATTAATTCAAAAGGTCAAATTTTTTAAAATTGATTTCTGATTAAAACCTGCCTTGCAATACATATTGTGTATAATTATAGCTCTAAATTATCTGCACAGTTTAATGCTTGATTCACATGATCTGCACTGTTCAATGCATGGTTCTTTGACAGATAATATTAACACAAAATAGTTTTTTCAAAAAATTGTATTTATAGCCTTATGAATATATATAGCTTCATAATCATATATAACATGTTTAAGGGTCAGTTTTGAGAGATGTATTACTTAAAATTTTGTAGCATAAAAGACCACATTTGATATGGAAGACTGCAAATCACCAAGCTTTTAAATGCCACTTAACTCTCACATATATATGTTATCCAAAAATGCACCAATCAAATGTTTATAGCACTTCTTGGTTGTGTAAATAGCTAATGTGCATTTGAGCATTACACTCAAATATTGACCACCTTTCAGACAATTATTAAAAAGAACCAGGAATGGATATTACAATGTCCCATATTACCTGGTTATTTTAAGGTGATCCTGAATATAAAAATAAAGAAGATTCATTGCAAAATAATTAACAAAAAACAGGAAAATTTTTATTATTTGATTTATTATAAACTAAAATAAACAAGCATGCTTGGATTTCTTGCACATAAAGAGGTTAAAAATAGTTTTATTGAATAATTCATGAATAAATCATGTTTTAAAGTACCAAAAATATAAACCTGGAGAATTCGCATTTCCATAAATATATCAAATGAGCTCTTTTATATAGTTTGTTTGAAAATTTGATTTCGAAAAACTTCAATTAAGGCCTTCCAGGCTAGAACTACAAGACCGTAAGTTATGATATTTTTAATGCGCTGAATACCTTATATAATAATGCGCTATACGATGTATAACGATCGGTTGTCAATGCTTTACTCCAGCCGATCGACCATGTATTTCGCTATTTAATGATTGATTCTATGACATTTATCGTTATAAACTTACCAGAACTATCCGAGGCAATCTTTTCATCACGTATTCTGATGTAGTAAATGATTTCAATACAAGATTTTGTTCAATTTCAATAAAAATTATCATTAACGCGATGTGCATCACCAATCTTCACTCCTTGTTTTCAAATCTCCATTATGAATATATAATGAGAGGAATTTAACTCCAAAAATGGAGTTAATTTCTCTAACCCCTCTAGATGGGATTATTTTTGCATACTAATCAACGTTCGAAGACCTCGTTACTCCACGGAGGAGTTAATATAACTCTAAAAGTGGTGTCAAAATAGCACCAAAATTTAACACCCCGAAAAATGAAATTTGGGGGTGTTAAAATAACTCCCTGAAAATAACAGTGAAGTCATCAGTCTGGATGTTTTTAGACAGAAAGAGATATAGCACCATTTATTCTGTTCAAAAAATTCTATAAAAGATCTAAAATCAGGCAGAAGGAGCAGCATTCAAATGCTCGTCTGATAAACCAAAATGAATTAAACGCCATATTTCTTCTGAATATGTGCACAATTAGAAGCCTGGGCTATAAATACAGGCACAAGTATGTGATAAACAGGTTCGTTAAACAAGTTTGTGTGATATTGTCCCCCGAGCGATAATCTGATATCACCTAGCATGCATTGATAACCAATACCCATTTATACGCGATCATGCATGGAAACAGTCGCTATATAAGTATTACAAACCCAGTTTTAATTTCTTTTCCCACATGCATGCATACGTGTTAACACAGAAAACGCGACGAACATGCACATACCTGTGAACAAACGCAACATTTCTCATGCCCGGATTCCTCGGGACATACGTGACTCTCGCGCTGTTCTTCGAAGCAAACATCGCAGATATCGCAATGAAACGAACGATCTTTGTGAATTCTATAATACGAACAAACATTGCTAAGAATTACAAAATATAATTTATATTATTTCGATCAGGGATAAAAAGACAGGAAGTCGGTATACTAGGTTGCTGCGTCCTAACTTTTTATAAACTTCGCCTGAATCATTTTGGATAGCTAAAGAATGTTATACCTTTGAAAAATCTCATGACCGGCTTAATTGTTAGACATTAAATCAACTTTAAACCGTTTATTATACGAACATTCAGGAAAGTGATGTGTCAATCTCACAATATTTTCTTTTTTAAAAACATTTTTCACGATATGAGGGTTAAAGGCATTTTTTATGTTCTTTTGGTCATGCGCTAACAACTGGACAAGTTTTGCTTCATACTGAGCCAACAAATTTGAACAAAGTGAAAAATCTCGTCCAGAATTCAACAGCCAAAAATAATGTGAGATTTACCTGCAAACTCCACACTTATCGCAATGATATGTTCCACTCTCTTTTCCTGTGAGGTGTTTACACGTTACACAATAGTAGTCAGCGAATTTCGCATCGCAATGGGAACAAGATTGACTAACCTATAAATAAAGAACATGACGATCATTGCTAAAGATATTCGCTGTGTCATTATGTAAATACAGAACGGAAACAAGTCACGTGCACTCCATATAGTACTGTTTCATAATTCATACTGTTTCCATACTATGTCCATACTATATTTTATATTAGTTTTATAAACTAATTGACACTGAGTTATAAATTAATATTATAAACCTTTATACTATTCCCTACTATTCCCTACTATATTTACACTATTTCCATAATATGGGTTTGATAAAAAGTTTCCAGGGAAACGTTATCTGATTGGTCATCAAATATCACAAATCCGGGGTGGGGGAAAGTTGTGACTTGTGAGATATGAGCACTTGAAGTCATAATTTTCTCGTATGCATAGTTTTGGTTATTAACTTATTTTGAGTGAGACCAGATCAGACTTTACAACGCATTAAAATGTACCTGTTGCACTTTACGACACTTCGCACACTTCACCATCGAAATTTCACGTGATTTACGACTTTTGTTCCCACACAGGCTTTGGTTGTTATGACAACGGTGGCATGGCCAAAAGTCATCGCAGCATTCGAACTTTACATAACACTTTCGTTGGAAGTGGAAACACAGGCTTAACTCTGTAGAGAACTCCCCTGTTTTCGAAACAAGAAGTATAGCGTTAATAAATTCAGCGAGAATTATGTTTGTTATAGTTACGTATTGGTGCAAGAGTGGTAATTCTATACCTAAAATGTTGAGGTTTGAAATTATCAATTTTCAAATTGCAAGTGGAAAATTGGTGTGCCTATTTGCAAGCAGTTATGTGGCAACTGATTGTTGACCGAGCGTCTTAGGACCAAGCGACTTTTGTATGGAGCAAACCCCATGCAAAAACTTCGGTCTAATACTTCACAGTACAGACCGAACGAACGAAGTCAGTATACGGTTTATTTAACATATGGCTGAACTGCGAGAGACATCTGGGTCCTGATATGGAACGGACCACAGACTGGATATGGTTTTCGCACCGCTTGTCAACCAACCAGTTAAAGATTTTGAAAAGCCATATAATAACAATACTTGTACCTGTAACAGTGCCATCAAACGGAGAAACCATTCGATTGGCTGATAAATTTGACGAAGAACTGGGTTTTGGGCGGAAGGAAGTCTGTTCTTCCAATAGTGGATCGTTGGTGTTCTCCGAATTTCCTGATGTTCCAGGATTTCTGTCTTGACCGCTCATTACTGGAGTACGATTTTCGGATTTTTTCATACGCCTATGTACGGCTCTTTGAACTGAGTAAAGAGACCTGCAATCACCTTCGAGAAATTTGTCGACAATATGGACCAACTCAATTCTACCTTCCGATTGAAAATAATCTTTCATTGGACTTAACTCGGAAACTTTCAGTCGCGAGAGAACTTGAGCAGCATTTCCAGATTTTACTGAAAATTCCTCCTCGGCCCAGCTCGTAAACTTGTTATCATCCCTGGCAGAAAGGTTCCCGATAATGAGTTCTTGAAAAAGGGGGAAATCGGGCAGGTTTTTTGTCATCTGGCTTTCATCTTCGATATACGGTTTATGCAAACTTGCCGGAACTCGTGATTCAGTAAAAGAAACCTACGAAAAGAATAAAACGAACGATCAAATAAGTGGAATAAGAAAAAATCACGCAATTTGAAATTATCGTTCTCAATTTCAAAACGTTGCTCCCAAACAATCTTTTTTTTATCAACCTATAGATTTCCGTCAAAGAAGCAACTTATTTAGTCTAACGTATATATTCACAACTGGGACTATGGTCAAAACCATGTCACTATGTCTCCCACTATTCATTTTTATATATCGAAAAAATTGCTCATAAAATTTTATTGTTGTCTTTGTGTCTCTCCTGTTGATATTTGAGATCTATATCTGCCATGTAAAAGCTCTGGGTTTTGAAAATTGAAACTTTACAACTTTTTCATTTATTTTACATCATTACTTTTTATTAGACCTAAAACAATCTATATTGAAAAAAACACTGCACTTGGAACGGACGCTTTACCTCATTATGTGCTGGTCCTTCACGACATATGTGATTTCCATAATGTTGTATGTCCATACAGATTCCACAGGTATCACAATGGCACGAACGCTCTCTGTTCAAAACATATACAATTGCATGGTCAGTTCACTAAGATTGGATATTTTATTTTTAGATAATATTAGATTTTTACAAAATATAACTTCCCAGAGGGTTTGAGTAGGAACTATCGGGTAATGATAGGCTTTGTAAAACTGAAAGGGGGGTCCTTTAGGATGACTCTCGCCCGGCTTTTACATTGGAGATATCGATGGTTAAAGAAGGATAGCAGTGATAAATGGTAATAGAGACCTGCTTCAGAAAATGATACCTGCAAACTCCACATTTATCACAATGATAAGGCACATCCTCCTGGCCACAGAAATGTTTACATTCTCGACAATAATACGGTGCGAACTTTTTTCCACAACCGGAACAGCGATGACTAACCTAAATAATCAATAAAGAATGTCCATTTTTCAGCCGAGTTCTAAATATGTCGTCGAGAGTTTTAATGGTGGCCGATGACGAAAGAAATTAAAAATAAACCGCTTTACACATCAGTGACCACTGATGATATGTAATGATGTTATATTATGTAACATTCAAGCCGATTATTGCCCATGAAATTTCTATCAGAGCTAACAAATATTTGATAAATAGTTATTTGACGACGCATATCTACCTGTTGAACTTTACGACACTTGGCACACATCACTTGTACGGTTTCACTTGATCTAAGGTCCCTTCGACCACACGAGCTTCGGCTGTTGTGACAATGGTGGCACGACCAAAACCTGTTGCAACACCCAAACTTTACGTAGCATCTTCGTATGAAGTGCGAACATTGGTTCAAAGAGGTCCCTGAAGGCTCTAGAAGAGAAGTTCTTCTTCCAGGATCTGCTTAAAAGAAAAGGTTTATAATGGTAGATTCCCTTGTTTTTCATATGCTAGACATTATATTAGCTACAACCCTTTTAGTATACAATGTCTGGGGCCCAAATGACTGAACAAAATTTCTCATGCTGAAATATTTGAGGTTCAAATTAACAAAAAATTGTTACCAGTTTTACAATAGCCAATGTTCTTACCCACCTTAATGGACGACTTGCGCTTTAGACTAATTTTTTAAGGAAGTTACTAGAAGAAAATAAATCACCACAGCTAGAAAGATCTTACTTAAATTAGTGCAAATGCAAAGTACATAGTTTAGCTGCGAAATTTTGTAAAATACGGAAAATATAGCCATGCGAAGTTGGCATATTTTGTATACTTTTGTATTACGTGCAGAAATTTGTAACTAAATTAGTTGCAAACCTCCAGCCATAATACAAAAGTATACAAAAATCGCCAACTTCGCATGGCTGTATTTTCCGTAATTCACCACAACTCACAGCCAAACTTGGCAGTTTTACTAATTTTAGTAAGCTATTTCAGAAAATGTCCTTTTTATCGCCAATGTTAGAAATTAGTCTAAAGCGTAAGTTGTCCATAACAGGGTCAGGTTTCATCCCCGTAGGTATTAGGCGTTCATCATTAGGGCTTTTGGCCTAGGTTAAACGTTGTATTTTGGTCGCGTCGAATGCAATTCAAACAGATAATGAGATGATAACGAAGCTTAATGAGGATTATCATCTTATTATAATATATTGTTTGTATTGCATTCGATGCGACCAAAATGCGACGTACAACCTAGGCCTAAGCTCTGGAAATAGCGTACCATTCCAGATTACCTTTTTATTTTGAAACATGGCATCGACCGAACAAAGGTTTTTGCGGCAAGTTAAGGCGAACGTATAAAACACTTGGGCGGCGTTTGTGACGAATTTTCTTGGCGGCAAATACAACTAAAAGACAATGGGTAAAGAGATGACAAGCCAAACAAGGTCTACCTTACCTGTAGAAGGGTCATCGGGCAGTATGGCCGATGTTGCTGTATGTGGATTTCCGTCTTCACCGCTAACAAGGATCGTTTCTGGTTTTATAAGCCTTGTTAGATTTGAATTGGGTAAGAGGTACTCGCGCTGATGAAATAGATCAATCGTATGCACCAATTCATATTTATCGATGGTCACGAAGTAAAGTCTTAGGCAACTGAGATCTGAAACACTGATGATGCCTCTTTCATCAAGTTTAAAAAGCACATCGGTAGCATTCTCGAGATCTTCATCTAAAAATTCCTTGGCCAAGTCTTGCACCTCCTCCTCCTTCCCCAAATTTTTTGAGATAAAGTTTAAAACCAAAATGTATGTTTGTTGTAATTCAGATTCCAATAAAGTATTGGGAACATCGCCAACCGAGGCCGAATTCTTTTGTATCTCCTCTCCACTCATGGTAAAAGCAGTCTGAAAAATAGAAAAATGTATTTAGAATTGCATGAATTATAACTTTAATTTCTATCGGAATGAATATTTAAATGAAAAAAACTCTTTTTCATGAATGTGTTTAGGAGGATGCATCATTACAAGTAGCGCGTAAGAGTAAAACCACTGAGTAAAACTCGAAATCCATTTTATTTAAGGTGACTCTAGTATGAAAAAAGCAAAAGAAATTTGTGAACACCCAGCTTTAACATTCCTGGTGGCCTGCTCTATAATTGGTCAAGAAGCAAAAAACAATTTTGACGTCAAAATAACGCCACTGGTCTTTTTTGGCAATGATAGTTACGACTGACCAAGGCACAACCTGGTTTGTTTTTAATTTTTTATTAATGATATAAATATCTCATTTTTGATGTACAATACGTGCGAAGATGTTTATGTATATGTCATGCAAAGCTGCCGAAGATCAGTATATCACATTTTACGAACTTATCAAACACGTCATAAACTAGTTTACTCTAGTATAGGTCAGCGACGCGCTCCCTTTTTCGACTGAAGTTTTTTATACCAGTGGTTTTATACCAGTGTCTATTTTAGTGTTATCCATATGTTTAAATGTATGGATGGACGAGCATTGCTATATGTCGAGAAAATTTGGAGCGGATGTTTTACAGAATGGCATGTCATTTATATATTTAGATCTCAATAAAAAAGTGCACTCTTTAATAACTTTAATTATCCTGTTTGGAGAAAAGTTTTTAGTTTTCAGAACCTGTAAATTAAATAAAGGATCGGTTGGTCAGTGGTTAATACCATGACAAAGGAGTTCCATTTCTATCGACCGGTGGACCAGTGGCGTCCAGTCCTACAAGCGCTTGCGGCGTCCGCAAAGGGGAAAGTCCGCCATGTTTTTTTACTTCTGTCTGCCAGAGACCGTCGTTCTCTACTGAATATGTAACTGAAGGCTGAAGCCACAGAAAATAAATAAATATATTTAATCATCCATGGTAAAGCTCAGTCATCAGTGTCACAGTGTGCCGAAAATGGCGACGAATTTTGCCGAAGGGACCGATGAAGAAATGTATAATTTTAAAGACAGAATTTCAAGGTAAAAAGTCAAAACGTCGTTTTATTTTTCACACAATTGTATACAGATATGTGATGGTTTACGAAAGTGTATTTCCTACAAGAAATACGTTTTCTTGCATACTGCAGGTTTCCTTTGGTGAGTGTATAATTTTATCTTTTTTAATCCAGTCAAACAGATGTTTATTTTAATATTTTTGCTTTCCACACCATTAAGGCCTCACAAGTAAGCTGGCCTCTAAGTAAGCAATTTGTTTTCCACTACCTAGGCAACACCAGACAGTGAGGGTGCATGCCAACAGTCACAAGTTCTAGCAGGACAGGCCTCACAAGTAAGTCGGCTTCTAAGTAAGAAAATGAACAACATACAATTGTGCCATGGTGGCTAAAAACCCATATAGGATAATGGAGATGGACTACAGGAGGAGGGATCTACTGCAAAGCATTCTCAACAGCTAATGTAAGTAAATGGCACCAGACCGGATGCAAGCAATAAGCCCACAGATTGTGGTTTATCACAAAATACAAGCTCTGATACAAGATCTGATACAAGTAATAGGCCAACAGATCATCAGTTTATCATGAAATTGCTAAGTTTGAAACCAAGCAATTTCACAGCAAAAGTTGAAACTCAAATCAGTTGATACTAGGGTACTTGGTCAAAAAAACCCTTAAGCAAAATCACAGATGCTGCCTTAAGAAAATGCCAGTTTAGGTTCTCTTAAAAGAACAGAAACACACAAAACAATAAAAAAAATCAAATTATACAATGCAGAACACAATTTGCAATATATGCTGGCCATATGGACTTTGACTACAGTTTTAATCCTTGCTCTAACTAGAACCCGACTCAAATGTCATAGCACAAACAGCCGAAATAAATTCCAGAGGCCAAAGTAATAAAATGGGCTATAATATGTAAACATATAACAAGTTCAGTGGGGGGGGGGGTAATGACCTATGCACATTATTAGAATTAAATCACTACCCTATTACTTAGGAAATGGTATCACCTAATAAGTCTGCCACAAAGCAATATGGTTGCACTATTCACACTTCTGCAAATTCCAAGCCAGACACACACAAAATTAAAAACCCAAGACAACCCATGCAACATTGTGCAATAACTAGACTAGCAGCATGTAAGTAGTAAGCTTTATGTATCCTATCCCAAACACATAACATCACAACATGCAAAAAGAAACAAATTTAATGTTACCAACACTCACAAGATAACTGAGAGGCATAATAACAATGGATACTGGAGAGCTATGTGCAGCAATATATATTAGTATAAAATTTTGGGCTATAGGTCTACAAAAATGCCCTTTTTATAGCTTCCCAGAGTGGGGCATATATGATTGCAGAGTAATAACCATGAAACAATATGACATTGCATGCCATTGGCCACTACATAAAATGGCCAGGGAAGTGATGCAAAGCTGTCTATCATAAGATATGGTGGATGGTGTCACCCACAATAGAACCCAAATGAATAAACTGAGCAGAAATAATTGCATGTCTGTCATATAGAAGACTGGGGTGTATCAGGACTCTAACACATGCTTTATTGTAGGACAGAACTTATAGGCAGCAAAGAGCTATGAAAGGAAATGTATACTGTAGATGTTTGAGAAACTAACTACTATAAAGCCCACCATGTGAAGCTGAGATTGGCCTTTTCATTTTGTGATCTTGAAAAGCCACATTTATTTAATGTAGACATTCCTCACTTTTCAAAAAATTTTCAATTAGACTGGAATAAAATTTAGCCTGATGGTCAAAGTGAATGATTAAACCATTGTGACACAGCATGAAATTTCAACCCAAAAAAAATTTCCTGCCACTGATCAACACTTGCACATTTCTGTATGTATTGCTATCAAACAATCTCAAATATTTAGCAAATACGAGAGATATTCTATCGAGTTTTCGCAAATTGAATCTTTTAGCTCAAATCAGCGCCAAGTAATATTTGCCTGATTGTTATTGCTAATCAAGACAGCTATGTTATCTCAAGTCAACACAGATATAATGCTAATATGCTAATCAATACATATGAACATTTTACACAAATGATAACATTTATGGCCTATTTATGGGCTTTTGCTTGAGCAAATAGCGTTACGGGCATTGTATCATAACTGTAACCTCCTAGATAAGACAGAAGGTTCAAGCGATGTTTTATAAATAGATGTTTAAATGTTGCAAATTCAACTCAATTCCCAAGGGATTCCCCTGGTGTCTTGTGACATTTAGAAACAAATATTCTCCCAAATTTACGTTAAAAATGCGATTAACGGAATTAACACAAGGTCATGTAATTTTCTGAAGTATTTAGCTGAATACTAAAACATGAAGCGAGAATGGAATTCAAGTTATTGTATCCTATATTGTCGAACTTTTTTAGCCCAAAGCCATCACCTTTCGGCATTGGCATTGCCGATGTTTGTTGTCAAGTTCCTGTCAAAACACACTCGAGTCCTGAATCTACATGCTGAGCAACTTATTTCAGTACAATACCTTCAAATGTTGTCATATCCCTGGCGCTTTCACTCTTGCCAAAAGAAGAGAAGATAAACCTGGCCTCTCGCAAACGACCAACTCTTCCCTGAGCCTTCGATACATAAGACCGCTCAGAGGTATGGTCATGGATGAGAGGATATTAAGCAACCTCGTACCCAGGGTAGTTTCTTTGCGTTATAGCACGGGCAAGCCCGCAGCGTTGGCCGTGAAGCGTTGGATATTCAGCTCTGAGTTGGCAAAAACGGAGCTGGCTCCGCCGGATTCGAGTGAACCCAAAGCTGGAGCTGTGGCTTGTTTTCATGTTGGCTATGTATTCCATTTAGTTTACTCACAGTAGCTACGTAAACGTTTTTTTCCGCTCTCCCGTAATCCAGATTTCCAGTATTTCTGGCTTTACCAAGTTCTTGCTAACTTCACAATTTTTTTTCTATTTTTCTTCCCGTTGAGACCTGTATTTTCAACCAGTTCCTTTTTATGTGCAAACCGACAGAGTTGATGTAAATTTTTTCGTACTTTACTTTCTATCGAATCTTGATGAATGCAAATTATCTGCTGTGTTCTGACCCACAAACCCTTTCTTTTGTGTGTCCGCCATTGTTCTTTCTCTAATCGTAAGATATTTGTCAGTTCTCAGTTTGCTAATTCAATTCATTTACGGAAACAGCAAGTTGCATAGTCAAGAAATTAGCCAAATAAAAAAAATACTCTAAAGATAAACGTTTTGACCAAGTGTAATCATTAACGAACATGAAACTCACGTCCTTAGCCTGATAAGTTATTTTTCATCAGTTTGATTTAATATCTCAAAGGAATGTATTTAAGCTTTAAAAGTTAAAATATTACAGCCTTTTGTAAGTGGGAAAATTAAATATTTTAAAGGGGGGAGGTTACAGTCATTACTTACAGTTGCTTCTGCGCATCGCTTCTGCTCATAAAAATGAGAGTCTACTTGTTTCAAAATTGCTGAGTGAGTCAAATTTTGCATGTTTCGTATATCTCTGAATTTTAATCTCTCTCGTTTTTATTTAAAAGTATAGCGAACTAAAAGCGCGTCAAATATTGTGAATGTTCCTGATATTTTAGGAAATATACCGATTCGAATGTAAACAAAGCGTTTGTTTACATTACGGACTGTACCCCACCCTTAATATTAAATGTAGACAGGACCGCCATATTTACGTCATGCCTTCAAATCTAATTGCCATCATTACAATTGCCTTCAGTCTAATTGCCTTCAATCTAATTGCCTTCAGTATATTTGAGTGTACTCTCTATTTTATCTTTCATAACATAACTTTACTAGCAAAAAGTCACAAATGTAAAAATGTACTTTAGGACAAAGAATATATCATTATAGAATTAGTGTATCGGCATAGAACAACTTACATGTATAATTATTTGAAGCGTAAACTAATTAAATAGCCTAATTAAACTAATAATAATTAATAATGGTAATAGAACGAATAGGAGTGCAATTATTGCAAAAATCATACGAGTGTTGGAGGTTGATTTGAACTCACGCGTATGACTTTGGCATTGCACGACTTCATTTGCTCTGTTACTCGTTAATCATATATCTTTTGTAATCTATCAATTGTTAATCATTTGTTAAATTTTATCACAATAATGCTTGGTAAATAGTACAATTTGGAATTATTAAAATTTGCATAATTTAAAATTGATATTTTGTATCCTCAATGGTGATTGGCTAGTTTGTAGTAGATACTGGAGTAATTTTTATTGACTATGGGCAAGATTATGGTACAAGTGGTACAACATGGTACAATTACAACACACAAATGGTGCAATTCATGTTCAAATCGCACTCCTCATAGCCAATGAAATTGCAGCATTTGCCAAAGATTACAGAAGATATATAATTAATAACGTAAACTAATTAACTATTTAAAGCGTAAAGTAATTGAATATTTAAATCATAAACTAATTAGATATACTAATTAATGCTAATTAACTAAGTAAACTAATTAAATAGACTATTGCACTTAAGAGATGTGTAAAACTAGTAAAAAGAATTCTCTCAACACGCTTAATCATCGTTTTCATTCTAAACTAGACTTGAATGTACTCCACGTCACAGTCTTGGCACTCTTTAATTCGCTTTTTAACGATGGAAGAAAGTACTCTTCCTGGTGCAATCTCGACGAAACTGCGCACGCCCAAACCATATGCTCGTACCACTGATTGCTTCCACTTTACAGGAGCAGTTAATTGCTGACACAGCAAATCCTTCATTCCCAGTTCCTCCGCTGCCAGGTCACCGTTGACATTCATGATAATGGGCAGTGTTGGCTTCGAGAACTCAGCGCGCATTATGAGATTATTGATTTCTTGAGATGCTTGTTTCATGTAAGGAGAATGAAATGCACCGGCTACTCGGAGTTTTCTTACATCAATCACGTTCATCACTTTTTGTTTTTCTCCAGAAAGAGCCTCGACGAAGGCGTCGCACTCTTCACTTGTCCCGCCAACGGTGTGCTGATTATCAGCCAAGTAGGTTGTGATTATCATATCAGGAAAACTCTTCTTTAAGAAGTTTTCCAGTTGCTTGCAATCCGGTCCAAAAACACTCACCATCCCCGTGGGCGACTCGCGAACTACGTTTTCCATAGCCCTTCCTCTTTGCGAAACAATCTTCAGAGCTGCATCAAAACTGATTGCTCCCGCGTAAACAAGTGCAGCAAATTCTCCCACGCTAAGTCCTGCGACGTGGGTTACGTTGGCTAAAATTTCCGGTGTTTCAGTCTAAAAAATTGAAATTTAGAAAAAAAACATGAGATGCTGTGTGTTAAGAAAAAATATTAAAACGAGTTGTTAAAGCATGCAGAGAAGTATTTTGCCATACAAATTGACAGGGAATAGCAAAGACGAGTTGAAACAGGCATTGTGAATATACTTTAATCAAATGCACTTTAAATTCAATTTGGATCTAGATATTTGGAAAACTAAAAAAGATATGAAGTTAACAGTTAACTTTTGAATGCAACAAAGTATGAATCAAAAAACTAATTTTCTTTGCCCATAACCTTTATTATTATAAGATAAACAAAAAATGCCAAATACTTGTCACGAAATATGAAAAGATAAGCTCGGTGATTATAATTGTAATCACTCAAAGGCAACTTAAAGACAACTTGCAAAGGTTGAATGCGTAGCAGTATCATGGCACTGTCACTTTAAATCAGATTTCTGAAATTATTGTTAAGTGAATATGTAGTTCTCAAGAAACCCAGCCATTACTTGCCTTCAGTTGCTCAATTTTTGCCAAACAACCGACAAAGAGAGCAACTTGAACAAATTCTGTAGACTTCAACTTCTCTTTTAGAATGTTTTCATCTCCAATGCAGATATCTAGAACGTTGTATCCTAGTGTTTCTTCTGCTAGTGAAAAGAGATTTCTGGCTTCTTTGCTGTTCTTCAACGAAGCACACATGCCAATTTTCTGCGAGCCTTGCCCTGGAAACATCAAAAGAACAGAGTGTTCTTTCTGAGTTGTTTTACACGCCAGCAAATCAGCAGGACGGAAGAGGTTTTCGAGAGCACGATCAGACTCGTTACTCTGGTCGCCTTCATCTCTTGACGGGTTCGTTTCTAAATATAGTTAAAAAATGTTTTACAATTTTTAGTATTCACTTGGCCTTGAATGCTGGTTTGTCTTAAAATCGACTGGCAGTTACAGGGCTTCTAAAATCATAAACAATGTTGATATAAACCTTTATCAACATATATGTATTTTTACGAAACAATTTATGGTGACATTTAACACAAACAGTTTTGAAATGTTGATGTTGAAAGTGTGACAGTCAATTAATTCAATAAAATTAGCTGAAATGTAGTTCATTATAAGACGTCTGTGTGCAAGACGTTCTGCGCATTGGTTCTGCTCATAACAATGGAGGCCCCTCTCATGTAAAAATTATTAAAATTTCGCGTGTTTCAATTTTTTTCGGAAAATACACTCGAATTTACGTTCATGAAGCGTAGCGAACCTAAATACAGTATTAGATATATTCACACATGTATTGTATTTAGAAGTTCAAAATGTTAATAAACCGTTAGTTTACATACGGACTTGACCTCCGCTTTACAAAAAAATAAACAGAGTAAAAAAAATATATTGAAGCAAAATATTCAGGAACAAAGTGAATGGGCGCGGTATACCTTCAATAGATGGTAGCGTTGAGGCTTTACAGACCTCGGCGCCCTCATTTTTGAACAGCTCATCTGTGATGAAGCCAGCCAAGGAACCCAATGTAGGATACCCGAATGTATCTGCAATTTCCAATTGAAATCCGATTCTTCTTTTTACCAAGTTCATCATTTGTATAGCTAACAAGGACTCCCCGCCTAGGGAATTAAAGTCGTCCTCAGGATGAATGTTATCTTCTTCCAGTAGCTCCGTCCAGATCTTTTTCAGTTCCTCAAAAATTGCTTGGTACCCTTTGTCTTTTAGCTGAGAAGCGCTTTCGTCGTCATCCAATTCGTCTTGCAGCTCATCTGCCTTCTGCACCGTGTCAAATCTGGAAAGTAAGAAATAATAATTTTACTCACAGCCAACTTTGAAAAAAATTGTTGGCCTCCTTCGACCTACAGCGATTTTGAAAGTTTAATTGAATCAAGGTCATTTTTTGTGTGCGAAGGTTTTTCCAAAAACTCGACAACGGTAGAAAAATGGTGTGAGTTTTTCTCCCGATTTTTGTGAATCGTGACTTCTGGTGCAAGGGCTCGGTACAAATATAATAGCAATTTATCAGGGTGGAAAAAATCGGCCCGATAAATCGCTGTGTGTAAATGTAGCCTGACTGTGTGAATGTAGACTGTGTGTAAATATAGCCTGAGTATTTATACTACTTTGTAAGTACTCGATGATAAATAATGATGTGATGTATAGTTAGGGAATGCGCTTCATTGGTAAATTATATTTCAAGAATTTTTTGCGTAATGTCGTTGTGGTTGAGGTACTAAGCTGTGATTCATTGAAACGATACATGTAAATGGCAACAAACCTCCCAATATCGGTCTCCCACCATCCAAGACTAGAAGAAATTTCAGCATATTTCTTGGCATCAGATGTGAGTTTTGAGCTGCACAGAAAAAGGAACTTCTCTACGTGCTTTCTTTCGTCGTTCTGGGTAGGACACGTGGCTACCGATTGAAATCCCACACTTTTTAAAACTTTTTCCCATTTCTCCGGTTCCATCATTGGCTCGGCCGGTCGCAGATCGTAATCGTTAAAGTACCACCAGCCATCCAAGATACCCCAGGCGAGTGTTGCCCATGTTTCATTTTTTGCGCTTTCGATGATGAAAAGCTTCCCATCACCTGCCAGGCACGACTTGAGATTGAGTACGGATTCAATTATGCTTTGCGTTGTATGTATCACATTGTAGGAAACAATGATGTCAAAGGAGCCAAGGAGACCTTGTTTTGGTGCACTTTTAGTGATATCAAATGTGGCGAACTTCATCATGCTCAGATAATCAGAAAATGTTTTCTTTGCGTGTTCCACGAAAGCTTTTCCCAGGTCTGTGAACCAGTACTCGATATTTGACGTGTTCTCAAGCTTTGGCAAGAGCTGTCTCGTAACGTGACCGACGCCGGCACCCACTTCTAATATTCTTACACGTCTCCCCTGGGAAGAAAGCTGTTTAGCATAGGAGCTTATTAACTGCATGTACATGTTGTAGTACACATCACCAAGCAAGTCCCCAAGCTTATCAAATTGGAACATGAAATTCATGTCTCCACGTGGGTAGATGACGGACAACGGGCTCATTTTTCCACGGACGACCTTCTCCAAATGGCGAGAGCAGTAAAGTGGGAAGCGGAAACAGTCTGCCCACGATGGGTATGACTTAATGCTGTGGTCTGCGATGACTTCAGGGTCCACATCCAAAAAATTTTTACATTTGAATACAAACGAGTCCAAGCAGTGAATATTCTTGTCTGTGCCAGTTTCCTTGAGCCAGTCGTTTTGCCATAGTTCCCTCACCATGACAAAGAACAATTTCTCGTACTTTGGTAGCATTTCGCAAAGGGAAAACGCTTTTTTGATGGAAATTTGATGTTCATTCAACAGGAAGTCTTTCAGAGGTGTGCCGAGGAAAAGCTTGACGATGATAGCGGAACAGAATCTGCCAAGTGTTTCTTGCAGACCAGCAGCGGGTGCAAGGGGCAACTTTCTAACCAATTCTCGTGTCTCGTTCATTTTGATGGTGAGTAAATCACAGATATCCATAGTAAGAGTGCTTCTTTCGACTTTTTCAGTTGCATCTAACCAGTGTCTACTTTCGTTATAAATCGCCAAGGTAACTCCTTTTGAAAACTGGATAGTTTGGTGCTCACCATAAAATAATCCATGTACGTTTATTGTGCCGTGCTTCAAAAAGGATGTAACATCAGGTAACGCAGTCGTGACGTCGTCATCTCCAGGGCAGTAGAACTCAATGTCCCTGCGTAATTCAGCAAGCTGTTTCATGGCCCTCAAATCAAGAGCACTTTCTGCAATTTTAACAACTTCTAGCATCTCGCTTGCATTCTCAGCGGTGATAACAAGTCGCCATTCCAGATTGGATCTTAATTTGATAATTTGTTTTAAGCGCGTGGCCACGCTAAGGCACAGTCCGGCAATTGTGCTGGTTCCTAACTTCATAACGAAGTGTCCAATATGGATCTTGTGAATGTGAAGTTGGTTTTTGAGTTGATTCAAACTTGAGCTTGCGATAAGTAAATGATGGTTACGTTTTCTGGGAATTTTTGGTTCGTCATCACCGTCCGAGTGCGGTGGTTCGGTGATAATGGCATGGCAGTTGGTGCCCGTTAAACCAAAGGAGCTCACCCCCGCGATTCGTAAACCTGTTTCGCTACTGGGACGCCAATCGATGGTTCGATTTGGGACTTCCAGTCGGGAGTTCAAAATTTCCGGATGTGGATTGTAAAAGTGAGCTGTTGGTGGAATTTTCCTTGCTCCAAGTGAGGCGAGGGTTTTAAAAACACCAAGCATACCTGCTGTTGAATCAAGATGACCAAAGACGCTCTTCACGGAGCCAATTGACAAATTAACTTCAGATTGTTGCCTGTCTTCAAATGTTGAACGAAGAGCAGACAGTTCTATCCTATCCCCAAGTTTTGTTCCCGTTCCGTGTCCTTCGATGTACGTGACATCGGATGGTCGTATTTTTGCACTGTTCAAGGCGTCTTGTATTACGTCACGCTGAGCATTTGCTGAAGGTGCAGTGATTCCGTTACTACGGCCCACGTTATTTGAAGCTATGCTATGAACAACACCATAAATCGATTTCTTTTCGGCTATTGCCTTTTCTAACGGTTCTGCATACAAGCACAACACTCCTTCACCCACTGCCGTACCGGTGGCATCCTTGTCAAACGCTTTGCATCTAAAGTCTTCGGATAGAATACTGTTTTCCCCCCAAACGCCTGTCCTCGATGGATACATCACCAGGTTGACACCTCCTACAAGAGCCCCTTCACATTCGCCTCTTTTTATCGATTCACATGCTTCTTTTAATGCCATCAGTGAGGACGAGCAAGCCGTATCTATGAGCATTGTTGGGCCTTTCAAGTCCCATTGGTAAGCAACGCGGGTCGCAATCATGCCTGGAAGAAGTCCAGAGATACATGTCGCCTCGTCCGGGTGTTGTAGTTGAGAGTACCAAATTTCGGTAGCGCCAACAAATACGCCAATCTTTGACCCTTTAACTTCCGAGAGCGATTTGCTTTCCGCCAAAGCTTCTGTAGCCACTTGGAGAAACATTCGCTGTTCCGGTGACATAAATTTAGCTTCACCTGGTGGGATTTTGAAAAATCTATTGTCAAATCCGTCGATTCTTTCGAAAAATGCGCCTTGAAATGTTTCTGCTTGGGAGAGCGTTTGCTCATTCTCTAGGGTAACGCAATTCAAAATATCATCGGTACGACTTTTGGGGAAATCACCCATGATGTCTTCCCCAATTTCTAAGACGTCCCATAGTTGTGGCAGTGACACGATACCTCCAGGGAGACGAAGTCCAATCCCAGTTATTGCGATAGTCTTGTTATTCGAAGAAGGAACGGTTGCATTGAAAATTTCTGGAGAAATGGTATTGCATGATTGAGCACTTTGTGCAACAAACTTCTCAAGGGCACTGATGGTCGGATACGAGAAGATATCTGCAATCGTGACATGAAACGACGTCTTCTGGGCGATTAAGGTGGAAAACCTTACTAGAATTAACGAGTGGGCTCCTTGTTCCATTAGCGTCATCTGCGTATCGACTGGACATGAATCCGATAGACCAAGGGCTTCTGCGAACAGAGTCTTCAAGGTCGCCATGACTGATGAATCACTGTTTGGTGCTTGTTGTTTAGGTGGCACTTTGCTTACCATGAGGCTGGAAACATCGGGTAGTGCTTTGTAATCCACTTTTCCATTTCCAGAAAGAGGAATCTCTGGGATTATATGAATCATGTCCGGCAACATGTAGTATGGCAATTCATCTTTCAGCTTACTGCAGATGTAGTTTTTATCAATGGTGATTTTTGTGCTGCCGATATCATCGACCACTAAGAATGCACATAGGAATTCTGTTCCTTTGTTGTCATTGCCGTGCTGAGGAACCACGCATGCTTGTTTCACGAAATCAATTTTTTCTGTAATTTTACTCCCAATCTCTACAAGGCTGATACGGAATCCGCGTAATTTCACCATGTTGTCCATTCGTCCCATCAACTCGATATCTCCTGAAGGCAACACACAAGCAGCGTCACCTGTCTTTAACGCGTGGCAACCGAGATGAGAAACAGATATCAGATCGACGTCACCTGACGCTAGGACATCTCCGGCTATATATAGTTCCCCTATAGTTCCAATCGGGCACGGTAGGAGCGTCTTTGAATCGAGGACATGAAGCTGTACTCCGGGCAAAGGTTTTCCTATCGGAACTGTACCACTTCGTGTCGTAGGAAGAATGTCTCCCTCGAAAAAAGCGGAATCAATCGTGGCTTCTGTCGTGCCATAGCTGTTCAGAATTCTTTGATCTGGCCTAAACCTGTCTTTGATGGATCGATAGACGTGTCTTTGTAGAACATCTGAGCCAAGGATGAACAGTTTCATAGAGTTGAATTGATTGTCATGGGCATTCTCGACGAGTTGCTGACCAAACAATGGAGTTACTTCAGCCATCGTAATATGATGCTTCTTGATAGTATGCAGTATATACGGAATATCTAATCTTTTTTCTTCTGGGCAAATGATTAGTTGCCCTGATACACATACCTGAAAGAAGGTGAAAACTTTAGCATTCTGAGAAAGTTTTTCGTTCAATTAGAAGTCACATTAAAAATAAATGAAATGAAAGTTAAGCCTCTGCCTAAAACACGTTTATTTGTAAACTACTGCGTTTTTCATGTCCTTGTGATAGTATAGTGTTTTCTAATTTCCTTCTTAACCAAACTCTTTCCAAATTCGACTGATTATGATGTAACGTTACGTATGTATTTATTCACCGCATATTGACGTTGCTGTTGTTGTCGGTAAAAAGTTATTGAAAAGTATATTAATAATAACATACCAAAGCTCTCACGATATCTCCAACAAAGACGTCAAACGATAGAGGCGCCCACTGTAGGACACTGACTTTGAATTCTGTCATTGCATATTTTTGTTTCCAGGCATTAGCGATGATACGCAGGCTTCTGTGTGATATTTTGCACTGTTTCGGATCTCCCGTGGAACCAGATGTTTGAATAATATAAGCGAGATCGTCTGCTGATACGTTGATTTTAGCTTGGTTGCGTTTGTTTCTTGAACGTTTAGCCAAATCATCTATCATGAAAAATGGGCACTTCGAAATTTCTTCTTCAGAAAGTCGTACGGTATCTGCTTCAAGATTTGTTAGTATTGCTGCTGGTTTATTTCGTGCAAGTATCGTCTTTACGCTGCCCTGGTTTGTCTTTCCAACGGGCAGAAAGTGTCCTCCGGATTTCCAGACGCCAAGAATCGCAGCGATCGAAAATTCATTTTTCTCTGCTAAGATCACAACAGGATTCGTTTGCAATTCGTCTTGTGCGACCTCGTCAAGCAGAGCGTAGGAAATTCTTGACGAAATTTCGTCTAGTTCGCGATATGACAAATGACGGTCGTTGATAACAACAGCTGTCGCATGTGGATTAGTTTCAACAAATTCCTCAAAGCTAAAATGGACTGGCAGAAGTGAATCTGTCTTAAGAACAGTTGACGTGGTAGTAACTGATTTAAGTAAACTACGTTCTTTGTTGGATAAAACTTGGATGTTGCAAAGCCTTTTTTCATCTTGTTTGTAAGCTGTCGTGCATAGCTGGAAAACACTGCTGATTAGTCGTTCAGCAATATCATCTTCAATGTACTGGTCCGCCCACTCAGCAACAATTAGGGTTTGGCTTGATTGGTATTTCACCACGTCAAGACTAAGCGGCATCTTTGCATGTTTTGCCAGGACATTTAACTCGTTTGCTTTCAGATTTTGCGTCGTGTAGTTGAACATTACTGAACAGAAAGAGCTGGAGTTCTTTCCATGTGATTTCCACAACATTTGGATGACGTGATCAAGAGGATAGTTGGAGTGACTTAATGTCTCTAACCACTGGGCTGCCACAGTTTTAGTATGCTCCTTGAATGAAAGCGCGTGATCAACTGATGTTCTACACAGAACGGTGTTTACAAATAAACCATCTGAGTTCTTGTGGTTTTCAGTTCGTGTCGTAACAGGGATTGCTAGGGTGATCTCTTCCACTCCAAGATAGCGTTGAAGCACCACGGCAACACAGGACAGGTAATATTGAAATTCAGTAAGGCCGTGTGTCCGACAATACTGCTCTAATTCGTTTGCAGTTTGATCTGAAATTGGTTGAATGCTGTGTTTTGCTCGGAAAACGGTTGTATCGAAATTTGTTGAATCTGCCTTCGGACGAATAGCCAGATCCGAGTCTGCTGGTAGGCTATCAAACTTTTCCCTCCAAAATTCTTTGTCGTCACTGTGTTTTTTGCTTAACATATAAGACATTTCCTGATCGACGTATTCAGCGTAGTTATCACTACCATTTGATTCTGAATCATTCAAGATTTTACCGTCGATAAGTTGCTCCATGTCACGACGTATATTAGTGAGTGTTATGTCATCCACTATCACATGATGGATATGTAACGCCAATACGCTTTCCTCGCTTGCTTTGATAAACCGAGCTTGAAAACTCGAATCAGTGACATTTAAAACAGGCGTCGTAATCTTCAAAAAATCTTCGGTTACATTCCGGCCATCGGTGACTTCCAGTTTGACATCAGTGTTTATCTTGGAATCGGTAGATATCGAATACTCCAAAGTCTCTTCATTAATGGCAATCTTTGACTTTAGAATTGGATGTCTTTGAAGCAAAATAGAAATGATTTCTTTCGGGTCCATATCCTTCTCCACTCGAAATGCAAGTGTTTCAACGTACGCAGTAGATTCGGGATTCGTCTGTTGCATTAGTACCATCCTCTGCTGTGCAGCAGACAACGGAAGTTGGCCTGCATGTTTCGGCTGCGGAATCGATATTGGTTCAACGTTTAACGGACGTGCTTGTTCGACCATTTTCTTAATTTCAGCGTATGTGTTATTCTGAAGCAGATTAAGGATCGAGATTTCGATTGAGCAGAGTCGTCTAAGCGTTGACACGAGATAGACGGCACTGAAGGAGTTGCCACCACACTGGACAAAGTTGTCAGAATCTTCTGGTTCCTTGTCGATTTGCAGCACCTCCATCCACGATGTTCTGAGGACCGTTTCGCGTTCAGTGGCGTATAATTCTTGTCTATTTCCAGTCAGTGTCATTTCAAGTTGCGCGTCGCCGGTAATAATTGGGAAAGTATTGTGAAAAGCAGTTTGTTGTTTCTGAGACTTGCTCCAATTCTCTCTGATCCATTCATTCAACTCCATCAATGCTGCATCGGAACTAGACTGCTGCGGGCTTTCGCCAAAGTTTTCATGAGCGTTTGTTGTTTGAATTGAGCTACCCTTGGAAACTGTCTCGATATTGCAATTTGGCGTTGATTCTGAATCAAATATGTGATGGGAAGTTTGTGACTCTCGATGGCCTTCTTGAAAGAACTGATTTACGTTAGAAATTTCTTTGACGTTATGGAGCGGTTCTGAGGAATGCATCGGGACAAATTTGTCACAGCAGACCATTTTTAGGTTGGCATCGGTCACCATTGATGCATCAATGTTGACTTTTTCCAAAAAATCTAATGCTGGAGTGTTTCTTGTTGTTTTGTTAATTGCAAGTTTTACGCGAGTTGCATTGCTTACAGTTTTAGCTTCCTTGTGGATTTCTTCCAGGATTCTTACTTCAACGCCCCTTCCAAGAGCTCTACAGCTCAAAACCCACTGAGTAATCAGAATAACGTCCAATTTTTTCATCATAACGACGCTTACCACACCGTAGGTACCATGATTGTCTTTCAGTGACACGAGCCAAACAATATCATCATCATCAAATTTCCCAAGATCAGTATTTAAATCGTTCATTTTAAATTGATTCGTCCTCATAAGTAATTCTGATGCTCTTGTGTACAGCGATTTTACTCTTTTTAAGGAGCCGATGTTTGTCTTGCATACCTCTAATTGCATTGCCCAACTCAAGAGCAGTTCGTTTAAAATACTGGAGTTGTTTTCTTTGGCCTTGGTTTGCACCACTAAAGAAGGAAATAACAAAAGTCTATATTATAACATTTATATATATCTACAATCTCTTTTTAATTTCTGCGTAAAGGACTTTTCTGCGTAAAAAACTTTTTTAATTTCTGCGCGGTGAAAAGGCCTGGTGCAACCTGCATGCATGATTTATGTAAACAACTTGTGAAATGAATTTGTAATAAATACGATTTGAATAGATATGCAAATCAATTACAAACACTAGTGGTTGTATTTTCCGATACTAATTTGTATGGGGTATACAGGGTGTGCATGTGACCTAATTCACGAAATTTGGTTGGGTATAAACCTCATTCATGAAGGCTGTCATAACAGTTTTCTATAAAGTTTTGATTTTCAACGCTAGTATTCGATCAATCCTTTTCAATGCATGAAAATAAAGAGATCTGTTTACCAACGAGAATTTTTGAATTAAACTCAAGAACATATTTCGATTGATCACGTCTGTGAAATAAGTTTTAATTATAAGTAAATTAAGCGTAAATTATCGTCTTTCTGTTGAACTAAATGTAACGACAGGCTGGTTAACCCGCAACTGACTGCAATAATAATAGAAACTATTTCAAACCTTGCAAATCCACTTGTCTTTGGAGCTCGCTTCTGTATATTTCAGTTCGCTGTGAAGCCTCGACGCTGACTTTTGCGCGATCTAGCGCCCACAGATTTTGCAACAAAGGCGCTATCAGCTTTGCTATTGACGGAAGTTGAAGTGTTAGTACTTCAGGGCAGTGGTGGATCATTTCCTCGCATTCTACTAAATTATCATCAATAAACACAAAGCTATCAATCCCGAGATTCAGCGTGTTTGAGACATGTCGAATGTTTTTCCACTTGGATTCCCAGTTTGCGACGATAAGTGTGAAATCCGCCTTTTTTAAATTCATCTCGTTCTTCTGTCGCTCGAAAACATCATCAATGTCTTCTTGCTTGTTCTTACTCAAGATAACCAACAACATTCCTTCTGCCTTCTTCTTAAGCAAAAATTCGTGAAGCTCGTAGTTCCCTTTTTTAAAACGAACAGTTTCTTGAGCGCACTCTCCGTCCCACAGAGTATAATCTGCGTCAACAGCAATCACTTTGTACTTCGAATCCCATACACATGCCCGTACAGCTCTAGCCACACTGTATCCGAGGTGGCAGTATCCTGCCCTTGTCAGCGGCATGTTATATTCGCTGTCTGAGCAATTGTCGTAAAAGATTGCGAGATTTTCAGAACTCACTTCTAGACTCACTTGATCCAAAGGTAATAGCCTGGAGAACTTCGCAGTGTTTGGCAAGTGTTCTGTGTTTACCAAGATGACCGTTTTGCTGGTCACAACGCGGCCGTTTGGTTGGCCACATGCTTTTACGAGCTCATTGGCTTCGATAGTGCTCTTTGGTCTAGGGATAATCACTGTTACGTCTGCAGTAGACTGGTTTACGATTGAATCTGCAGTGCAGAGTACTTGCAACATTTGTTCTGGCGGCTGGAGACGGATCTGATCCGCAATAATGGCATGTTGCGTCAAGGATTCTTTCATGCACTTAATACATTCTGGAGTGATGTTAAAAGCTGAAATTATTTCCAAATTGATTGGTTTGGTCTTGGCCCTCTCAGCCATAGCCATGATATTAAGTTGCGCTTGGTAAATCAGGGATTTGATGACCTCTTCCTTGACTACCTCACTATCAAAAAGACAGCCAAACTTAAGTTCTCCTCCGTGAATCCACGCAATGATTTCCAAGTCGTACTCCAGGTACTCTTCAGGATGACGATGGAACCGTCCTTCCTTTAGCTCGTTTAGCATCACCTCAATCCAAGGGATGTGATCAAAGTTGAAGCAACCAGCTTCAAAAGTCGTCTTGGTAGAAGCGTCCATGGATCCCTGGTAGACGAACATGATTTTCGGGAGCGACATTGTTAGCGCTTTTTTGGATTTTAAAAGACCAAATCCCAGGCCGTGATTGGGTATATCACTTATCGTCTGTCCAAGTTCCTTTACTTGATTTACGAGGTCGCCTGATAGTGGTGTATCGAGTATAACCGGAAATGAGCTAGTGCACCATCCCACAGTACTCGTTGAGTCGACTCTCATTAGTTGTCTGCCATGACTTTCGAGGCATATGCTTGTCTTATTGTGGCCGTGGATGGAAGCTATTGCTCTTCCGAAGGCTGTCAAAAGGATATTCTCTTCCGAGCATCCCAGTTTATTTGATGTTGAGCGCAACAGATTGGCATCTATTTTCTCGCTGACCCATTTGGCTGAGTGGAAAGTACTTTGTTTGTCTTCCTGAACGAGGCGACCGGACGTCTTGTACTCTTCCTCAATTCTCTTCCAGTATTCAATTTCGTCAACGAATACTCTCTCGGTCTCGGTTTCAAGCTCTTTACAATAGGTTCGGTAACTTGTCTGACACTTTTCAAGTTCTGGTTCTTTTGTGGCATCTTTACTAAGTCTTCTCAAAGCAGTAGCGAGGTCGACCAGAAGTTGTTCCCAAGAGACAATGTCCACCGCAACGTGATGCACTACAAGTAGTGCAAAGTGTTCTTGTTGCTTTGAATGGACTGGGTCCATCACATTTATAATTGCAGAATTCATGAGATGGCCATTCGCAAGGGATGTACTTTGTTCCAGTCTATCGCATAGTTCTATAAAGAGCGGCTCGTTAGTCAGATTATCCTCTGTCTTTTCAATTTGTTGCATTTCAACCTTCAGCTCGTTGTGCTTCATTGGCAGGACCTGCTGAAAGACCTGCCCATCTTCTACACCAAACCGAGAACGTAAAGAACCATGTTTTTTAATAATACTTTTTAATGCTTTTTCCAGAATTTCAGGAGAGATTTCATTATGGAACTGTAAAAGAGCTGACAAAGAAAAACGATCTGGTTGTTTTAACTGCGGACTTCTCTCGAAAAATAATTGGACAATTGGTGTTGGACGGAATGGTGTTTCCTCCATTTCAGGTGGAACTTCGATACAATCACTTTTTCCATTACTTTTTTCCAGGATTGGTGCCAATTTCTGAATGCTCGGATTCTGAAAAATGTCGGTGACAGAAACTTGAAATCCTTCATCTCGCATTTTTCTAACTAAATGTATAGCCTGCAAGGAGTCGCCTGACAAGTCAAAGAAAAAATCCTCTTCAGGTTTTGGCAAATGATCGACTGGCAATATACTTTGCCATATTTGTTGAAGCTTTGCCGTCGATGCGGGATACTTAGACGCATTTGATGAATTTGTTACGTTGCAAGAAAGTTTTCTATCTGCAATAATCTCGGCGAGGAACAGTTTTTGCAAATAGTCTGTATCTTTTTTGCCATTCTTGTTTGTCGGAGCAGTAGAAAGATGAACAAAGACTTTGGGAATACATCTTACTGGGAGGACTTGTGCTAGAGATGACAGCAAGGATTGTTTCCAAGTATAATCGCCATAGTTAGCACCAAGGTTATTATTCTTGAGTTTAACAGCAGCTCCTAATAAAGTGTAGCCCTCGTGGATAAACGTGCATACCCACGCACTTGCAACCGCAGGATCAGCTTCAATCATGTGTTGGACCTCCATTAAATCAACTCTTACTCCATTTACTTTCGTCGTCTCAGAACCACGATCTCGGCCGAAGTAGATTAGGTCTCCAGACGGTGGTACAATCTGCACTACATCTTCTGTCAGCAGCATTTGCTCGCCAGGTCTACCCCAGCACGAGGCAGTGAAAGACTTGTTTCGTTTCGCATCTCTTGAGGCACCGCTTCCTGCAAAGTCCAGACACAAGCATTTCCCACCAATAGCTAGATGACCTTTTGCTCCAAGAGGGACAAGATGCTGCTGATTTCTAACGACCGCAATTGTGACATTATCGATTGGTTTGCCAATTGGAATGTGTGCGCATTCTTTCAAAGGTAATTCGTCGCTTTTTAGACATCGTACCACGCAGCCAACTGTTGCTTCCGTTGGACCATACTCGTTCCAGACTACGAATGGTTTATCACCTTTATTTTTTTTCAATTTTTCGAGCAAGTTTGAAGTTAGTTCCTCGCCGCCTAAAATGAAGGTCGATGCGCTGAGTGTGTCGGTACTTGTGGACAATATCGTGTCAAGTTGAAGAGGGGAATACTTTGCAATTGTGATCTCAGTTGAAGAAGCCAGCATCTGATACGAATCTCGAAAAGGCTCAAAAATTTGGATAACGCTCCCTCCCAACAAAGGAGGGAAAATGCTGGTTATTGTGAAATCAAATGTTAGCGGCGCAAAAAAAGGTGTAATTGTGGTCGAATGGAATTGATAGGCTTTAGTTGCCCATGTGACGTAGTTGACCAGCGCTTCATGTCCAATGATAACTCCTTTGGGAGTTCCTGTGGTACCGGACGTATACAGCACGTACGCTTCGTCTTCAAGTTGAACTTCTCTTGACCACTCACAAACAATTTGCAGTAAGGCATTTTTATCTTGAGTCATTACGGCGTCTGATACATCTTTTAGAGCAAAAACCTGTTTTTGCACTACCTCTCCAGATGATGGATGATATTCGATTGACTTGGTAAACAGTGCATCAAATCGAAACTCGGTAAGCTCGTTCACTACGGTGTATTTTTTTCTTGAAGTCTTTACCAGCTTCAGAGTTTTCGAGGAATCGCACAAGTGTTGCAGGAACGTTCGAGAAAGAAAGAGTTCGTTTCGCCAGTCGATCTTTACTCTGCATTCCGGGTGGGCCTTCTTGAAAGACTTGACCGAAGTTGTAAGCTTTTCTTTGAGGTCTAAATCCATGACATCTCCTAGGAAGATGACTCCACCTTCAGCGAGCATATTTTCACAGCTCTTGAACACACTACGCAAGTAATTGTAACCTGGAAAACAGTGCACCACGCTGTTCATAATAATCACATCGAACAACCTTCCTTGCAGCATTCGCTCTAATTCGTCGGCGGGAGCACAAAGCACTTTAACGTTTGTCACGCTTTTCTTTTCTAGTTCGGCCAAAAGTCGTTTGGTCATGATATCGGATAGATCAGTGGCGACGTATTGCGCAACCAGTGGGCAGAGTTTCTGGACGGTGAGCCCAGAGGCACAGCCAATTTCAAGCACACGCGTTGTGGGGTTGAGGTAGTCTTTTAGTTTGGTTAAAACGTTGTCGGCATACTCCTCCATCTCTTTGACTGACATGTGCTCTCCAGTGTAAGAACTCTTCCATCCTCCACTTTCGATGTCATCCTTTGCATTGTTTGCCACGCAGTTCCACAACTCGACATCCATTAATGGAGAACTTCCTACCGAATCCGGAATGGCAAAGAAATCCTGTGAATCAACGCAAATTATCGACTGGACAGCAGGGCAAGCCCAATGAAGGTAATTAGCCATCGCGATGTATAATTTGTTGAAAACGATAGCTTTGATATCTGCCTCGTTGCAGATATGTTCAAGACGCGACTGCGGACAGCCTGTGTCCATAGGAACATAGACTAGTCCCGAGAACACCGAAGCAAGAATGTACTCGATACTTTCTGCACAGTTTTCTACAAGCAGTCCTATTCTTGACTGTTTCGGCAATTTGCAGACCTTTCGTAGAAACCACGAATGTTCCATCGCACGGTGCAGCAACTCTTCATGAGTGATTTTTCGTTTGTTTGCCTCGATGACTGCAGTGCGATTGGCGTTTGTTTGAAGACTTTCTTTTAGTAAGACAGGCAGAGATTTCTCATTTTCGCGAATAGTTCCTTGCAGAATAGAAATTTCGCTCAGAGGTAGCTTTTTCTGCTTTTGTTCCGTCGCACGAAGACCAAGTTGCACGAGCGGTGTGTTTTGGTTTTCACAACAGGTTTGAATAAGCCGGATGAAGTCGTTTACAAGTCTTTCTGCGTACTGATCCGAAAACAAATCACTGTAATATTCGAGCGTAAACCTCATACCCTCTGATTCTTGAAGGAAGTCGAACTGCATATCCCATTTGGTTGTTTCGTTATGCTGCAATCTTCTGTCGACAGTGATACTGCTCGGTAGGCTCGTGTGCTCTGATTTAATTTCGGTGTTATGGTAACATACGTTAACACTAAAAATGGGTGTGATGCTTGTATCTCTCGGAAGATTCAGCTGACTGACGATATGGTCAAATGGTACAGTTTGGTTATCAAATGCTTCAAGAAATACTGCGGAAACCACATCTAACAGATGTTTAAAGTCACACTGATCCGGAATCTGTATCCTTAGGGCAAGAGTGTTAACAAAACAGCCGATAACATGTCTGTATCTTATGTCGTTTCGGCCTGCCACCGGGGTTCCAATGATCAAATCTCGGTCACCGGTGTATCGATGCAACAAAACATAGACAACTGATAACAACTTGATGAATACCGTGTACTTCTCCGAGTGAAATCGATTTAAAACTTGGAAAACGCGGTTTTCAAGAAACCGAGTTATTCTCTTCCCCTTGTAAGTAAATATTGGTGGCCGCTTTTTGTCTCCAGGGAATGTAGTCAGGGGCAGAGGAACAGCAAGTTTATTCTTCCAGTAGGCAATATGACTCTCCATTTCCGAGGACAATGACCCATGTTGTTCTTGTTCAGCAAATTCAGCATATAATGGACGCTGTAAGTCCGATTTCACCTTTTTACCCTCGCATAATTCTTTGTAGCAGTTCCAAAGCTCGTTGTAGAAAACGAAGTGTGACCATCCGTCAAAGATTATATGGTGAACAACCATAGTAAAGTAGAACACTTCGTCAGGAAGGTGGTAGAGTCTGCATCGGACAAGAGGACCTGCGCGGAGATCGAACCTCGTTTTATAATCATCCCTGTAAAGAGCTGTCATAACCTCTTCTGCCTGCGCACCAAACTGTTTCATGTCCACTTCTTCGACACTGACATCTGCCTGCCAGTCATAAGCTTGTGTGGGGCCTTCCTTTGTGTCCGTAATGATCGTGAAGAAAGCACCATGTCTAGAAAGGACTGTATTGGCAGCAGACACAAATGCCTCAGGGTGAAAACTTCCAGTAATTCGAAGACAATTTGTAGCATTGTACGCACATAAGGTGACCGCCATTTCTTCCATTACCCACAAGCGATTTTGCGAAAACGAAAGAGGGAAGGTCGTGTTTTCTTCGAAGATAGTTTCCTTCGCCTGGCTTACATGGTTTCCAATTTCTTTCGGTGAATCGTTTTTATTCAGATGAGCGATAATGAGTTCACAAAGTAATTTGTACGTTGGAAATTCTCTCAAGTGAGTTAGTGACAACGGTTTCTTAATAGTGAGGACGTTGGACAACTTGTTATTTACTTGAGTCCAAGCAAGTGAGTCGAACCCGAGTGTGAACAAATTCTCATTTTGTAGCAAATTCCAATCGTAATTGGTAGCCAGACTGTCATTTAGAGCATCTCCAACGATCAGCTTTACGTCTACTTTACTTTGCTGTTGTCGTGTCTCTTTTGTTGTCTCGTCCAATTGTTGTTGGGCATCCGTGTGTTTAGTGATGACGTCTATCAGGCCTGCACAAGTTGGGTTGTTGTGAAAAACCCCCAAAGTCAGAGTGTAATTCAATGCGTTCTGTAATTTCATCAACAATTGAGTAAATAGCAAAGAATCCATACCAAGGGCAAATAGGTTCTCATCCGCCATCTTTTGCCAATCATAATCTGTACTAAGAACTTCGTTAAGTGCTCCGTGAATGAATGTTTCGACGTTGACGTTTGATGGTGTTGAGCTCACAAAGCTATCCATCTTTTCTCCTTCTGCATTTGTGATGCATTCTTTATAGGAGCTCCCGTTTGGTAAATCTTCAAATCTGCCAGCCACAATGTGATCTTGCTGAGCTAGTCCATGTTCTAACTGCAGCAGCCGGTTATTGATCATTTTCCCTATAGCAGGCCAAAATCTGGTGCGATCGAAGGCATAGTTTGGCAACAATCCAACTTTGTTAAGCCCGTTTTCTTCGGCGTAAAATGTCCTCCAGCAAATTTCTTGTCCATCCAAAAACGGCTTCGTGATACTGCGAAAATGGTTGGGTAATTTGAAGTTGGTAAGTGTAGTGTACCCAAAATCAATAAATTGCTTACATTCTTTTGCATTATTTTCCTCTCTGGCTGGTGCAGTGGAATTTAGCTCTTGGCAAAGCTCTTCCAAGGCTTTGCTCATGTGTTCCCATGTTGAGGCTAGCGCAACCGCTCTGTACTTGAATCTCTTCTGTTCTCTTCCAGTGTTCAACGTGAAACAAACATTCCTTAGCATTGAGTAAGACTTTGCTTCGCACTGTTGAAAATATCTGGCAATTTTTCCGACAAAATTCACCAAAGATTGCTTGGTATTTGCTGTGAGTGTCAGCAACTGACACTCCTGATATTGTACGGAAGAATGTACCGCGTTGTACTCCCGTACGACCGCGTGAACGTTTGTACCCAGAAGACCAAATGCACTGATGCTTGCATACCTTGTTCGCGTACCTTGCAACGAGGGCCATTCTTTGAGCGTGGTATTCACGTAGACTGGCGAGGAGGCCCAATTGATATGCGGGTTTGGTTGTGTAAAATTTATTGCAGGCGGTATCTTTTCTTTTTTTAGACACATCAGAACTTTTATCAATGACACAACTCCAGCAGCACCGTCAGCTAAGTGTCCAATGTTAGCTTTTACCGAGCTAATTGGAATCTTACTAGCTGCATCTTTTTTGTCGTAACTAATCCCGAATGTCTTGAAGGCTGTCGTTATTCCCGAGATCTCTATGGGATCTCCTAGCTCGGTACCAGTTCCATGAGCTTCGAAATAGCCAAGTCTGTCCGGATTGATGTTTGCTAAATTCCATGCCCTGACCAACATCTTCGCTTGGGCACCTGGATGTGGTGCTGTAATTCCATTTGAATGACCGTCTTGGTTGCTTGTTGTGGCTTCTAATATTCCGTATATTTGATCTCCATCTTTCTCGGCTTTCTCTAATGGCTTCAGTATGACAACGCCGCAACCTTCGGCTTTGGCGATGCCTTTTGCTGAAGCATCAAAAGCACGACACTTCACTCCCGGAGCGGTAATTCCAAGTTGGTTCCAGATATCCGTCTTGGCGCTAATCGGAAGAAGATCTAGGGTAATGCCTCCCGCAATTGCCATGTCACAGTCCCCGGAGAGCAAACCTTGACATGCGACGTGCACAGCGAGGAGGGACGACGAGCATCCGGTGGCAATCATCATTGCAGGTCCTTGCAAATTATGGATGTACGAAATCCGCGATGAAATAAAGGGTGAGTGATTTCCATGGGAAATGCTTGGATGATTCTCAGTAAGGATATACTTGTATTTGTTGACAGTATTTCCAACGTATACACCAGTGTTAGATCCTCGGATGGTAGAAGCATAGCCAGCGTCTTCAATGGCCTCCCAGGTTGCCTCAAGAAATAATCTTTGCTCGGGTTCAATGAAAAGAGCTTCCTTGGGGTTTATTTGGAAAAGTTTGGCATCGAAAGTGTCGACCGATTGAAAAAACGAGCCGGTAAAGTAAGGATTATCTTCGTCCACCAGTTGTCCTCGAAAGGTAGCAGTAACGTGCTCGATGTCCGAAATTCTTTCTTGGGGAAATTTTGCGACTGTATCACGACGATTTTTTAACAAATTCCAAAACTCCTCGCATGTTTCGGCACCAGGCAGCTTTGTTGCCATGCCAATGATGGCTACGGGAAATTGGCCACTGGCCATCCCTGAGAATGAAACATATCATGGTAAGAAAGGGTCTGTAATAAACAGACTATAAAAAGACTGCAACGATAACTCCATAATAAAGTTCTTCGATAAAGCTGATTTGAATATAATTCGCTGATTATGCCGGAAGCCGCGCAGGCAAAACCGCCTTCAAAAGAACTGGAGAAGAGCATCGAGGGGTGATCGTATTTTGGGGCAAAAAGCATGTGGTTTCTATAGAGTCGCCCCCTAGCCCATTTCTTGTTAATATTTATTCTTTTAAAATGTAAATTTTATTCTCCTTTTTCTTAGGCGAAATAAATAAAAAAATATTGCATTCTCCTTTTTCTTAGGCGAAATAAATAAAAAAATATTGCAAGCCAAGTTGCTCTGGGTGAAAAAAGACTTGCAGGAATCTTCAATCACGATGGTTACCCAGACCAGACACACCCAATGGTGGAAATAGACGATTTTTGTAGAAACGAAAACAAACTAGGTTCTAACGCTAGAACAACGGAATTGGTTTTATCTAGTTCTAAAAATTCTTTCGTCCGAGCTGAACCTCAATAAATCAAACTTTTCCAGTTTTACAGGCTATAAATATAAAACTTCTATATACGATCTATCTAAAATGAACAGTCGCTATTTCACTTAGACTTCGACCGTCCCAATTGTCTTTAAAGTCAACCATGAAAATGTTATCAAGTTAGCTTTATTACTTTTTGAGGTATCGTAAACGAAAATGGGAAATGAGAATGAGGAATGAGAATTTTAGTTTGCTAAGAAAAGCGACGAAAAAAGTTTTGCATGAGCATTTACACATAAATTATAGAGAACAATACAATCGAACAATGAAACAAATTTAACAATGAAGCAAATTTTAAAAATGTATTCTGAGAAACGTCCTAGTCTATGTTGCAATAACTGCGAGTGAAATGACTTTAAAAGAGAAAGAAACTAAGAAATGTAAAAGACTTTACCTAAATCCTAACTGTCTGACTTAATATATTACTGAAAATATTTTGGGCAACAATACGAGCTCAGGGTAAACTAAATGAATTAAGCATTTCAGTAGGAAATTATGATAATAATAGTGAAAATTGTCACGAGTGACATTTGTGTGTGCTAAGTTCACCACAGTGAACTCAAATAAGACTGGAACGCTAGCTCTGCGAAAAATTTGAAGCCAAAATGGCGGAATATGAAGCCTTTCTTGTAGGGACAGTAGGGAACAGTGTAGATGTGATCCAAACCTCCACGCGAAAATTTCGCAGTTAAATGGACCTCTTCCGCAATTGCAAAGGATCATGGTAGACTTACACGGCAGAATTTTCCATCATAGCCGCTTGCTGTATTCGAACCAGTGAAATGAATATAACTTGAACGCTACCTTCTGACCGGAAGTTGAAACTAAGTCACCCCCAGTCTTTACACGCAAAAACAAATATGGCCAAAACAAAAGTATTTTGTTGTGATTTCGTAAATCTGATAAAAACTCCCCAAAAATTTTTTAAGACCAAATAAAGCCGGCTATAAAGCAAGAATACTCAGCTATATGCTCAGCTGAAGTACAACCTGATAGCACCCTCTTGTTTGGCAATGACCTGGCTAAGACCCTAAAAGATGCTGAAGAGGCCAGTAGCATAAGCTCTTCATTGAGAGCTTACCCTAAAAAACCTTACCCAACAACCAAAAACCTGCCTATGCTAACAATAATGCACCCTTTTATAAACGACCACAGAAGGATTTTTTGTGGAAAAAACAGAAGACTCCAAACAAAAGAAAGAAACCTTGGAGTCAAGGCAGGGCAAACGATCCAAAATAATGGATGAACTTAAGAAATTTAGAAATTCGGTAAGTGATTACGAAAAATTTGTACGTGAGGTTATATCGTACCTCCAGCAGGCATGCAACAATTTTTGCAGGTTGCCAAATGTTATTCAGAACTTGACAAAAATTACGAGTGACAGGGAAATTCTTTTCTGCTATAAAAGGGGTGAATATTGAATCTCTGGAATCTCCAGTACAACACACAACACAACTCACCTCCACAAAAGTTTCCCGACATGAGTACCCTATCATAGAGGGGTAGGTAAATAAATTACTGTAGAAGGAGGTTATAACCAAGTTAACTTATGATCCCAGGCAAATTGTTTCTGGTATATTCCTACGCTCTAAGAAAGATGGGTCTCATTCTAAACCTAAAACAATTCAATATTAATGTAGTATATCACCATTTTAAAATGGACTCGATCCAAACCATAGTAAAATTAGTGACACCAAATTGTTTTATGGCTACTCTTGACTTGAAAAATGCCTATTATTCTATACCTATTAACACAGTGGATCAAAAATACCTACGCTTTACATGGAATGACAATTTGCACCAATTCACATGCTTACCTAATGGGTTGTGTTGTGCACCTGGCCCAGGAAGTTTACAAAACTTCTCAAACCAGCCTTAGCATCTCTGCACACTAAGGGACACATTTCAGTGGCTCATATTGATGATTGCTACTTGCAAGGTCAAACATCTGAACAATGCCTAACAAATATCATTGATATTATCACTTTATTTTATCGTCTTGGCCTTACAGTACACTCCACTAAAGCTATTCTAATGCCCTGCCAAGAGATGGTTGTCCTGGGTTTCAATTCAGTATCAATGACGGTTCGGCTCACTGAAGACAAATCCAAGGGAATAAAGGAGTCTTGTGAAGCTCTACTATCTGCAAATCAACCTATATCAATAAGGGAATTAGCCAGGGTTATTGGAAAACTAGTGGCCAGCTTCCCAGGGGTTATGTATGGCCCCCTATACTATAGGAATCTAGAGTCAGATAAAAGTTGTGCATTGATTCAGTCAAAAGGAAACTTTGATGCTAAAATGTTTTTATAATTATATGCAAGGGATTGCAGTGGTGGGTGTATAATGCAGAGACAACTTAACATAGGTTACAATTGGATGAACCCTCACACCAAATAACAACGGATGCCTCCCTCTCTGGGTGGGGGGCTGAATGCGAAGGGGTATCGTCAGGTGAGCTATGGACAGCTTTGGAAGCCACAAATCACATAAACTACCTAGAGATGTTGGCTATTTTTCTGGTGCTGAAACCATTTGCCAGGGATAAGCTAAACTCGCATGTTAGAGTGAGGTGTGACAACATCACTGCTGAAATGGCTAAGACCATCTGGGAGTGGTGCATTCACAAAACTTAGCAGCCGACTACGGGTCGCGAAGGAATCAAAGGAATCTGAGTGAATGCTAGACACGTCGGTGCTAAAAAACGCGTTATATCAACTCGATTTTCCACCAGAGATTGACCTTTTCGCGTCTCGAGTTAATGCTCAGTTTCTGAAGGACGTATCGTACAGACCTGATCCAAATGCTTTCGAGGTGGATGCGTTTACGTTAAAATGGAGAAACATAAAATTTTACGCTTTTCTTCCGTTTAGTGTTATAGCGGCAGTATATATTGGCAAAAATCCACAACGAGGAGGGTCTGGGCGATGAAAAGAGTACTGAACATGCAATGGCCGTTTGTCGATTTGAGCGGCTTTGTATACACATGTTTGACGATAGCATATTACAGATAGAACGGAGAAATTTTTTGCTTAGAGTATTCGAATACTTGTTAGCATTGATGATATGACATTTGCAGTTCAATAAATCTATGTGAAAAAACGAAAATATGCAGAAACCGGGTTAGTTGCATGCCTTCGCGAAGGGATTAAATTTATGCCACGGGTGCGTGCTTGAAATTAGACGGCTAGACTTTAGAGAAGTTGCCTGTCGTGGTTTCGCAAGCTAGAAGAAGAATAGAACTAGAAGGATATTCTCTAAGCTTTCTCTCGAATGGCCGTCTTTTAGTTTTACAAAAACTCGTCGTCAAGCTAGTAAATCGAACTTTTATAAAGCCTGGCGGTCGCCCGTGTCAACTTTGCAAAAAGAGTAGCCTTTACGGAGTTATTGCGAGCAAACAAAATGAAATAAAACTCTCATTTTCGACCATGTTCTTAACAATATAACAAAGAAAAATAGCCTTTTGAATTTTTTGATTTCCATTAAAAGCGAAGCGGCCACATCGGTTTGTATGAAAACTAGCCACTCCAGCTCCGGGTTCGCTCGAATCCGGAGCCACGAACCCGGAGCTGAATATGCTCTCATCAGAACCTTCAGAGCCTTTGTTTTCTCGCGAGAGGAATCGCGAGCTTGGGGAACGAGATTGATTAATGAGGGAAAGTCAGAGAGCTAGCGTTCCAGTCTTATTTGAGTTCACTCGTTCACTAGCGCCATGCATGCTTTATATGCGATGCATGAGATTTAAAGTTTTCAAAGCGCGCTTTGAGGATTATTTTGCCCTATTATACTATGTCGCACAGTCGCTACACGAAAGGGGAAATGTACACAAAGGCATCTTTATTTTTGAAGTTATCGACGTATACGCCTTAATAATAAACGTCCTAATAAAAGTCTTAAGCATGCAGGGAAGCTAAAACAACAAGAGTGATAAATTATCTCCCATAAAGAACATCATTCAGCAATTTCTATATAGCCATGCAGCAAGATGCCGGGTTTCCAAACGTATTAATAGAATTTTCATGTTTACGTGGCAATAATTTTTGTAAGGGCGGCAACTTTCATCTGATTGGTCAGTTTTTAAAATTACGTATTTGCGAGGAAGTAAACTAGCAGGTCTACTACCTAGAATTCGAACACCAAGAAAACGACAAATTCTGTTAAATTAAATCCCTTACCTATAATTAGAGATGATGAATTGCTAAGTAATATCTTCAGCAGGAATATTTCGTATATGAGTATCAGCAATGAACCAAATTAAGAACTTTGTATTCTGAGTAAAGGCTGTTTTCCATAAAGTTCGCTTCGCCTGCGAGGACGAAACGCATTTTGAAAATCTGCTCATGCGACTGTGAAGGACCTTAAAAACAAAGCGCTTCGCCCACGCGAACGGAGCGGACGTATAATGGAGAATCGCCTTGGTTTAATATAAATTCCCTGGTTATGTTGCAATAACCTTTGTCTGATTAGTCAATTTTTAACATTACAAGCCTAAATGCCAGAAATGAACTATAGCAGGTGTATTACGACATGATATACTATGTACAGAATGTTTTCTGTGCTTATAGCTTGTGATTTCATGCCTGATTGGCTCTATTTTAGAACAAGCGAATTATGAGTTAAGGAGGGCTCAAATTTTATCATGCTGACACGACAATTTTTGCAATGACCAAATTCATAGCCATTGCCGACTAATCAGTTTTAAAATTATATCGAGTATTTGCTAAGACGTGAAATAGCACATATTAAGCATGCAGGAAATTAAACAACGACAATCTTAAAGAACATCATGCAATTTCTATTTACTATTTAGGCCAGATAGATGCCTGGTTTCCAAAGATATTCTAAGAAAGGTATTCGTACCCTCTCCATTTAGTGTTGTATTACAACTATATTATCATGTTTAGCAGATGTGGAGTGGTTTGGATATTACAGGTTGATATATTTGGACAAAATGTATCAAGGAATACAACGGTTTTGGGTGTTGACCATAAGTATAATATGTATGATGTACCGCGTATATACAGAATACCTCAATATAATAGAATTTTAGTATCTTTAGCAGGAATATTCAATATGTGCATCAGAAGTAAACCAAATCAGGAAAATTGTGTCCTGAATAAGTTAGTAGAATTTTCCTGTTTACGTGGCAATAATTTTTGTAAGGGCGGCAACTTTCGTCTGATTGGTCAGTTTTTAAGATTACGTATTTCTGAGGAAGTAAACTAGCAGGTCTACTACCTAGAATATTTTCTGTGCTTATAACTTGTGACTTGATTGGATCTATAGCGAATTATAAGTTAAGGAGGGCTCAAATTTTATCATGCTGACACGACAATTTTTGCAATGACCGAATTCATAGCCATTGCCGACCAATCAGTTTTAAAATTATATTGAATAGTTCCCCCGACGTGAAATAGCACATCTTAATCATGCAGGAAATTAAACGACAAGTATCGTTAATCATCTCCCATAAAATCAAGGAACAGCATGCAGCAATTTCTATTTAGGCTAGAAAGATGACTGGTTTCCCAACATATTCTAGAAAAATACAAGTAAGACAGGCCATTCGTACCCTCGCCATTTATAGTGTTATGTCGCGTGTAGTATATAAAGTATATTATCCTGTTTAGCAGATTTTTGGAGTAGTTTGGGTGTAATAGGTTGATATTTGGACAAAATATATTTGCGTGTTGACTATAGTATATATGTATCGATCAGATCACGCCTGATTGCAAATGTTAACTCAATGCGGTTTAAATTCCTGCGACATATTAACGTGGACAAAACGAAACTACGCCCAGTCTCGAAAATGCACTAATTTTAGGTGAATTTGAAAGGCATTTTGTCTATATTACATTGAGAGAACCAATAACGCAAGAAGAATTAAGGTGAATACCAAGTTTTATAGGGTTAATGTGTTTAAATGTTGAACAATTTGCCAATATTTCTTGTGTTGCCGTGGATATTTAATAATTTAATCAAACGAAATAAAATTGAACCAAATCTGTCTTTGTAAAAACGAAAAGAGACAACGAAATGGAAAAGCCTCATGCCTTATATATTTAATGAATTGAATACTTTACCTTAGAGATGATGAATTGCTATATCGTCCGCAGAAATATTTCGTATGTGTATCAGCAGTGAACCAAATTAAGAAAATTTCGTTCTGAGTAATGTGATGAAGTTTTCTTGTTTATATGTGGTAATAATTTTGCAAGGGTAGCAACTTTCGTCTGATTGGTCAGTTTTGGAAAACGTGCTCTCCTGATTTATTCCTAGCGGAATGAGAAAGTTCAAGGCTATTCGCACTTTGCTACAGTTAAGTAATATTCCCCTCACGTGCATGGAGCATGTTTCACGTGCACAGTCAGCATACCTATATAAAGAGATCCGAAAGGTTCAAGGTCATTCTATATTTGATTTCGTCGAAGCAAATTCGGAAGTTTTCACCCGACCCTCCCTCCCTTTCTCTAGGTTGTGAGCTACGATAATTTCTATGTAATTATGATGGTGGGCGTTTTTTATCACCCCACCTTTTCTGTGCTGTACTAAAATACGAACATTGTAACAATTAGCTATAATTTGTTACTTTTGGTTGAATTAAATCGGCATGTGCTCTGGCACATTGCCATTATTTTATCCAAAAAGTGTCATTCTTTATGTCATTCTTTATGTCATTCTTGTTTTAACCTATATTTAGGGTTTCAACATGTTAATCCCAGGAAGTAAACTGGCAGGTCTACTGCCTAGAATTTGAACACGAAGAAAACAATGAAATTTTGTTTCGGAGAAGCCCTTACTATATATATTCAAAATTTAGATTGTTTGTTATACTGAATAGACCAGAAGAGTGTTCAATATCGATGGAAGTAGAGCAACATATATTAATTATTTAATCTTAAAGTAAAGCCATCGCTACACGGAGCTATAAAAGCAATGCAATACTTCAAGCGACTAAACCATTCGGTAGGAAGAAAATTTTGTTCATACAGTTAAGGATTCAGTTATTCACAACATGCCTGTACACGGGCGTACAATGAGTATTTATAGTAGTTATAATAAAGTTGAAATATTGCTGCTGAAAGAACGGTCCTTAACTACAAGGAGCGCCCTCTTTTTCTTAAGTAGCTATTAAGTAGCTATTAAGTAGCTATTAAAGATGAAAGTTCTTTTCATGTTTTATACTTTAAATTTTCAGGAATTCAATCTGGCTGCTTCATGGAAGCGTAAATGCACCTCATGCTAAAGGAAATCTTATAAATGTCAACCATTACGGTTGCATGCGTGTTATTAGGGAGCTTTAGCAGTGACTACGAGGACGACTACGAGTACGAGATTCTCATTCTCGTGCGTTGTTTGCTTACGCCATCAGCCAAAACTCGTAGTCGTTGGGCTTTTGAGTACGAGTTTTTTGGCAAATTTCGTACTCGAAAGCCCAACGACTACGAGTTTTGGCTGATGGCGTAAGCAAACAACGCACGAGAATGACGAATCTCGTACTCGTAGTCGTACTCGTAGTCACTGCTAAAGCTCCCTATTCCAAGCAGATAGCGAGACGCGTGGAGCAAAAGCAAAGCATTTAGGAAAGCTCGCGACAATAATTGAATGCGAAATTAAAAGCTGTTTTTCCATCACATTCGCTTCGCCCACGCCTCGCCCACGCTTCACCCACGTCGTGTTGTAGGCTAAAGTATGAAAAATACAGTTATAAGAAGTTAGCAAATTTTGTATACTTTTGTACTACGGCTGGAAGTATGTAACCAATTGGTTATACATCTCCGCACGTAGTTAATGTGCGATATCTAGTTGTGCGTGAAAGAGCGAAAGTTTGTTCGTTAAGACTTAAGTTTTGTAGCTTGAAAGCAATGTTTGTGACGTCCTCGAGTAATGTTACTATTCGTGACGCTCACCAAATTGTCAAGGGAAAATAGGGAATTTAGTGAAACGACGTGACGCCTAAGACGCCCTGAAAATGGTGTGGATTTGGCGTAATCACGAGCATATATGGACATATCACACCATATCACACGCCATATCACACGCCATTTTCACACGCTCTTTCAGGCGTCACGTCGTGTTTGCTAAATTTCTCTAATGTCGAGTTTGTGACTTACGGCTAGAAATTAGAGTAGAAATAGCGGCCATGCATTCATCGTTTTTCACATCTTCTTTATTTATAGTCACAAAATTGACAGTTTTCCAACTTCGTGAGCGTCACGTTGTAACATTATTAGATAAAGTCATAAAGGAAAACAGTAAGGTAATATAATGGTTGTATTCCGCTTTACTCTATATTTTTTGGATTCTGCTTCTGTTTGCGACAACAATCGTACAATCTTAGAAACTATTATTTCTAGATATTTGTAAATTTGACGTCGCAATTACAAATACCAGGAATTATTTATAGGTGACTAACCAATCAAAACGCATTGGATACATATAGTGAATAATAAAATCTGCTGTTCGCAGCTAACTACGTGTGCATATTGAAAATTATACCAGATTAACTGTGCATGTTCACAGTCAAAGAAAGTTAATTCTCTGTCGTGTTATTATTTAAAATCGTCTTCATTAAAAAATGGAAAATTCGGAAACACTTCTAAATATTAGAAAGGATAATACGTGCATGGTAACTATATTATAATTATGCAAATATATTTCATATTTGTTTGAAAATTGCTTATTGCAGGACGTAATTATTTTCAATTTTCTAATATTGAGATGCTGATCTTTTTCATCAAGAACGCGTCTTCGTTTTGCATTGTAATGAATGTGGTGATGAAGTTCTCAATTTCATATAAATGAAATCGTTTGGGAAAAACACAAATAAAAGGCGGAAATGGTTTAAATCATTTTCAAACAATTCTTTATATATATACATCCTTGGTAAATTTCCACATATCGTTGCTAAATTTGTAGTTGAGAGCTGTAGTTTTTTTATTATAAAATTAATCATTTATTTGACATTGGGGTATAATATCAGCTAATATGGGCAAATTAAAACCCATCAATTTCCTCACAAAAATCGCTTACTCTGACTGGGACGATATTGTTTTAATTACCTGCATGACGACCACTAATGACTTGATTAAACACTTTAATCTCTAATATAAAATCGACCTAGAAATAACGTTCCACAATAGTCAGTGAAACATTGAGTGACATGTCGAGAGTATTTGTATTCCAAAGGTAGATTTTTGGCACCTTTATATAAATAACAAGAAAGCATATACTTTGAAAACCTAAACGAGCTATTGAGGCTTACTATACCAGAAGCAGAGTATAGCTAAGATGTCACTCTTTTTCTATGGACGGCATACGGTGTGCGCTTTCACACTTTATACGATAGTTTTAAGTCTATGTTTGTGCCAGACGGCTGAAGGCGAAACACATTCTGTAAACGTCACAAATTCAACGGTAAGTCGATCATAGAACATTTATAAAGGCTATTGTGAAGAATAACTGTCTTCACTGTTGGTATCTGCATTGTCCATCGGTCTAATAGTAGCTATATTTTGCTACATTATCGATATTTTTTGGCTTTTTGCTCTTTGTTTTTTGGCTTTCTAACAATATCTTTGTGCAATAATGGCTAGAAATAACCAAACAATCGTGTATTAAAAATTACTGATTGAAACTGAACCTGATCTAAAATATACTGATCCGATAGATGCTTTCCCGCGCTTGCACTTGGTAGACATTGTTACATTGCATGGCGCATACACGAGTTAAAAGCTGGTGCTCTTCGTTTTGCCTCAATCGCGGGCAAGTCATTGCCATTGCCATTCACGTAAATCTATCGTAGGGAAGTGCTTGGGAAGTTCTGTCGTATTGTATAAACACTAAATAATTAAACTCAACCTTCGTAAACCTTTATTATCTAACTTCCAATTCGTTTCTCAAGGCGTTCCTTTGATTAAAAACAAAATGAGAGCAAGAAATAGCGTTGTATTTAAATTGTTACACTTATGGTTTCGATAAATTATTCTTTATTTTGATACTTTTTCTGTTAAATTGTCACTGTGTATGAGGGTGTATGTCATAGCCACTATATGATCGATTGTAAATTCCGCGGTAGCGTGTGTTCTGTGTATATACTCGTTTGTATAGCCAACAATCCTGTGTATACAATTCATTCACTGATTTGAATGAAGTTTTTTGTGTTGTTCATAAAATATACATGTATATATGCAAAGGATGAACAGATATCCATTCCACTCGCGTTAATAGTATTAAAATCGGCAACATATGTTGCATTGTATATAACTTCACAAGTAGGCAAAACTGACAATACCGGCTTTGTTTGATAATTTACCGTTGCAAATTTGCATTGGTAAACCCCTGAAGTTCTAAAGGTTTTTAGTGAGTATCACGATGAATCAACTCAGTGTTGCTATGAATATTTGCTAGTTGCTATGAATATTTCTACTCAATTCTTTGACATTTAGGAATTTCCCTTTGAAAATTCCAACTGAATGTAATGACAGAAAATTTGACATGCAGTGTAAACCCCAGTCTTAGTCATCTGTTTTGTAATTGCTTTTCTTATATTTATGCAAAGCCGATTTCAAAGTTAACAAGTCTAAATATAGGCAATAAACCTTGCATCTTGATGAGTTCGACTATATACTTTTTGTACCGACCTGCGACCGTTTATTTTCATAATTTTACTCCAGAGCGAAGTATATAGCTACCTATTCCGATATTTGCTGAACAATTGGAAATCAGTTGGGCAGCTGGAAAAAATTATTTTTGACATTTGCAAATTAAAAACGAGATTAACGTAATTAATAACAACAAAATATGAATTGTTTCATTTTCGTCTCACTTTCATTATTATTATCAAATTATCCCTGACATATATGTCCGTTCACAATATTTGGTTTAGCGCCGGACAATTACAGAATTAATGAATGCCTTTTAACTGAAGATAATATTCCGTGCAGATTAATGTTGCATGTTATAAGTGGTGTATATAATGGCAATAATTATGGTCATTTATCTTTGCAACCACAAACATTCAGGTGATTTGTTGAAATGAATTACAGACAACAATCTTTTACTTACGAGGGGGTATTCTCGCATATCTGTATTGAGCATCAATTTGTCCACCGAATTGACGGTGACGAAAAAGATGGCGGATGTACATTTTACCAGAATGCACTGCGGTCAGAAATCGTTTAAAAAGCGAATTGAAGTGTTTTGAAGGACAGATATAAGAAAGGAGGTTATTTTCTTCGTTGTTTTAGAGTTTTATATTATTAGGTGATTTTCTTCTCATCCTTTGTTAGTCATTTATGCTTGATGCTCGCAATGGATTGTGGTAAAATGTACATGCTGCCATCTTTTTCGTTATGGTCAATTGAGATGAATAGAGTTTCTCAAAGCGACGTTTAATTTTGACGAGGTCGGTCACTTGAGGTATTTTGCCCTGGGGGGAGAGAGTAGGCTGATTTTGGGCGCGAGAGCCGCGCTGGCAACTACCCCTGGGGAGAACATCGAGGAATGAGAAATTCAGTCAAACTTCGTTTTGCATGAAAGTACCCTTGTTTGATTGATGACCTCAACTTGAACAACCATTTTAATTTGTGTAGATTAAGGAATCCGCGTCAGTAACTATATAAAAACGTCGAGGTACCAACTAATTTTAACGAGCAGAAATAAAACTTCGGCCTTCAACTCGCAAAAAATAGGTTTAAACCAAACGTTTGGGCTTTGTCGCGTGCCTTTATTCTTGTTTAAATGAGATGATTTGAATACTAGGTTTGTGACTTCAAAGATTTATTGTTCTAATTCTTTCACAGTTCTCTGCTCTGAACACGTGAGCAGATTCTTAATCGATTATTCCGGCCGTTGCACAATGCCACAATCTCGTTCCTAGAACCTTTGATTCCTCTGGCGAGAAAACAAAGGCTCTGGGATAATCCAAACCGGAAACCAGAAATCCTGGCTTTCGTTGCAACATTCAACATGTCTTATGAATTTTTTAACAGGTTTCAGATGAGGACCCAGGCTGGCGCCTTACGACGACACTCACCATGACAATCAATGCAACCGGCGCCTTCATGAACACACTTCTCATCATTGCGATAGTCCTCGATCCTTTGAAATTGCTTCGCAAGGGAGCTTGGATAACCATTCTGAACTTAGCATTAGCCGATTTTATTTCAAGTGTTTCAAATTTTCTGGATGTCGGATTCAACACACTTACGTTTCGTGTTTCCGGTTTGGAGCATGTTAAAATCATCCGTTTCGTGTTGATATTTGGCATAAGCGCGTCGTTCATGCTTCTGACCGTTTTAACAATTGAAACGTACATCGTAACAAAGTTTCCTATTCGGAGCCGGCTTATGCTAACTGTAAAAAGATCAGTTTTATTTTGCCTAACAGCCTGGGTACTAGCGTTACCATTCGGTCTCAGCAACATCGCGTATCGTTTCACTACGGATTTGAAAACCGTTATGAAAGTTTACATCGGCCAGATAGCGGCGTTGGAATTGGTTGTAGTTGTCCAGGTTATCATAAAGTTTCTCATAATTGGCGAGATCATGAAAAGCAGGGAAAATACTCAGCAACAACAGAGTAATATCAAGCATAAAGAAGTTGCAAAAACCATAGTTATTCTTAACGCGATACTCATCGTGACTGCCCTGCCCTTTTTCGTCTCGAAACAGCTGGAGTTCCTTTGGAAGGTGGGTCTCGTTGGTGGAGATCGCTTGGTTTGGACGTTTTCAAATTATTACGAGCCCATAGCCGCGATAAACTATCTTGCCAATCCTATTTTATATGCTTTGCGTTGGCCCGACTACAGACGAACGCTCTTTGCTCCGTTTGCAAAGTTCAAAAGAAAAGGCGTATTTTGCTTCTGGGTCCCTTCCAGATTGACTCAGAGGGAACCCACAATTAACGCTGACGATGAATCGTCGCCGCATCCTGAATCACCGAATGTCACGACCAAGTTTTAACCGAGAATTCCTCTGCCGATATACCCACAGCCTTAACAAAAAATAACGCGCGCATATTCAGTCAGAGTTTCATCTGCGAAGCACGCAGCGGTACTTAAGCCGGTATTCCATTACACTAGCGATATTCTTCGCGCGAAGCGACTTTATTCCTTTTTATTATATGGCACGCGGTCTCGTGACTAAAATGGCGTTAATAAAATTTTATGTACGGACCTCGCTATCGCTCGGTTCGTACTGTCAAGACCTCGGTCTGATATTTTTCTAGTACGGACCTCAAATTCGGTTAATAAGTGGTTAATAAGTATTTGAAAAATTTGTTCCAGATGGTTGCAATTGAAAGCTCTGAAACAAAAGTAAAATGTCGCTTCGTGCGAAAAATATCGCTAGTGGAAAACCGGCATTACGAAGGCTCTGTATATTCAAAGACTGTGATTTTCTTTTCCTTATTAAAAAGCCTGTGTACGAGGCTAAAATCAGTACCATTTAGCAGTCGTATCAGTTTGTAATTATAGAAACAGCGAATGTGAGTATCCAACTAACTTTGTTTCTGCTAAGAAAAATCTGGTATGTTTTAGTCAAGACATTTTTAAATTAGTGTGAATAAATAATGTGATGGTGCCACTCTGGAGTTCACTATAATGAGAGTCGCACCATCGCATTAATAGAGGGCTTCAGCTTAGATTTGACTACGGCTCCCGCTACCGCTACGAGATTCGTCTCTGTGGCGCGAAACAAACGTGTGCATACGCCACCTCGTTCCGGTCTGATAAACCTCGGCAAACACAACAATGAACGCATGTTTATACTGTTTATACTTTATATTGTATTTTCTCTATATAGCCCACCTGAATTTCGTTCAATTTTTGCGCTTTGAACTTTTGCAATTCTCTCTCATTATCCCTACTGGGTAGAATCATTGGTGAATGGCCCGGGGGAAGGGGGCCCCCAGTCCCCCAAAATGTCGTAAATCGTGAATCAAGAAATTCGGGCAACTAGGCGTGCAACGGAAAATTCGGCGAAGCTGAAAAAGAGTTACAAAGCCAGAATTTTTGAAACCAAATTTTGTAATATATATCACATATGTGTATTCTATTTGGTCACTTTATTCAGTACACTTTCTTGAAAGCACATCTGGTGCTTTGCCACGGAATCAGTTTTCTTGCCAAAGGTCGCTTCTTTCTTTCTGCTAACAGTTGTTAAACCAAATAAAATGTAGTTTATTCTTACAAATCTGGTATAAGTTAATATTCGAGCACACTGTATAATAATTCAAAAATCCGAGCCATTTTTTTGTTCCCTCCCCCCCTCTAAGTGCACGCGCCTATGGGGCCGGCAGAATAAAACTAAACCTAGGGCGCTTTCCTTTATACGGTAAAAACGGTCAGACCGGTCCTGTTGTATTTCAATACAGACAGATTACTGGTATTTTGGAGTGTTTTAAAAATCTGCCTTCAGATATAAATAACGTATTTGCTTTTTTGCAAAAAGCGTCGTTCGGTCGTGGCATATGGTCGTAGCTATTATCATTGTGTAGTCAGACTAGGCAATGGCGACAGAAACATAAACAATCAAAACTAATTTGTTTAGTTTACTAAATTTCACTTCTAAATTTCACTCCTAACTTCAGTGCGCTTTTGTGGACAAATTACTTGATTAGCAAACGCAATTTTCCATTCTCTACTCTACGCTAAACGAAAGGAAGAGCAATATTCATCGCGAACATGTCGAGACCGCCTTTTGATGTTTAGAACACAAATATTGTGTGTTCACCCCAATTTCCCCATTCTTAATTGGGCTCGTATTTGCTCATTTTTTGTCATTCATAATATCAAAAAATTACACTTGCTTAGGAAGTAATTTTACCCACAATAACGAGCTGAAGCTAGGTCACCATTTTTTTATACACCCTGTAGAACAGTGCGTTGTGGCGAAATGGTGATTTATGATTGGATGATTCAAATCGGCTTCATGTGTATTCTAGCCAATGATTCTAGCTCGAATAATCGCGCCAGAAAATAGTAAAAATACTATACAAAACAGTATAGTGTATATACATGTAGTGAAAATATATATATTTATACAATTCTTTATCTAAGATCATTCAACCTGTATTGAACTTAATTGCCGCAATATCTGGGCACGAAGAAACGACGATTATGAAGACGGATTGTGCTAGGAAACGTAAGTCCGGCCGGATACTGTTTTTGAAATATTGTAGCTATTTGTCTGCCACACTTTTTAACGAGCTTTTTATTGTAACTATTCACGTTTGTGAGGGTGAGATTTTAGTATTTTTAACAGACTTATAATACAGAAGTACTACATACATCAATGTGTTCAGACTAGTGCTTTTCTTTTAGAGTATTCTATGTTTATTTCCTTCCCCGAATTGATAACTTATTTCTATACTTACATTTCTGCTTTGTCAATCTGCCGTAGTAGGGCCTGACTGTACTGCATACTAAACCTATAGCGAGTCTGCACCAAGAAATACTCAAAACAAAACCAAATTGACCATAATTTTAAAATTACCTACAAATCCAATTCAGTTTCTAGGGTGTTTTGTGATTTTGTAAAAGCTGGCTAGTAAATTACACCATAAATTGTAACCAAAAGCTAGTGAGTTTTTGCCTAGCTCATCAAATATCAGCAATCCTGAATGCTGTACAAAAGAAAAAGTTACATCTAAGTATTTTTCCTGCATCTTGTTTTCACCTATATTCTGGAATCAGTGACATAAGAAGATATTTTATTGGACAAGGCTGAAATTCTGGTGAGGCCAAAACCTTCACATCACACATGTATGGCTAAAGCGTAGCTAAAATGTATTTTGGCATAATTCAAATTAATTTTTTCATACTTTCTTTGCTTTTACACATAGATGTGCAATATATGATTTAGTCTAGTAAAAAATAATATTCCGTTTGCTTTGATCATTTAAGAAATATAAAATAATTGTACAGGATTCAGGATTGCTGCTATTTGATGAGTTAGGCAGAAACTCACTAGCTTTTGGTTACAATTTATGGTTAACTTTGGCAAGCAATGCAGTGTATTTTGCGGGCTAAAATGATAAATTTACTTGGCAGAAATATATTTCAGCCCGCTGATCTAAGCCAATCAGAAGAATGACTGAAGTTTTTACCTATTGCATGATTTTTTATACAAAAATTGCCCTGGCTAAAATGAGTTCAGAGTCAGGCCAAAAACACATTTATGCCTGCGAACATCAACTCTATTGTTACATTTTAATAATGTTGTTGTTCCCTTTGTATATATTATATATATTATAGTGCTGATCTGGGGCTCTGTACAACTCAGCCCAGGGATACATTAGATTATTATTATTATTTATTGTTATTTAAACTTATTTACATGCATGGTAATCTTTCAGTCTCCTGATTTTCAAAGAGCCGTATAGTATACATCTAGAACTGCTTTCAGGAAAATTTCCTTCTCACATTAATAATGATGGAAGGAAAGGAAAGGAAAGGAATGACATACTGCTTCAAACTAGTTTTTAATCTAGGCAACAATATATATATATATATATATATTATATATATATATATATATATATATATATATATATATATATAGCCATGTCAAATTGGCAAACTTTAGTATGGACTGAAAAAGTCCAGAGACCGCCCTCTTTTAATTTCCTCCTGCCTTGTTAGGCGACCTCAGTAGCCGACCATAAAGAGTTTCAATTTCCAAGGTTTCACTCCAACCTTTTCTCCTAGCCATGATAATTTTTTTAATCCTTATAGATAAAACCGACAATGACCACTAGTATTGTAGGAAGCCTAATTGATTTCCAAGTCGAGGAGTTGCCAAAATGGCGGAAAAATAGCACACAAGTGCCTTCTATGGGAGAAATGCTTAAAGAAATTGTGAAATTCCAAGTTAAATGGAAAGAGTGCAAAGACTCTTTCGATTATGGCAGGGTTCGGAAGGCGTATCGCCAATGTCTGTTACATTTCATATACCATATTAACGTTGGGGAAGGACATGGTTGTACCACAATGGAGGCAATTGAATCCTGTCTTGACATGTTGGATGTCACCTTAACAAGTTCGCAGTTGATGCGGCCTGAGTCTGAGCAGGAAAGAAAAACATTAAACATTATACAGGGTTATAAGTTCCTTCTGAATATGGTGGAAAAACCTCATTTTAGTGCCGAAATAGAAGAGTTGCATGGCCTACTGTCTGTCAGTCTGATACAGGATGCACACAAGCTGATCCTAAAAGACTTGCCATTACCCAAGAATTACACAAAGCCAGGCGTTTTCAGTGAAAGAGAACGGTGTGTGGAGTATCATGGAGAATGGTACAGCTATCAGAACCCGCAAAATATGGAGGAAAGCGTGCAGACATTGCTAGATAGATACAATGATTTGATGACACATTGTGTAAAAGAAGAGAAGAATTCAGAGCTTCGTGTTTCTAACATGTTTAAGACTTGTAGCTGGTTGTTGTTTGAGCTTTTGGACTTGCATCCCTTCTCAGATGGCAATGGTAGGTTATGCAGATTACTTTGTAGCTATGCCCTGTCATCCATGACACCGTTTCCAACACCGATGTACAACGTTTGGAGTGAATCAAGTAAAGATGATTATTTAGAAGCGCTTGTAGCTGCAAGAAAGTCTGAAACACGACACCCTACAAGTGTGGCTGCCATGATGATTGAATGCAATTATTTTGGATGGAAGAAATTTTTTGATATTCTGGAAGGTGCAGTTGACATAGATTGCAAGGTTAAGGATGTAGATTAAAGGACTAGATAATAGAGTAGTCAACAGCAGGTTATTTTTAAAAAATAAAGTTTATGTTTTTTGTAACAGGACATCAGCAATGTACATAGTTTTTGTGAACCCCAAACCAGTTGTCCCTTGGTTTGTATATTTTGCATGCCGACTTATCACCCCTCCCTATGTTGGAGTAAAAAAGCACCTTTCCATGAGGTGAACAAAATAATTTTGAGTCACTGGCATATGGCAAGGGCTTCAATTTTACCTTTACAAAAAGTTAGGGCGTAACCAGTGTTGCATATCCCTATACAGTCAGGTCTATACAGTATGGTTAAAATCAACCATAAACCCTCAGATATTTGTCTCATTTAAGCCAAATTTATAATTCACCCTTATCTACACTGTGGTATTATATCACCATTTTTTTTACATGAACACATTTGCGTTTAGCAGTCCACTCCGTAGGCGTAGCTCAGTAGCCAGAGCACCGCATCCTAGGTTTCATTCCTGTCAGAGGGTGAATTTAATAATCTCCCTCTGTGCCCCATAGCCAAACAGACATGTTTTCGTTCTCGTGGCGTGTATTATTATGACCAGGATTATGACCGAGTAGACAGAATATACAAGGTAAATTAATTCATTATCAGAAATTGTTTGAGGCGGAGGACAGAATTTGTGGTAAGTCAAATTTTGGCAGATGAACGATTGAATCAAACCGGAAGTTATTGATTTCGTGGACCCAATATCGATTGGTCAATGTGAGCACGTGAATAGAATGGCGTTATTGGGGACCTAGGGTATTTCCCGAACGTCCCTACGTTGATGCGACTGTAATACTTGATACAACCTCTAGAAAATTAAATAAATTGCTGGAAATCCTGCGCCTGCTTGCACTGAAGAAACGACGATTTTGTCGAATTGCTTTTTGGCAACGAAAGGCAAGATGAATATATTCGTATTCGAATATATCGTATTGATTACAGCATGATTACAGTTAGCTGTTAATTTCTATATGATAAATTATGGATATATGTACGTTAGATTACTGGTTAGATCCGCGTACTATAGATATGATATTACAATTACAGACTTTGTTAACATATTTCAATGCTTTAACTTTGCCTGCCAAGAATAAGCACGGAGCCACTGACATGATTTCTTGAGGCTTCGGATGCCTCACAACATATTCTTGGCAAGTGAAATGAGTGAAATGTGAAATAATTTGTGAAAGAGTCACCCGTCTAACATTGTTTTGTACAATTCTTAAGGACGTACAACGTGTATATATAAGCACTTCATCCTCGATCTACATACAGAACAGCACAAAGCAAATCGTGAGGTGAGATTTTTAAAATCTTATTTTGCTGCGTGGTCGGAGAACAAGAAATAATCAGTGGGAAAACAAGTCCTGTCCGTATGGCGTGTTTTTCCGCGTTATTTCGAATTCTGCCTCCAGAAATACAAAAAAATGTTTTCATAGAGACATAGGAAAAGTTTTATCTATTTCTTTTATAATATAACTCGGGAAGAAGATTTTATACAAATTTGTAGTTCGATTCAACTATAAATTCTCATAACATTTTAACGATAACAAAAAAAAAACAATAAGCAACGAACGTTCGCAGCTGAAGCGCCAAAAGTTTTCTGAAATCGACTGTAAAAGTTCATGATCATGAGAAGTAATTCGAAGTAAAGTTTTTTCTCTATTAAAATGGAACTCATGTATAAAATGTGTTACAATGTAATCGAAATGTCGTTAAATGTTTGACATTGTTTACGTTTATAAACAGTCGCGTACTTAAACGATTTCCTCTTTGTGTTCAATTCAAAATTTAATACGCATCGGATATTGCATCAGATTGGACAATAAAATTAGAAACCGTGTGGGCTGATCAGTAAAAACACATGAAAAAACCTATAAATCACCTTGAATTCTGGACAAAACCGCGCGTAAAAAGCTGCACGATTTTCGGTAACAATTTTATGCAACTAAACTTTGGACTTTTACTAATTTTTGTACTCTCTGTAAGGAAATTTCTGTGCATCTCTTTGCCTAAATCTAAACGTAGTATAATGCAAAAGGCTATTGTTCTTTGCCTAATTCTCTCTCGCATGTGGGTATGTGGGTATGTAAGTTCATATTATACAATAGTTCAATTCGATAATTCATAATACAGGCCGAGCCTGCAAGGGCTACATTACACGGGTCACTGTTTTATTTAAAAATAATTTTTAAATGACCCCAGTCTACGTCTAATGATATACATTACAGAATACACATAGCATAGTCTACATAGATCTTAATTTTAACAACCATCTTAATTTACTTGCAGAGAAACAGAGAATGGTCAACAGTATTGTATCTAGCTTAATAAATTTTCAATTTGAGGAGTCACCAAAATGGCGAAAAGCTCCCTCCATGACTATGGAGAGAATGGTTAAAGAAATTGTAAAATTCCAAGAAAAGTGGGAAAAGCATCAAGAGCATTTCGATAAGAAAACTGTTCAGAAGGCGCTTCTTCAAAGTCAGATTAGATATATATACCACCTAAACACTGGAGAAGACCTACAGAGTGGTACCACATCAGCAGCCATTGAGTCCAGTATTAAGGTATTAAATATCAGTTTAGGGTACCCACTGCCAATTCAGTCTGTGTCTAAACAAGAAACAGAAACAATTAACGTTCTAAAAGCTCACAAGTTTCTCCAAGAAGAGGTAAAAAATAATCAGGATTATGGCTTGCATGGGCTACTTGCTGTCACTTTGATACAGGATGCACACAAGCTGATCCTGAAAGACCTGCCATTATGTAAGAATTACACCAAGCCAGGTGTTTTCAGTGAAATAGAGCGGTATGTGGAGTATCGGGAAGAACTTTATCGTTATAAGAATCCAGAAAATATGGAAGAAAGCGTCCAGACGTTGCTGGATAGATACAATGATTTGATGACACATTGTGTTAAAGAAGAGAAGAACTTAGAGCTTCGTGTTCGTAACATGTTTAAGACTTGTGGCTGGTTGTTGTTTGAGCTTTTGGATTTGCATCCTTTCTCGGATGGCAATGGTAGGTTATGCAGGTTACTTTGTAGCTATGCCCTGTCATCCATGACCCCGTTTCCAACTCAGGTGTACGATGTTTGGAGTGAATCAAAGAAGGAAGAATATTTGGATGCACTTGTAGCCACAAGGAAGTCAGAGACTCGGCATCCTGCGAGTCTGACTTCCATGTTGATAGAACGCAATTATTATGAATGGAAGAATTTTTTTTCTATTTTAGAAGGTGAGACCTAGAGTCAAAAAATGGATTTTTAACAATGTTTAGAAATGAATTGTAGAATGTAAGAATGATATATAATTCAGAATTATATATCTAAATGAATAAATAGTTTAAAACAAAACCAGATCTATTGTTCATTTTAAGGGTCTAAATCAGTTGCATTCAGCAAAAGCCCCATACACGTCTTTTTCTTACGCTTTGTTATACAAAAGCTGCACTGCACTACCACCTGAAAATATTTTTTTAATCTCAGTTCAGTTCTTAATTGCCTGTAGATTTTTGAATTTGTTTTATTTGCAAATGTTACATAAATGATGTCCCACTGCATAAGCTGGAATGATTTCAAATTCCAGTTTTTTACACACCCTGTACTAGCTAGCCAGAAATTGAAAACTCCAGGTTTCAATAAACAATTTTTAGCATCAGGTTAAAGGCCAGGGTTAAAGCAGAGCAACATATATCTAATAGTATAATATATAACAGAACTTTAACTGTGTAAGAGTCCAGCAAATGAAGAAATTAAAGGCATATATAGTTAATTCCATAATGAAACCAAACTTGAATGACTTTTTGCATTGTTGGGCCTGTCTACAAACTGATGCTTGCATCTCTGTTATCCCCATCATCCTCCATCTTAACATACAAATGGAATCCCCACTCTTTATGACTGTGCTGCAACCTCTTCTTTATGTGCTTTGCTAACCATGTGTGCTTGAAAAGGTTTTGGTCCATTCAGCTGCTTATCACAGATCTCACAGTAGTATTGATTTGGGGGTTGGTTATTCTGACCTGTGGTTGTTCCTCCATAAGCTTAAGGCAGAAAAAAACGAATAGGCTGGATTCTCATTTTCAAGGAAAAGAAAACAATGTTACATTTGCTTGCAAAATATTTGCATGTTAATTTTCTTGCCACTAGACCTTTCTCATGTCACCCGAAGTTCGATTTCCTGCAAACCAATCAAAATTCATGCAACATCAAACTTTCTGAGCTTAAGAAGAGGCTATTGAGACACTGATTTAGTAGACTACAAGTGTATTGACTCTCGATCATCACATTGAAAAGGAAACAGGAAAAAGTTCCAATGGCAAATGGTTATAATCTCTCTTCTCAGCAAGTGGAAATCCACCCTTTATAATGGTAAGTTTAAACTTCAAAAGACAAGGGATTTTACCTGATACATAAGGTTTCCAAACAGTAGTGGGTGCATCTTTAAAAGGACCTTCTTTCTTTTTTGTTTCTTCTTGTGCCTCAAGTCTTCTGTTCTCTAACCAAGGTAGGCTTGATGGCTTTTCCTCAAGAATCTACAGAAATGACAGAATATGGTTTTGAAGAGTATGGTTGCCTGAGTTAAAATTGGAGGTAAATTATAACTGCAGGTGCATTAAATGTTAATTTGAAATTTGAGTACCACGTACTCTCCCTAGTTGACCATCTGGATAATAAGGCTATATAATACAAAGTGCAATTATAGTTCTCATCTTTACATGATTTGTAGTACAGTATGTAGCAGTTCATGCTTTGATTCATTTACAGTTATCTATGCCTAGATGCACAAAATGAACAGGGTATGAAATACCCAGCATAAAGGAAAGAATTACACCATTAAAGTACATTACCATTAGATAGGATCCTGGTACATAACCACTTTCACCACTATCTTCATCTTTTACATTCCACCACAAAGATTCCGTCTCATGTACGTTTAAAAAAGTCACGTTTTGTCGCTGTCTCACGGTTAGCTCTGGAAACCCACCAGGTTGGTTCGGGTTCTTTTTATAGCTGTATTTTACAAGCAATTTTGGGTTGGGGCCATGTATTGCTTCTAAGGGTGGCCTAGGAGCTTGTGGATCTATATAATACAGTGGACATGAGAAGCCTCACCAGAAGTTTGAGTACCTCTCAAGTTGTATTATTAGGGAAATATTATGAGCATGCAGAAGGGTCTATATGCAGATTGGATATATACCATATAATATTAGGATGACAATAGCAAAGGCTAGTTGAGTTGTGTGAAACAGGGCTTTAGATTGAGTATATGTTTCTTTATGTTGTACCTTTAGGTTCTTCTCTCCGAGGTCGTCTCAATGGTTCACATGATTTCAGTGCTAGAACACCACGACCACAAACCCATCTCTTCTGTTGAGATGTCATTTAACTTGCACCAGGTTGAAAATGTAATTCATATACTATATAATACAGAGAAGGGTTTGAATATGGTACATCAACTCTCTGAGTATTAAATCATTAAAAAGTATGGTCAGATTCAAATCTGTATTTACCCTGTGACAAATGAGTGCTAAATGTTAGATATTAGATAATGTTAGTTGTCAAGTAAAGCTAAAATTTGACAGTTTCAACATGCTTTAACTATATTGATTTAAGAGTGGCGATTTATTTTAAACCAGAATTTATTTTTTCACTTTTGAACAAGAGAATACTACAGGAATGCCCACTGCTATGTTGCTAGGTCATACTATGCTGCTAGGTCAAATATTCATGACATGTCACTATTTGGTGTCTTTTTACCTCGCCAGGCACCAACTTTAGCAACATATGTTACCTGCTTAATTGGACTTGGATAATTACCTGTTTCAAATTTAATTATGAAAAACTTATGCCCAATTATGCCCTGGTTAACTTCTCTCCGAAGTGCTCTTGTCAAAAATTGATCATTGACACGTGCGAAGAGTCCATCCACCACGTGCAAAATTTTCCTTCTTAGGGAATCCATGGGACAAATTGGGCAATATGTGGACAACTAGGTACGAAGGGATTACATGGCAGGGGATGACTAGGGTACGTTAGGGAACATTAGGGAACAATTATGATATTTTTGGTACAGATTAGGATAATATTTGAGAGGAATGTTCTGCTAGGGTAATATAAGGAATTTTATGGATTTTACGTGGCGTAAAGGTACTTAGGTACTCTTAGTTGGTGTATTTTAATGGATAAGTTGTGTTAATGAGGGGTTTGGACAGTGACATAACCACTAACATTACTCAGCAGAAGCAAATTATGAAATTATTTTAAAAAAGTGAATGCACATCTTTTGTCGTCTGTCGTGTTCGAAAATGATCTTTTGACCGTGTAGATAATGGAGCACGAGAACTCTCCATTCCAGAAGGAGATAGTTTATAACAAACTGCTTCCTTATAGCGAGCATTTGGACCACGAAGCTCGTGTTGTTTTAGAGGAAATAAAGTATAACATCGGTCGTGCCATCGTTTTAAGAGAGCTCAGACCTGGGGCTCTACACTGGTGTAATAGACTGTTCAGGTTTGAAGAATTGATATAATTTTCTTTTATTTTTGTTTTACGGGAAGCACAATACATACATCACGGTTATGAAACCTGTTATTTCGATATTGTTTTGTAAATAATACAATAATTGTTCTATTAAATCCCTGTAGTCATGATACAGCGATGTGAGTCAGCATTTCTCAAGTTCACTCAAAACATGTTGAGACTAAGCATACAGGTTGATCAATTGACACCTATTCGTCATGGAAGCCTTATTGTCAAAGTTGTCAAACATCACCAATATTGCTTTAAGTCTTAATATCTTTGCTTTAATTCATATCAATATAAGTTTTGACTTGTGATCTGAAAGTGTGCTTTATATACGTGTAAAGCTGACAGCTCTAGGATTGCTACTATTAAGCCTACAAACTAAGCATCACTGTTTCACAGTACACTTCATCCATCTAAATGTATAAAATGTCTTGTTTAATATTCCTGAGCAATTATAGAATACCTGGCCAATCCATCTTGTGCAAGCTGTATACAACTGACTTGTATTATGTTACTTGACACTTTTCAAAGTAAAAATAAACAAAATATTTTAAAAAATGAGGTAGATCTACACACTATACAATTGATCCTCTAAAGATACAGATCCCTAACCGTAACTCTTTTTGCCTTGTGTTCCAGAATTGTACCAATGTTCGTGTTGGTATAAAGTCTGCCAAAATTATTATACTTTAAAGATAAATCTTTATACTTGTGTTTCCATCTTCATTTTTCTTAAACCTGTGAGCATGTTGGAATACCATAAAAGTACAATAACCAATCCATTGGTGGCATTTACAACCCATACTAGCCCTCATCTTATAAGCATATGCCATGAAGTTTGGTAGGTCTTGTTCATTGCTTGTTTTTTGATTTTTTACCACTATCAATGTTTAATTAATGTTCTAGCTAATTGTTTTTAGCAAAAAAAATTGTTAATTGTATCACAATGGCATTCTGTGTTATTTTTGTGTTTGTCCCTATTATACAGACAGACATGTTAATTGCATGTATTTGCATCTATTGACATTTGACAAATTACTGTCTGATGTGCATTACAGAATACAAGTAATCCAACATAGATGCATTATGCATCTTTTCTCTCTGTAGCATTGCAATAAATCCTTGCTCAAACTTGTCCAGGTGGATAATTGGTTTCCAATATATAGTGACTATTTTTTTAAAAGAGCAACAAGCATCCCTGGTAAAATCACCAAGGATATATTTAAATGCAATCTGTAGGCCATCATTTGGTAGAACTCTTGGTGCAACTCTTGATGTTTACTGTGTTTAAACTTGTAGGCTAAATATTGTGTAACTCTCTTTATTGGTGTTAAGTATTAATTATGTCTGCAAAGTAGAACATTTTGTTTCATTCCCAGTGAAAGTTTGTGAATGTTGAGGTCATCTTTTTTGAGTGACTGTGTAACAATAATATGTGAGAATGTGTATCATTCCATTCATCGTACTCCAGTAATTACTGGAAATTGAGATTTGTGTTCATTTGCATCGCTTGTGATGTCTAACAAGTAATGGTATTTCCTTAGAGTGTGTGGTTTTGCAACATGAATTTTAACTTGTTCATTCTGGGCAAAGATTTTTCACCTCTTGAGTATCAAGCAATATATCTGGCAAATTTCAGCTCATGTCAACACACTTAACAAAATTGGCTGAAATTCAGACAAAAATATTTAATTCCCAGCATTGCTACATTCAACATTCTGTGATATAGTTATAACACATATGTGTTGCCTGAAGCTTTTGAGCACAAGGTTCAGTATAAATCTTTGGTGAAAAGTTCCACAACAAGCCCTTAGCAGACCTATCCTACTTCTAAACTATTTTCTAATACAACTATATCTTCTAACTAATCATTTTATTACACACTAGTATATTATAATCCATTTTCAACCTTTCTTTTTTAGTTACATCAAATTATATGGTCACAGATTCTCCAAAGATGATCATGTTTTATTTATTAAACTCACATTTGAACTTATTATCTCTGTCGATTTGGACTCCCAACTCTTAACTGGATTCTGTCACCTATTTCTAAAACTCTTAAAGTAAGTGTAAAAAATTTAATATTGCTTGGTGACACTTATATAAATTAATTAAACCAATAATGCTGCTCTATTTTAATCAACATAAGGCTTATATTTATGTACTGGTACTTATATTTACATTCAAAAAATTGAAAGACCTTAATTAACAAAAACTTAAAGACATAAAAGTCTGTGAAAATTCTTTAAAAGATTCATAATGCATTGTTTCTGTTATTCTGTATATTTTCTGAGATTCTCATGCTGAGTTGATATCCGCTAGCGAAAAAGTTTGCATTTGAAATTATATTAGCTAGGTAAACGTTGCCTATAGTGAATTCTGGTGCTTTTTTTGACCACATGGCCTCAGTGCTTCTCCAATACTACCCCTTCTTAATCAACTTTGCAAACCTTGAGATACGTTTTTGTTTGAATATTAAATTGCAAATTTAATAGCAGGAAAGATTTCCCAACAACACGTTGATATTTTGTCTACCAGGTGTTAATTTTACATCAGCAATGTGCCCACACATGCATAATTGTAATTCGTAGGGTGGATCACTATCAGTTAACATGTTAATTTAATTAACTCAAATGCCAAATTACAACTGAACATTTATAGACCTGTGAGCTATACATTTGAGTCTTATTACAAAATCTCAATGTGATTCTTGTGTCAATCGACAATTCTCTCTGCAGCTAAAGATAATTTGTTTACATTTCTACAATTAACGAAAGGAATTTGTAGATAAGCCAGTCATCTGTCAATCGATTAAACTTGCGAACATATATGGCTCTGATTGAAATGTAATTATATTGATTTGAGGCACAAAACTCATCTGCTTTGAACTGTTTCAGAAAACGCGAGTTGCTGTCGCGTGATGATCTCGTTTTGCCATGGCAACCACTCTACAAGATCTACGAAATGATGTGCTATTCAAAGTTCGAGGCTGTTGGCTTGAAAAGACATTCATGGTTAGCATATTTTGATTTAAAACAAGCCCGCACGTGAATAAAGGTCATCCTGGCTTTGACCTTGAACTGAAAAGCGAGCATTAGCATTTAAACGTCATTGAAACTGCGGTCAAAACAACGAAATTTCGGGACACAAATGATTTATTATAAGTAAAGAGAAGACTAAGTTTTGAATTCAGATAGAAATTGAAATTCAACACAAAAGCTAGAAAGAGCATCTTAGAAGTAAAACTGCGAAGATTGGTTGTGAAATATTCTTAAATAACGAGTATTTAGCCCTGCGAAGTTCGCCAGATTTGTTTGCACTTTTCTTGACACTGGGAAAATACCCACTTTTGCTTATTTTTTTCCGCGTGCAGGAGCCTTCAACACATCATTGTCGATTCGCATTGCGCAACGTAAATGAGCTTTCAAACCAATCAAATTTCACGTAATCTAATTTGCATCGCAAGCGCCGCACAAGAATAAAATTTTTTTAAGTGCTTTTTCTGCCTGGGGTGTTGGTTTCCTTCTTGCTTACATCATAGTTTAATCTTCAAACAGGCGATTCTCCCCTGATTCGCTTTTCTCTGACGCTGTATTTCAATGTCCTATCCAGTGAACGTTTATTGAATTGTATGGCCTGTCCATTGGTTGCATGTAGTTTGGTGTATGGCCAGTCAGTTTGGCAGTGATTAAATCGTTCTCCTATGGTAAAGCAAAAAGTGTGCTAGTCCAGTTGTTATATGGCCAGTCCATTAGCTCAACCGAAGACTCTGCGACCTCCTGCCTGCTCTTCCTCATCTTCCTCATCTTGTCTGTCACCATTCCCCTAGAATTTCATGATTGGAAAGTTAAAAGTCGTTTCCCTTTTTTTACCTGCTTTTTTTCCCCTCAGAGAATGTCTTCTACCATCCCTACAGATTGGAATATTTGAAGAAAGTCGTTGCCCTTCTTTACCTGCTCTCTCTAGCTCCTCTCACATATAGTCTTCTACCATCCCCCTAACAGTTTTATGGTTTGAATGTTTGAAAAAATCGTCCCCCCTGTACCCTCCCCTACTCCCGCATAGTCTTCACCCAACGACTAACATTTTAAGATCAAAATAATCATCAAGATAATTTTTTTTCCAGCCAACTGGAAGAATTACTGAAGCAAGTCATTCGTTGTGCCAGAGTGTACGTTTCACTGTCATATTTATAACTAACTATATGACTATTTATAAACGTTATAATCGCAAGGTCCATACAAGGGCTATCAGATCGAGATCCTTGCACAAACCGAGGTGTGGAACCTACAAAGCAAGAGAAGTTAATAAGTAGATCATTTTGTGGCATTTCCATCAGACAAAAAATTTGACCCGAAGTAATTTTGTTCCACGTTATCTTCTCGCCTTCTCCTACTTTTTATTATACGCTTAAGGCATGCTCCCGAGGGAAATAGTGAGTTTTGTTTTCCCAAGAGTCTGAATTTTGAGACTGGAGGGAAACAAAGCTCACTATTTCCCGAGGAGTAGCGAACATTAAGTGCTTTGTTATATAGGAACGAAAACATACATGTTACACAACAATTTCATTACAAAAAAACACTTTGTTATGACAATATGCAGGCAACAATTTTTCTTTTGTTTCCCTGGCGGGAAACATTGCATTTATTTAAAGTCATGTGACTACGAATGAACCAATCACATTTAAAATACACAGCACCTATATAACAACATCAGTTATCGGTTGCATGATACATGAAATTCTTTCAGAATCACTTATCAAAAATGCCCACATTTACAGTCGTTTATAAAAACGAATTGATCTTTCCTTTCCTGAATTTCTCTCAATTGATTTTCACAGATATTTCTCTGATGATGCTACACAGGAAATGCTCGACGAATGGCGACCGTTGATGTGTCCGTTTGACATCACGTTTGCCAAGGCGATGCAGTATTTTTCATTATTTCTCCCGACGACTTTACCCCCGGAAAAACACGACAAAGGTTTCAAGTAAGCAGTACAGTAAAGATTTCATCTTGTATAGGAGTGTACCATAAATTTACAAAAAATTATTCACTAAAGTGCCACTGATAAAACCTTAGTTGTATCAGTATATATGTATTTAGTGCCCTCCAAAAGCGATTTGTTTTAATTTTAGTTATATTTTAACTATGCTGTCTTATGCACTTTTCTAATCAAAGTGCTATAAGTTTGACCAAAATTTCGCTTTAATGAAAAAATGTGTTCACTTCTCTGGAAAAGGGTTATTTTAATCAGAGTTATTTTAATCAGCATAGTTGAGTGTTGTTTTCGCTTTTCCAAAAATATACCGGTCTTTCTAAATTCAAATGTGGATATTTTCTATACATAGGCTGTGGTTTGATGAATTGGTCGGATTCTGGGACAGCTGTCATAATAGTCCATCTTGGGAACAGGTTTGTGAATATAGTTAAATTTATTTAAATCGTTAATAAAACCATAAAAATATTTAAATCGTAAAAAAGTATCAAATATGAGATAACAACTGCCTAAAATAGGCAACTTACTAATGCCCGCGGTTTGCACTGTCAACTTTCCTATGTTCACAGTTAAAAATGTTTTAGTTCCCTTGAATATTTTTACCAAATGCTTTGAAACGTAGGATTTGCCGTTTGAAAATATCAACTGTGATCACATAAAATTTGGCATTGAAAACCGGGCCTAAGACTGTTGACGAAGGCCCTTCGCTCGTCCATTTTAGACTGCTTTTCAAAAACATTTGATGTTAAATCGTAAATTTCCTATCTTCATGCGTTGAAAAATGCTACAAGCACTGAGCTCCAACGGGAATTCCATGTCATTAATAGTCCATAAAAAATCCTCTGAATGGGTTTTGGCAATCAACTGTTTTACAATATCTTATATATAATAAAGTTTATTAATATTGGCATACCATACTTTTTTTCTTTCTGAATTTTCAGTACAGCGTGAAACTTTTCGCAAGAGTGGCCAAAGACAATGCTGGGTACATCGATTGGAAACCGTACATACCAAAGGTACATCTTCTTGAACTTTTCGAATCAAATTTCCATCATGTAAAAATCAAATTTCCATCATGTAAAAATCAAATTTCCATCATGTAAAAATCAAATTTCCATGACACCCTTTTGGAACCAGGTGTGCGTGACACTCCATTCAATTTTTATAGAGAAAGACTTTGTAATAACCAATCGCTTCTTCAAGATAACTTTTTTAGTTCTAATGTTCTCCAACCAAATATCACCTAGTTAAATGGCAAACAGTATTGATGATGTCTGTATATTCGTTTCTGTATTCGTTTATTTGACATCGTGTTTTATACATATGTTGTGTAGATATTCACCCGAATTATTCGCAGTTTTAACCTGCCTCTTGGCATTAAAAGTCGCAGCAACACAAGAGATAACTACGACTCGTTTGTTAGTGCTGTTTGGATTGTCTCAATGATGGTAAGAGTGCTATTTTTTCAAGTACTATTTTTCGCCTTGCAATAGACACTTTCCGAATTTGCTTGAGCTAGTGCACACAAAACAACAGCTTGGAAACGAGGCAGACAATGTAATCTATTTGTTAGTGGAATTGTTTTCATTGCTCGAGAACAAATTCGGAAAGTGTCTATTGCATGGCATTTGACAAAATACCACAATAATGTTGTTTAATATAAACAACAAAGTAGGTGTGAAGATTGTCCCTGCATTGTGATATGACTGTTTTAGGGTGATGAAGATTGTGTTCAAAGTCACCTGGATAATTTTTTTGAATCTATAAAGTCATTTTATTATCCTTCAAATGTCGGTAAATACACGGTAAGCGTGTGAATAATGTACCTTAAGCTAGCGAGAAAGCAGGATTTCTCTCACATTTGTCGGGAACTTGTACCGAATTTGTTTCAAAACTTCGATTACTCCCGAGTCTTCTCAAGATAGTAATAATCTTGTTGCAAGTTTTGAGATTTCTACGCGTACACCTTTAGTCTTCGTAGCGAGACAATGACGTCAGTTTTCTCAAGCTTCTGGCTTCTGATTGGCTGATTTTTGTCTTCAAATCAGCTGGTGATTGCCCAGTTAGACCTCTTCCGTCATAGCTATCAGATCTACAAGTGACGATTTGAAAGCGCCAGTTAACTAGCCCAATATTTCAATCTCAAAATATCAAAAAATCTAGCGCGAGCACCTTGATAAAGTGGCATCAGTATTCGCCCGTGAAAATGTGTTTTTTGTATAATGTGCTTATCGGAAAACGCTCTTTTTTTTAGATAAAACTTCAACAATTTTTAAGTAGGCTATCAAGAGTTTTTACTGATCGCGTTCACAGGTACATCTCGCTTCAATTCAAAGCTTTACTATTTCTTGCTGTTTAAGTAATACATCAAAATTCCTGTATCACATCATTTACAGAGAGCGTTACAAAAAGCCAACATGGGAAACAGCAATTCCTCCAAAGTTTCAACTGTCCGACGACCATATTCTGAAGTTTGTCGAGTGTTTGAAACCTGTCGTATTGCTGTCGATGTTTAACAAACTGGGAAGTTTTGAAGCTGCGACGTGTTTGCAACAATTAGCACAACTAAAACCAGATGTTGTGTTACCAACATTGTTGGACAGGTGGGTGTCCTTACTTTAAACTTGAGAAAATATTAAAAGTCTGGCAAGGTTCATTCATGACTTGAATTGCGCTTAAAAGGCCTTCGAATTTCAATTAGCACTTGAATTCCCAGAATTTATATGGAGGTCGATCAGTTCATCATCATTGGAAATTTCTTTCAAAATCCATATGGAAATATGCTGCACCCATACTTTTTCCAAAGTATATCATGCATAGTGTGGAAAAGGTATTTAGTATGGACATTATAAACTTCCGTATAACATCAACTAGCATCCATACTATTTTAAAAAAAATGGATTTCGAGAAAAATTCCCAGTGTCATTTCCTAATGTGATGACAGCACCTATCAAGATTGAATTTCTATTGATCACCAATGCTTGGCTTTTTCTCAAAACTACCTCTTTAATTCTACACCTAATCCTGGCTTTCGCTGTACAGAAATGTTTTTGACAAAAAAAGATTATAAAACAAGTTTGTAGTAGGAGACCTAATAATGTTAACGGCGAATATATGGATATTAGGCCTCCACTGTGTTTGAACTAAGATTTCATGATCCGAGAAAAAGTTGATGTTTTGATGCGCGTTAAAATGTAGATAGCATGATCGCTTCATTATTTTTTAACCGAAACTACAGCGACTTATTTACGAACATTTGTGTTGTATATTTCCTAGGACCTACACAGCCTTGGATACCCTGACCGAACCACACCAGCTTACTGCATCGCTGACCTGTATCACTGCAGTCGCGCGGCCATTGTTATCAAGTCCTCAAGCCTTCCCCGATGGTCCTACTCATCTCATACGTCTTCTTACATTAGTCTTACCCGGCATTGATGCAAACGATTTCAGAAAAGCGATGGTGAGTGATGGGTTGCCACGATCCTCAGTGTTTTGTGATATAGAGAGGGGGGAAGATGTGGGGATATTAGAGAGAGGAATTACGAGGCGTACGGATCTGGGAGAATGTTAGAGAGGGGGTTTACGAGAGAGGGGGTTTACGAGAGAGAGGGTTTACGCGAGAGGGGGTTTACGAGAGAGGGGATTTACGAGGGAGGGGATTTACGAGAGAGGGGATTTACGAGAGAGGGGGCTTACGAGAGAGGAGGTTTACGAGAGAGGGGGTTTACGAGAGAGGGGATTTACGAGAGAGGGGATTTACGAGAGAGGGGGTTTACGAGAGAGGGGATTTACGAGAGAGGGGGTTTACGAGAGAGGGGGTTTACGAGAGAGGGCATGAAGATGTGGGGGTTATTACAGAGGGCGATTACGAGCAAAAGGAATGAGGATGAGGGGACTGTTGGGGAAGGATTTAGAAAGAGGGGGCATAAATATGTTGGGGTTAGTAGAGGGGGGGGGCTTCGAGGAAATGGCATAAGAGTGTGGGGCACTGTTAGAAAGGGGGATTAGGAGAGAGCACATAAAGATGTGGGGATTATTAGGCGAGTGCGATTACGAGAAAAATGAGGAAGGAATGAGGATGAGAGGGGGCATAAATATGTTGGAGGTATTAGATATAGATTATGAGATGGGATAGACTTGGACTATAGAGTTGGAAGGTATAAAGATTATTAAGTATAAAAATGTGTGATATATTGTGTGTTATATAGAGAAATTTCTAAATCAATTTCAGGCAACCTTCACGTTTATCTCAACCTTGGTGTCGCTTGTACCTCTAGTAGACTGTTCACAAGCAGTATTCACAATGGATTTGACTGAGGTACTGTATTGTAGTGACGCATTAGCGACGTAGATTTCTACAGCATAAACATGTTCATTATTAATTAAAAGTCTACATCGTCTTTTACTTTTTAAGACTGAGAAAGAAATTTGCGCCGCCAGTGGTCAATTCGAGGACTTTGTTCTTTTATTCATGGAAAGGTTAGAAAATTATGTTTTTCTCCTAAATCACTGATATATAGTAAATTACAATCTCAGGTAGAAATCATCAATCGTGTCTTGTAAAGATTTCTGTCCCTCGAGTCTGAACGTGTCCCTCGAGTCTGAACGTATCCCTCGAGTCTGAACGTATCCCTTGAGTCTGAACGTGTCCCTCGAGTCTGAACGTGTCCCTCGAGTCTGAACGTGTCCCTCGAGTCTGAACGTGTCCCTCGAGTCTGAACGTGTCCCTCGAGTCTGAACGTATAATACGGTGATTTGACTAGATTTACTAGATCCTGATAAGCTAGAGTGTTCGAGGTAGTCGACTCCAAAATCGATGATGGCAAAGTCTTCCATTTTATTCTTTCAGATGTTTTGCGATGATCGAGAACTGCCAGTTTCAGCCAACTTCAGAGTTGAACAGCGGCGGAAACACCGAGAAAATGGACAGTCAGGAAGGAATGCTGGGAATGGGTCTCACTTCAACATTTCACACGATTCTGATGCAATGTTCCCCACAAATTTTCAAGGTCTGTAGCAACCTTTGCGATTCAAAATTTGTCTGTACAATTTAAAATTCACTGTCATATAGTTCTTCCAAACTGATGTTTTCGCCCTTGTAATTACAGGCGAAATAGAGTAACGAGTTGTTTTAATGCTGCAAATAAAAAATCCTCGTATCGATAACCTGAACTTAATCGACCTTTCTCATACGAAGTTGAACGCGGAATGTCTGATATTACACCAAATTTGATTGGCTCGGCAAAACTAGCGAGCCAATCAAACTACATGTAACATCAGACTTTCTGCGTCTAATACCATTATATGGGAAACGTGTTTTTTTTTAATGTGTGATTACTTCTTCTTTATATAGGTTGCTTTGAAGCATCTTTTTCAGTTTTGTTCAAATAAGATTTTCGAAACCAAAGTTGCTGGTCAGATGGTGTCGGATTTCTGCAGAGCTGCTGCACGGGTTTGTAGCATAATTGTAATCTTATTGTAGGACCGACTAGATAATGTGAGAAGACACAAAAAGATCGATCAATCTTCACTCTCTTGACCGCCAGAACCCTGTATTTTCTCATTTTCTTTGCTTCATAATAACCGATAATATCTCTGTTTGTTAGACTGACGCGCAGTCGACATTGAAGCTTTTTATTCCATATATTCATTCAGTTATTGAAAACATCACCTCAGGTAGGCCATGAGATAAGATCTCGCATGAATATCTACTATAGTTAATGATATACCGTGAGGTTTGACAATAAACAATCACTTAATGGTTTTCGTGTTTGGATGACGTGATCCGAAGACGCGGGAATGTTGCGAGAGTTAAGAAAAGCGCGCGAAACACGAGCCGAAGGCGAGCGAGTTTTCCAGCCTTTCTTAACTCAAGCCTAGCCCGTTTACACTACACTCAATTTTTTGCCACGGCACGGCTAAAATTGGTACCCGTGCCCAATTTTATTAGTGTTCAGGCTACCAAAACAAAGGCCGAGCGCAGATGAAATGGGCACGGGTACCCATTTTAGCCGTGCCGTACCAAAAATCGAGTGTTGTGTAAACGGGCTATCCAAACACCGGAAACCACTAAATAATTGTTTTAAAAAATAACAACAGAGATAGTTTTCCAAGTTTGGTTTTCATAAACAAAATAAATTTCCGTATTTGGATGGTCTGATCAAAACACGGGCTTCGACCAATCAGAACACACGTTATATACATGTTAATTTATAATTCTACCTCCGACAGTTGAAGGAGTTCAGGACGAGGAGGAAGTTGACGAAGAATTGATCTGGTGTCTTCAGTTACTCTCTGAGGTAATCAGAACTCCAGTGTACCTTTAATTTCAACTCTCCCTACTAAAGATCGTCTCGCGAGATTTCCATAGGGACAAAATGTCAAACAATAACGTGATTCTTTGTGATAGTCTGTCTAAAGCAACTGGAAAAAGCTAGAAAGTAATAAATTATAAGCTGTTTATTAGGGTTTATGCATGCTTGGTTGTTACCGTGTTTTCTTTGACTTTCTTACAGGTCGTACGGTGCAATGGTTTGCATATATTACCATACAAACAAGAACTTGTTGAAATTCTTGAACCTTGTCTTCGCCTAAAATGTAAACGTGCATTTCATTTCGCTGCGAAGGTGGGTCAATGTGTGTGATAAAGGGAAAGAGGGGGGTGTCTTAGCTACTGAGGGTGGTTAGCTACTGAGGGTGGTGGGTGTCTTAGCTACTGAGGGTGGTGGGTGTCTTAGCTACTGAGGGTGGTGGGTGTCTTAGCTACTGAGGGTGGTGGGTGTCTTAGCTACTGAGGGTGGTGGGTGTCTTAGCTACTGAGGGTGACGGGTATCTTAGCTACTGAGGGTGGTGGGTGTTTTATCTACTGAGGGTGGTGGGTGTCTTAGCTACTGAGGGTGGCGGGTGTCTTAGCTACTGAGGGTTGTGGGTGTCTTAGCTACTGAGGGGGGACGATGTCTTAGCTACTAAGGGTGGCGAAAACGATCGCCCCCAGCCTCTGAATACGGCCTATCTTAAGTGAAGCCGTTTTAAATGTGTTGTTAGTCAACTAATTTATGTCAATCAATTTTATTATTCTCAAGATATTACACCACCTCATTCCATCGCTAGTGTTGTTGTATCCACTCGAATGGAAAAACTCTCCACACGATTTTGGCCTGTCCCCAGAAGAACATCTTTTCATCAAGGTAAATCTATATACACTCGCGAGCTGGTGGGATTTTTTAGTTTGTCTGCTTACCGCCTTTATAACATACATGTATATCAACCTTCTTTTTGCCAAGCTTCTTCATTTTGTCCAACATTCTTGTCTGAATTCACCTGTATAGGATTGGGGGGGTTCATGTGATGTTGACGATGTAACCATGAACTGGCATATACCATCTCTGGAAGAGAAATCATTCGCCAAAGAGCTGTTAGATACATTCCTTCTGCCTGTCCTGGACCGTCTCACGCAGTTCACACAAGGAAATGAAATGACACGGTATGTTGCCTCGCTGTTTGAGATAAAAAATCTAATGTATTTTTGATAATCAAACCCTGGTATTTGCTCGTTCTTGCTTATTACATGGATGATATTCATTTATAGTGACGAGCTTCAACTAAGCGTCGGTCTGGTTCATCACATTTTACAAGGTTCATGTGGACTCCTTCCGAACTTCCAAGGACCATTACTCGATAAAATGTAAGTTTATGTGTGCCCTTCCCCGAACCTGCTTCTAGATGTAAATGTGAATTATATGTAAAAGGACCAGCAACATTGTGAGTTCTATACGTACTAATTCGGGGTGTTTTTTTGCTCGTGTAGTGAAGTGAAAACACTCGTAAATCGCGGAAGAGTAGAGAACACCGTGTCATGTAGTCCAGGTATACCTTAAGATTATTACAATAATTTGGAAGCTCTATCTTTCTCTGGGTTAAACTCACCGAAATCTCTAGGTCCTAGGGAAACTTCTTGTATTTTTATCCTTTTATTTACCCCAGTGAACTCTAATGAAACTTGGATTATAACTTCCAATATATCCAAGTAAACTTATCCATATTTGTCTTAAGCCAAAATTAATTTTCAAACTCTTGATCTGAATAGTATACTCCAATCCGAATGATATACTGGGGCCAGTTGTTCAAAGCTGGCTTTTAGCGCTAACCCTGGGTTAAATTTTAATCCACTGTTAGAAATTATAACTTTTATTTTTCTTCCTCTCTAGATATCCCTCTCGGTGATTGTACGCGAGATAACATTGCCCAGAAAATTCATGATTTATTGAGTAAGTAATGTGTATCAAATACATTCAACAATACGATTTCGCGTTCTCCATAAATATAATATTTTGTGTCTATCTGGATATTTATTAGTATACGTGCTATCAAAGTGTGAAGACGATACGAAAACCCTATTTACAATAATAAAAGTAAGACGAGCATTTATTGATATTATACTGCTAGTTTCTGTTTGTTCGTTTCTTTGTTTTTTTATTTTTTGTTTGTTTATTGTTTATTTATTTGCTTGTTTGTTGTTTGTTTATTTATTTGTTTGTTTGTTTGTTTTTATTTGTGTTTGTTTGTTTGTTTGTTTGTTTGTTTGTTTGTTTGTTTGTTTGTCTGCCTGCCTGTATGTTTTCTGTTTGTCTATGTGTCACAGCTTGCTCTAATAGTATTTCTGAACAAACAATTTCCGAGTTAATGTAATCATGATTTAGCCCAACATAATGAACACAATTTGTCTTGTTGTGTAGATATATAAGGCTTTGTTTTTGCAATATGGCGTCGCCAGAGCGGAATTTGATGTCAGGTAGGATCTATAAGAATATAAGAATATCTTTCAGCGAGATTTCAATGAAACTTCAAAACAAAACCATAGATTTGTGCAGATCGTTGGAAAATAGACCCTTTCGATAATTACATGCAAAACATCGTTCTTAAACACATGTATGAAAAAGAATTTTTGACCAATAAATGTGGAAATAAGCGGTAACACCAAGTCAAGGCTACCAGGCCATGACTGGAGTAACATCACCCAGCTTTCACTCTAATTTGAAACGTCACTTTAACTGTATATTAAATTTCAACTTTGCTCATGTAGGTGGAAAAGTGCACACGCTGTTAAGAGAGCTATGCAAAACAAGGTAAGATCTTATAACTGTGTTGTTTTCTCCCTTATTAGACCGCCCAGTTTACTCTGTAAACATATCTGTGATCACTGTTTGAACTTAAACAAAGACTTTAGCTCACCAACATTACTGCAGGTTCGACACATGAAAAGTCTGAAACAGGCCTTAGACATGTCAAGATCGATATTTTTCTTCGGCAACTCGTTAAAAGAGTCCGTTATACGTGCATCCCGTTAATAGTCAATATCGCTCTCTGTCCGAAATTGTCCTCGAAAACTCTTAGAAAAGGCAGCAAAAGTGATTCAATCACTTTTCCTTAATCGGTGATCACTTCTCGTTAATCGGTGATTACTTCTCATTAATCGGTGATTACTTCTCATTGTTCGGTGATTACTTCTCATTAATCGGTGATCACTTCTCATTAATCGGTGATCACTTCTCATTAATCGGTGATCATTTCTCATTAATCGGTGATCACTTCTCATTAATCGGTGATCACTTCTCATTAATCGGTGATCACTTCTCATTAATCGGTGATCACTTCTCATTAATCGGTGATTACTTCTCATTAATCGGTGATCACTTCTCATTTTGCAGCTGTGTCATAACAAGAAACATATTCGAGCCTTGCTGGTTGAAAGAATCCAGTTGCAACACGAGGTATCAAAGGATAGCAAGCATATCATTTTATTTCATTTCTTATCCATATTTGTGTGTAGTCGTAATTGCCTTCGAACCAGTATTACGCCCCCTGATCTATATTGATTGCACTGTACTGTTTTCCATCGTTGTCATTGATAGTCCTTTAACAATATTTAGATGCGAGTTCTTGATGATCGGTCGTGTTATATGACTGCCTTACAAGAAGTATTGATCATTGATCTCTTTTCTCTATCAACAAGTGTTTATACCGAGGTACTGTCTTAATCGCTCATTTTTTCTAACCTTCCTTAAAATCACTGGAAATGTTCGGAGAAATTTCACATGCCTATAGACTGAGTGTGACTTCATAACAATTCTCTCATCAATGAAGTGCTAAATTTATTTTAATCTCACAATACAGCTATCAAGCCTTGCTTGTTGCCTTGTATTCTAACACCATTGGGTTATACACAGTTCTATTATTTACAACAACAATTTCTTTCGAAATTTAGGTCCGAGTGAAAGCACAGAAAGTGTTGTCCTCTTGTTTCGAGGCGTACCTCTATTCCGCAAGATTTTTGATGAACTCCATCGTCGAGAAACTCAAGCCAGATCCTGCAATTTCACACGAGCAGTTTAAAGTAAGTTAAGTTTCCTCACGCTAGAATAAAGCACCCGTGAAATTTATTTTTTCAAAGTCGAGTGGACTTAATCCAGAGTTAACGCGAAACTACGAATACAACTTTCCAACAGTTTATTTACCAAGTCGAAGAATAGATTGTTTTAGAAGTCGTCCTTAGTTCAAAATAGATTTTATTTTACAAAGTCTTGAACGGAATAGCAATTCAAAATTAAACGGAACTAAAACAGCATATTAAAGTAGATATCAAGTAAAAATTCAACGCGAAAAATGTATTAGCTGCTTTTTCCTGCCATCTGGAATGAAATCGTTTGCCTCGCTATAAGATGTTATATAGAGGCTTTGAACAGTTGGATAATGTTAGGTAATTTCCACGAGGTTGTCGTTGCAAACAGTTCGCAAAATAGTGAATATTTCTCCATTCTAGGGTTCACTTCATGTCCTACTGAATCAGCGAGTACTCTATCTCACGACACATTACTGGGAGATTATTGAAAAAATTTGGCTGGCTTTAGCGCAGGTGGGTTCTTTGGTGTACGAGTTGGGTTCTTTGGTGTACGAGTTGGGAGAGGGGTGGGCCCCTATATTATGAAGAACTTGTGGTATATCTGTTGTATATCGCATTTCCGATAGTCCACGTTTCAATTTTTTTCGAGGGACACCCACATCCACCTCCACCCTGCCCAAACTGGCTCGCATTTTTTTTGTCCTGTACAACTGTGTGTGAGTTTGATTTTGTTAATCTTGGTATGACCTATATCATTCTGTACAGATATATATGAATTATGAAAATACGTCCAAAACTCTACCTTTTACATATTTCAAAATGAAATTACCACAAGTTTTGAGAAAGCGTTAAATCGAAAGTTTCAAAGACGTTTTCGAAAGATTGCATCTTAATGATATTGGCTTTACCAAACGAATAAAACGTGAACCTGTTCATAAATTACTTTGTTAATATTTTTCTTTCCAGGCAGAACATTCTGAAAAGCCCTCCATTATTGCGCTTGTCAACACCGTAACGGACAAGATACATAAAAAATACGATGCCGTTGCTGTGTCCCGAACTGTGAGTGCTGGATATCCTCAGGGGCCGGTTGTATCAAGCCCGTTTAGCTTAAACGGCGGATAAGTTCAAAATAGAAATCAAGTTTATCGTTTTATTCAACAAGCAAACAAAATGTTTTCAACCTTGATACAAATATACTGTTTACAACTACATATTCAGTGCATATTAATCAAGTTGACTCGTTCAAGAGAGATGTAAGAGTGTTATTTAATTTTGACTTATCCGCCGTTTAGGCTAAACGGGCTTCATACAACTGACCCCAGTCTCTCAGCTTAGGGCTGAAATGATAAAATAATTTATTTTTTCATCCCATATCCCATAATTTCCCATATACCATAATTTCTTTATCCCAGCGTTCAAACTCGAATCCACCTGCCGAACCCAACACGTAACTTTCTGAACACTTTTTCCCGAAAAGGCATGAGATAAAAACTAAACATACTTGCAGGTTCGGTGAAAACCGGAGGCTGGAAATCGGAAAACTTCCAGTCTCCCTTGCTGCGTAAATCCCGACTCACCTCCCTGCAAGTATGTTTATTATACAGCTGGAAGCCATTTCATATTTCCATCTGTGATCACAGAAACTATAGATGGTAAGCCTGGCCTAAAAAGCGCGGCGTCCACTATCAAGTTCGTTTGAAAATCTTAAATCTATTTTGTTATTGCAGGTTTCCAGCGGTGCTATAGATGCCGCCATGACACTCCTGCACGCTGTTAACTCTGGATGTTTACCATCAAGCTATAGCCGTCCAGCTATACCTTCTGAAGACGAGATCAGTGGCGGACAACAAGCTCTCATAAGCAGAAACGAAGCCAACTTAAGGTAACATTACGTGCAGCCTTTTGTGCTAAAGTCGGCTTTTTAGTTTCGGCAATGCGATTGGTGGAAAAAAGTCGCAGTCCAGTTTTGTTGGGAAGCGCGATCAGGGGCTAAAAGTTTGCAAGCCAATCAGATCCTAGGCTATTTTTGTCTATCACGGTTTTGTCAGCAAGTTTGTATTTTTTTTTCTTCGCCTGCAGACATTATAATTCGCTCGTCGAAAAGTTAGTATCATTGGTCAACGGCAATGATTTGTAAGTATACTATTTTGATTAGTTTTGAATTACTAATTTTGCTAAAATGTGTTGAAATTTCAGACCGTATGCTATGTCACTGACTTGATTCGTCTCTTTTCTAGGCGATGGCGATTTTCTCAGATCTGTATACGACTGCTTTCTCTTCTCATTCGTTGTGACGTCAGTCCACCGACCAGTCTTGTCAAACTCTTCGTACAGAATTTGATTCACGATTCCTTGGTCATCAGAAAGGTGAGGGAAAATTTTTATGAAGGTGGCTGTTGCATTGTAGGTACACGATCTGAAATCTTTCCGGAATATGGTATATTCTACCTCGGTTAGATTAAATATGCCGGAATATGGTATAATCTACCTTGGTAAGGTTAAATATGCCGGAATATGTTTTTTTTCGATCTTGGTTAGATTAAATATGCCGGAATATGGTATATTCGACCTTGGTAAGGTTAAATATCCCGGAATAATGGTATATTCGATCTTAGTTAGATTAAATATGCCAGAATATGGTATATTCGATCTTGGTTAGATTAAATATGCCGGAATATAGTATATTCGATCTTGGTATCGTAATTTAATCTAAAATATCAAAGTTTTTAGAGTATTTCTCTTTTCTGCCTCAGCCGCCTATTAATTGCTTTCGGCCGTCGAGAACTGACACGCAGAACTAAAGGCCATGTTACACGGTGCAATTTTTCTTGCAACTTGCAATGCAATTCTACTGCTAAGAGATGTAAATTAGTAAAGGGTCTTGCAGAAGAAAAGTGCATGAAGTGTAATAAACACAAAAGTTTCGTTGTTCCCAAATATACATCTCTCAAAAGTAGAATTGCATTGCAAGTTGCAAGGAAAATTGCACCGTGTAACAGGGCTTTTAGAAGTCAACCCCCCCCCCTTACATAAATCTCCTGATCAAATAATTAAATCGATCTTCTCTTCTTAAAGATTGCCATTTCTTCAATGGGCGCCATCTTGAAACTACAGAAACGCAAGCATCCTAAAGTGATGATTGATCCTTACACTGAAGGTGGGCAATCTTAGATTTATATTATTCACCTCTTCGCTGTTTTTAAAATCACTCTTAACAAAATTCCCAATCTTTGCTTCTATAGCTGGTGTTGGAAAGGCAGAAAATGGCATCATCCAAGCTGGCGATAGACCCGATAATTATTGGTATGAGAAATTGTAGTAGGATGTAGTGTTCATAATTTGCTCAGCTATACTGGATAATGTTAAGCTGAGTTTACATCTCCAGGGGCCAGTTGTATGAAAGCCGGATAGCGCTATCCACCGGATAGTGATTTTTTCAACCGTTCAAAAATGCTCGAAAAGCGATAAAATTTCATCTTGGGGACCTGCAATTATCAAAGAGGATCCTTGACTTAGGAATACTAAGATTTATTCAAAGTTATAGCAAACAAGGAGTGAATTTAGAGCGATTGAAAAAACCACTATCCGGTGGATAGCGCTATCTGGCTTTCATACAACCGGCCCCAGTTTTACATGTGTTCTCTTCCTTTGATGGATGTGAACGAGTTGATAAATTATGGATGTTCAGATCCGGGGATATAGATATATGATCATAATGATCTTTTATACCTTTATTCACTCGTTCATAACTGTCAAAAGAAGAAAATCGCGCCCTATATTCCAAAAAAAAAATATCGAGTGTGACTGAGTTTGTTTCGTGTTTATCCTCAACAAGTCGTCCTCAAGTAGCACAGATCCAGCCGTTGTGTCTGATATGTAGTTATTTTCCAGGTTGCATTATGTAAGAGAAAGTCTTCCAAAGTCCGAAGAAGATTGGGACAAATGTCAGTTTGTGGATAAAACGCACTGGGGATACTATTCCTGGCCACAGTAAGTGCTAGCATGTAGTTGTTGTAAAGATTTGACCCCTGTTTGACTATTTTATAATAACCGTCTTGGGTGAAACCATTGTAATCGGTCTCATGTCTCTGGATTGCATCTTTATAGAAAGCTGTTCACGTACGCGCCAAGCTCACAACAACCATTGCTTGATCGGAAAAGAGAAGATCTAAATGAGGTGGAGTATTGGATATTTCGTACATAGTTCAATTTATCTTAGACAAAAATATATCGCTGGGAAGAGCTCCTCGCATTCAGCAATACTTCATATAATACTGCATGCAATGGTTGGAGGATTTTGTGAAATCATTCCCTTACAAAATTCGCAGAAATATATTTCCGAATTTTCACCTGGACTTGTTACGAAACTTTGCAATTTTACTAATTAAACTGTGCCTAGTTTTACTGTGGCGATATTTTAGCCCTAAAAGATGAACCATATATGAACAACTAACCTACGAAAACATTTCATGCCATCTCGTTTAGAGCGAACAAGAAATTTTCGACGCGTTTTCAAACCCAGAATTCGTGGATAAGTTAATTTCGTATTTGTCTTTGGAAGACAGGAAAGGAAAGGACAAATTTAACGTGCAAAGATTCGTACTTTTCAAGGTACGATGTCCTGTCGCTTAATAGATATTATGAATAATATGAATAATAATAATATGATGTAATAATAATATAATGATATGAATTTACATGCAGTTTAAATGCGTTACTTGTTGAGTAAAACAAAATACTTGTTTATCTTTCCTCAATCGCCTCTATCTTTTCATTTCGTATAGGGGATATTTCGTAACCACGGCGACACATTTCTAGAACATTTTAAACCTCACCTGGTGAGACTATGCGGCGACGCACATGTAAGTTGAAACCAGCTTTGCCCATAATTGGGCCGAATGGTATTTATTTTTGTCTTGTTTAAAGATTTATCCCTTTGGTAAAGTTTCCACACCGAATACTCATTTTTCATAGCTTCAAAAATTACCTAGTTTTAACAATAAAATTTCTCTTTTACTACAGGAGAGTAACCAAAGATGTGCTACTGAGATTACCGCTGGCCTTATACGCGGCAGCAAGCACTGGCCTTTTCAAAAGGTTTGTTCTACTCTATTTTCTGTGTTTAGCACGAAACGATCTCAACAAAGGATATTTTGTATTTAAAACTAAATTGCTACTGGAAAGAACTATGTTTATAAACGAAACAGATGATCTTACAGAGCAGAGCGATTAACAAAAATCTTTTGATGGACTTTCTGCCAAATAATATGTAAGTAAATATTAGCGGTTTTTATCGCTTTTTGATCTTCAAAACTGTATTCGTTTCAGCTGGTGAACCTCTGGGACTTCATTATTCCCGTTATCAAGAAAGCGTTAGATAACATCACCGTGGAGACACTGCGGGATTGGGGTACCTGTATGGCCACAGCTGCGGTAAGTTAAAAAGTGACAGGAGGTCATTAACAAAACACTTCACTCCACAGTCACCAGGTCAATGTTAACATTTTTTCTACATCCCCTGTTATGTTAAAACAGGAAAGCAGAGACCCCCGACGTATCTATCGCTTGTTAGACTTACTCATGGACGATCCATTGAATGGCAGTGGTGGAGCATTTGCTGACAGCAGGTAAATTGAAAAGTCATTGCGGGAAAAAATACGTACATACCATGATTTCTTGTCATACTAATCAAACCATACATTCAAGTACGCCATGGCCATGCCCAACATACCAAATTGTGCTATACATACCATACTATTCCATACTATGCTATACTGTACTACACCATACCATACTATGCTAATGCTGTACCATACCATACCATACCATATCATGCTATACTATGCTATACTATGCTAAACATGCCATACCATACCATATGCTAATTACTGTTATATTTTAGTCGCCTTTACGTGCTCCAAGGAGCGCTGGCTCAACAAGAATGGAGAGTTGCGGAACTACTTCATGATCTACTCAAATATATTGAACCAAAACTTGGACATTCGTATAAAGATGTGCGAGATCGTTTGGGAAGGTACAGTGGCATTATTATCGTATATACAGACAGACTTTCAGATTTTTGCCTTAAGGCAGCCAAAAGTTGGGGAAACGGGTCGTGGACAAAGGGTGCTTAGCGCTTTGGCAGAGGGGGGCACACAGTTGCTCGGCGGGGTTGTGCAACGTTCAATATTCTGTATAAAATCAACACGATCTGTGCAGTACATTGTGTGTAATTGTACACCTTGTCTCTCTAGCGTAAAGTGTAATATTGTAATGTGTAAATCTACACCTTATATTATAGTTTACTACACCTTATATAGTACATTGTGTGTAATTTTACATCTTGTCTCTCTATGTAATGTGTAAATTCTACACATTACATACTGTACATTTTGTGTAATTTTACATCTTGTCTCTCTAGTGTGACGTGTAATATTCTCATGTGTGACATCAAGCTGGCGCGTGGCACACCCTCGCGTTCCCCGCGCGTCGTCGACTTCATTAAGGCAGCTCTGCCACAGTTGTGCGACCTCAAAGACGTTGACATGCTGCAGAATAACTGCGTCGTAGCCCCGAATGTCGTCATGGGTGCGGAGAAAATGATGGTGGACGATCTCGAATGTGTTGATCTCAGCGCGGATATTGACATGGTCTCATTGGACACCCCTGAGTCGTTTGAAGAGGATGATAAAAGAAAATCAGCCATCAAACTAAGCAAAACAGGTATGGAAGATGTAGATGGTTAGTTGGGAGAGTGAAGGTTTTGATTATTACTGGAGTATATTGCCGAAATCTTGACAAGTAGTCGAACGTTGCCGAATGCGCCGCTTTTATCGGGCAGTCTTATCTGGTACAAAATTTCTTTTCGCAACAATTTCTCCTCTGGTGGGCAAACTGGGGAGCATTGATCCTCATCAATGTTTCCCTGTTGGCTCACCAGTGGAAACATCACGAGTTACAGATATTTTCAAACAATGTTTCCTAGTTTGCTTAGATCCTGGGCCTTAATTTTTGGGCATTGCTTTATAAACTATGGCATCAAAACATCACTGCAATGCTCTTGTTTTCCCGTTCATATCTTTTTTGTCTCACTTTTTTACTGCCAGTTGTTGACTCAATAAATCTGGTTTTCAAACTATCATGGTTAAAAATCAAGGCTGGTTGTTTAACTCTTGTGGTAATTTACATTTAGTGTTAAACTGGTTGTGGTCCAACTCATCTCGCAGCCTGGAATCTTGTCCAAGTGAACTATTCGAACTCCTTCCACTGGTAAGAAACAACTTAGCAAGTGAAATTTAAGAAACAACGGTAGAAAGTGAAATAGAGTTTTTGGTCCTTTGGTACCGCAGCCTTTTGCATTAGTAAATTCCGGGTATTGATTGTCACATAATAGTAGGAGCGCGATAATTGGGGGAGATAAATATTCATTTCTGCCCGATGGATTCTATTGCACAGTATATGAATATTCACCCCCCCCCCCAATGATCGTTCTAGTTACGCCACTGCTTAAGAGTATGGTGTTTATGGACGGAATATTTCAATGGAAATTCACATTTTTTAGCAAAACCAGGAATATATATGAAAACCTTTCACGTTTTCTTGAATGTATATTGTACGCTGTTGCTAGCTCTTTTTAACAAGAAAATATTTAAAGTAGTTCAATTCAATATATGTAGTTGGAATATTTCGACCACTAACAGCAGTCCTGAAACATCTTATTGTCAGCCCTAAAACTTCTTTTTCCAATCTAGATTGTGCCTTTGGAGTCCCAAGAAGATGACCAAGAACTTCAGCATCTTTGTTCCAATGTGAGTTTGTAGTACCCGTGCTTCTAAATTCAATGCAATTCATTACCTTTAGTCGTGGACACGTCGGGCCATGAACAGTGGAGATTGCATGACATCTAAGAAGCTGGTGTCTACAATCAGTCAATCACCGTCAAATTAGAACTGACATTATAGATGTAGTTTTCTATAATTGATTTTCACTCTGCTCAATTTTTAGGTACTTTCGCATCTTTCCTACTGTCTTCTCTCACCTGAAGCTCTTTCCCAAGCAGTCAGTACTATAACTAAGGTGGGTTTCGTTCTAACTTTACTCCCCAGTTTGAACTCCATGCAGTAGAACTCTCGAATCTAAACTGGTCCAGCGACTCCATGATCATCGACAATTATGCCGTCATCCATTCTAAAAATCTACTCGGTGTAGTTTTATGTCTTACCTATGTTCCATAATATTGCCATTTCGAGGCTTGGCACAAAGTTCACGAATTTTGGCATGCAACTCTTTGCAAGGATGCTTTTCGTAGTATTTGACTCATTTTTGCTTTAGCGCATGCGCAAAGCGTGTTAATCGATTCTCACCACAAGCCGTGCGAGCATAACTGCAGAATATAATGAAAAGATGAACATGAAATTAGTCGGAATTAGTACCCTCGCTATTGTATTTAATCGGGTTCTTCAGCTGGACGACAATGTTGTCCGGTTGTGGTTCCTTGTAAATTTAGTTTAGTCTAACTAATTACTAGAAATACATGAATGCAATAGCAGTTTTTGGAGGTCTGACTATTCGCGCAGTCGGACTAAAAATTCTTCCGTATTTGAACAAAAAAATATTTTCTCTTGCTTCGTAGTTCGTACAGAAATGTTACCTCGAGTCGGCGACTTTTTGTTTTTGACTTTTTGTACCCAATTTCAGGGGGGGGTGAACCATTTTCCTTTTTTACTAGTAGCTGGTTGACATGCGCAGAATGCATACAACAAAATAATGTTACAAAACAACATCTCTCTAATATGGTTTTGAAAAGACTTTTCTCCAAAAAACTGCTGGGGAATTGCATCGGATTTTATGGCTACATAAGATTAGGATAAATAATTTTCATAAAGAAAGTGTTAAGTGCTAAGCCGTAAAAGCATCGGGATTAACTCACATTTTCCGCATAGATTGCAGAAAGTCCATCTTGGCATTCGAGGAAGAGCATCCTTACATTTCTACAGGTAAATTGCATTTGCACTTGGCATTCGTCGTTCACTAGAAGAGCCGGTCTATGAATACCACTTAAAATGCGTCAAGGTTTAAAACCTGTTCTTTCGTTTGCACCCAGTCAGAAACAGGCCTTTACTCTTTTCTAATCCGTTATTTGTTTCCAGGGTTTGGTCTGCGGCAATTTCTTTATGGTTATTGAAAACTCGGATCATGTTACCAGCATTCAAAGTATTGTTCTCAATCTACTTACCGATAAACAACTTGAGGTAAAAGAATAGTTTGTCATATATTTTTTGTTCAACCCAAGTGCCTCACACCATACCAAATCTCGTTTTAAGGTTCGTGAAGCAGCAAGCCAAACGCTCGGCGGTCTAATTCACTACGGATTTTTCAAGGTCGATAAAAACTTGCAGGTAAATTCGGAAATTTGTTTGATGTAAAAACTTAAAGACGGAAATTTCGAATGTGTGTTCAGAAGCCCAAATATCCGCATTCTTGTTAAAGTCTGTTCACACGATCAATTTTGTCGGATCTAATTTACTTCTGACGTATGGAATTTAACCTGTTTTTGATAAAGCAGTGCTGCATTGGCTTTAGTCAGTGCTTTAGTGGATTTGCTGTCCGTATACCATTACAAGGCAACAACAAACTATAAAGCATCCATCAGAAGTGAATTAGATCCAACAAAACTGGATCGTGTGAACAGATCTTCATTTGGGAAACGATGTTTCCGATAATATATGATTTCAATTCTAGGAGAAGTTTTTGACCTTGGCAGCAACAAAATTACCGAAGAAAAGAAAAAGAGACAACGATGTAGACGAGCCAGGTAAAAGATAGTTTAGTTTTAAACTTTACATAACTTTAAAAAGCTATATTTGTCAGCTTTGCTTCCCATTGAGGATTTCATCTCATTTCTCTGCACTTCTAACATGCACTTCTAATATGCTTGCGCATCCTTCAGATATCTCCCTACCTCACGTATTACGTCATGCTGGAGTCTTGGGTCTCTCAAGTTGTATCAAAGCTTTTCCTTACGACGTTCCTGATTGGATGCCACAGATGTTGGTGGAGATTGGAGAACATCTGCATGATCCTAATCCTATACAGGTATAGGAAGCTTGCCTCCTTTCTTAAGCTTGCTCTTTGTTGCTGTTATCAACAAACTTTGTATATGGTTTCTGAGTCATGTTTTATCGTTTCTAAACTGTTTTTCTGAAGTTTTGGCCAAGGTCGTAAAACCTAAACTAAACTAACTTTACCCTGGATACTACTAGGCTGCATGTTCTTCCTGGTGATCCATAACTTTTATGTCGCATTGTATCCAACCTAATCTAAATTTCATTTATACTAGATAACTCTGTTAGTTTTAAAATTTTTTATTGGTCCAATGTTAATATACACTCTTATTGATCCAATGTTACTCTTGGAAGATTCCCAAACTAAACTAACTTTATTCATGCTGGATAGCTCTATCAGTTATAAACTGTTTCTTCTCAGAGAAAGTGGTCCATTAAGGATCGTCTCTTACCAATATTTCAGTCAAACTGCATGGATAGCTCTATCAAAATCTATGGAAATAAAAATCAGTATTCGTAACTACTCTAGGCTTCGGTGAAGAAAGTTCTGTCAGACTTCCGTAGAACACATCATGACAACTGGACATCCCATAAACAGAAATTCAGCGAAGAACAACTGTTGATTTTCACAGACCTGCTCGTCTCGCCTTGCTACTACGCCTAGGAACATCGTAATGGCCAGGTACAGAGTTGTCTAGTATGTGCTTTGGAAGGAGTTGCATGTCTTCTGATGAAAGACACTGTGGGTATCTAGTTTGGCGAGTGTAAATACGGCGAAGGGAATTGGTAAATGATAAATACGGTGGGGGAGTTGGTTTAACTTCACGACTAACAAAAACCTCACGTCGGGAGATTTGAGGTATTCACCGCAATATTTCACACGTGGACAAGTGAAGGTTCAACTGACCGCAAACAAACGTGTACATAACTGAACTAGCCTTTTCAAAGGTGGATTAGATAAACCCTTTTTTCAATTCCAGTCGTTTTATTGGCGCGAGTCACGGATTATTGTCGAAACAAATTGTAAAAACTAGTTGCTTGCTTGACGGGGTCGGGGTGTGGTACCAAATTTCAAATATTCTGTAAATCGATACAGAATTCATATATAGTTTTCTGCTTTTTAATCCATTTGTACTCTCAAACTATTTGATAAGAGTGCTTCACGTACAAAATATACGAAGATGTGCGATTCACCAACACGTTTGTCCCTAAATCACACTTACTCACCTGTTTGGAAGCCCTTGGTACGCAAGTGTTCCATCAACGTGTTTATCGGGATGTTTTAATACACTGCTCGTTTTAACCGGTCACAAGGACCTCATTGAACGTGTTGCCGCATGTATGTGAACGTGGACGTCGGCAGCGTCCAATATCATGTCGCTGTCACGTGCATACCACGTGAAACATTAGACGTAGAAGAACAAAAAAAGCATTATATGTATATATTAATGTCGCTAACATTAGGTAGAAGAGAATAATTTATGTTTCATATCACTAAATTTATAAATTTGAGAATTATAGTGATATTTTGTGAATGTTTTTCTTTAAAAGACGGGAAGGTCTCGTAATTTTAGTAGATCTCATGGACACGAGGAATCACAAAGCTTGGATAGGTATGTTACCACCATGACAGGTTCACCAAGTGTCATATGCTTTATTTCCTGACCTATACTACAAGGGCCGGTTGTATAAAACTCTTTAACTCCATTTAGCACAGTTAAATTCTAGTTAACTCAGAAATACACCACTCTGATTGGCCAATTCTGTCCTTAACTACAGTTGAAAGTTAACTAGTCTTTTATACAACTGGCCAGGTCAGTGTTACAGCATAGCTACCTAGTATAGTTCAGGTCATGGTTGTTTTTGGTCTGGGATTTTTATCATGCAGTCATGTTTGCCTTCGCCTAAAATAGATTTTTCACTACACTGACGTGCACCCAGTGCACTCTGATACAACTGAAAGAATAACTCATGATAAACATGTCCATATTTGCCTGACGTTAAAACAGGTTCCTTAAGCTTAGGATAAATAGGATGGCAGTATTACCATATAAAGATCAACGGGACTTGCAGGAGTAATTATGAGAAAGAAAGAAAAACAATCAAAAGGTAACTATTCTATTAACCCAAAGTAGCCAGAGCGATGTAAAAGTATTTTTCTTGCAAGGGCACTTGCATGCGATGATACATAGCAGCACACGGTACAATTATAGAATACTAGGCCAATAGTCCATTATGTTAAAGATCTGGGGCCGGTTGTATCAAAGCCGGATAGCGCTATCCACCGGATAGTGATTTTTTCAACCTTTCTAAAAATGCTCGAAAAGCGATAAAATTTCAGCTTGGAAGCGACAATTATTAAAGAGGATCTTCGATTTAGGAATACTAAGATTTAATCAAAGTTGTAGCAAATAACGGGTGATTTTGAAGCGATTGAAAAAAGCACTATCCGGTGGATAGCGCTATCCGGCTTTCATACAACCGGCCCCTGTTAGATGATTAATTTTAGAGTATAGAACTACCCTGTTCTTTAAAAATAGTGTTTATTCTTGTTCTCTGGAAGTCCAAATCACGGATTAAGTAACATAAAACAAGGTACATGTATATCTAGAAGACTATATGACATTCACTGTTAAGGCTTAGTTGGGTTGGCCAGGTATTCTATAATTGCTCCCGGCACACTACGGCTAATAGTAATGTGGTCGCAAGCATGGTTTTTTGAGCGTGTTTTCATAAATGTTTTCTACTCTCATCGTTTTGACCCCCTCTCCTCGCAGTCCAAGATGAAATATTGTGAATACCTAGACTCGTCTAGTGGAATTCTGAAATCTCCGGAAAACTGCTTTTCGTTAAACGTAAGCGCACCCCAAGGCCCAACGACAGAAAGGCAAGCTGGGCCGGGGTGGAGCCAAACTCGTACTCGATAGAACGGCCCGTTTGTTTGCTGCGTCAATTTGTTTGAACAAAAATATCAATTTCAAATACGCTATTTACAATTTTTTGTTGGAATACTTATTACAAGTTCAGGCTTTTCCTGACAAGACTTCGTGCAATCTTATTGAATTCCTCGCGATTATCACGCCACATTTTCTAAAGAGAAAAAATTAAACAGTCAAGCGTGTCAATGCTTTAAATGAGTTTAATTGAGGTTCAGATAGTTGAAACCTTTAAATATAATTATATTTATTAAAAGTCACATACTGATGCATCTACATTTGCTCCACTTTCATCATTTGGTTCTGAAAAAAGCAACAAAATGATTTTCAGTATCCTCTTTGAATCTATCTAATTACATTCCAGGCAATTTTACCTGTCAAAGAACTGAAAGAAAATTGCCAGTTAAGCTTATTGCAAATTATTTAATGATTTAACATTTTGATTGTATGTATAACCTCAAGTTTACCTGCTAGCATACTAACAACTGACAGTAAAATTTTCTCCACAGATTGAACAGGACTCCATCTTTCTGCACTCGTCTCATAACCCATTGGGTCATCGCCAGGTGCATGGAGGATTGAAATACACACTCTGCCATCGGGGTAAACTGTCAAAATTTAATAAAGATTGCAGTATCCCGGTATGTTGACCTGACTTAAATAATAAATTTTCTAAGACACTAATTACCAGAACAAATTTGCTTGAAGTGTTAAGATCACTCATTGAAAATATTTCATGTAGTCGCTCATTGCAGATGTTTTAAATGTAGGTATTGTATATCTTAATAGGGCTAGAAAACCTATTAACTGGCAATGTACCTAAATATAATCCTAATTCAGTACCTAACTTAATGACAGATGATTTTACAGAGAGTTAAAGACTCTTTGTATCATAAACTCATTATATCTGTATGTCAGCATGATTTATATCTGCATGTGCCCCAAGACACAAGTTTATGTCCACTCTAGACATTTGTCTCAATGAAATTTATTGAGATTTACTCAGATTGATTTAATTAACAGAATTTGGTTCATACCATTAGGGTGGAACATGTCTGAGACAAATTTCATTTTTGGAGGACTTAGTGGATAATCAGTTGGAAAGACAATTTTTGCTGTGAATACTCCATCCTCAAAAGGTGTGCCTTCAGGACCCCTGTGGAGAAAATATTGGACTTTCAAATTTGAGGGATACTCGTAGTAAGTAATAAAGCTCAGAAATAAGGTACGTACAATAAGTTTAAATGCTAAAAAGAATTATAAAAGTTTTTAACAAATAATCAGCAAAATAATATCAAAGCAAAAAAATACATAGAATATTTTAAATCTATTTATATATATAATATCTGATCTACTTCATGATTACATATTTTTAATTCCAATTAGGAAAGTTTGATTGCATTACTGAGGCTTTGGTGGCCCATTTCAGGGCCTCCTATAAGACCCCTCCTATCCATGGGCCATGTGGTAACATTAAAGTAGGCAGAAAGATAATTGGACCAAATTTTATCATAATCCCTGCAATATAAGTTTTTGGCTAGGAATATATGTATATATATACCAGACTTACATGATCAAGGCTTCCCACTCAAAAAAATTCTCCTCGTTTACAGGACCTAAAATGCGAAAACACCGCAATGCTGTTTACAAACAGTAACAGGTTACAATTACACGTGAACTCCTACCAATCCTATTAATAATTAACCCAGATGAAATACGTAAAATAAATATTGTCCATTTGATACCTGCGATAATGCCTTCAGGTGGATTTAGAGTTAATTCTGAAAGAATAAAGATATTGTTAATACGAAAATATCAGCTCAGTGTTTACGAGATTATTCGCATTGAACACACGCCCTAGAATATTTGGGGAATTTTAAGTAGTATTTCATAAATATATTACATTAATATACGTGTCATAGAGGATGTACATACGCTTGTATTCGGCCATGAGACGTTTTAATGCGGCTCCAGCCATCGCTAAATACTTGGTTCTTTTGCTCTCGCGTGTGATTGAGCTTGGTATAAAATGAAATTCAAGGCATTTTTAGCCAAAGTTTATCGATTCCGCATTGTTGTATAACACTTGATGTGGTCTTTCTAATCCCGAAAATTTACGAAAACAACAACAACGAGCGCGCCCGAAACATCTACGAGTGATTCCGACGCAGAGCTGTAGATGAATCGGTAACTGGAGGTACTTCGATTGCTTTCCTTTGAGCTGTTTTATTATAGAATTTACTTCACGCAAAGTCCCCCCCTGACGGTATAAGAAAAATATCTGTTAACGGGGGAGGGTTTCATTATCATCAAATCAAGATGGCAACACCAACCTCGCAACTTTTGCCGTTAGGTGAGAAAAATCTTCGCTAATCTTGTGTGATTCTCTGTTTTAACTGTAACCAAAGTTCTGTTTGGATCATTTTTATATCTCCTTGCGATAAATTTCAAGCATTTCATATTTGTTGCCACAGTGATTGAGTATATTAGGGGGACCTTTTCACATTGGAATATTTTGTACAAATTAAATTGGTACAAAATCGTTGTAAAACGTTCCGTTTTTTCTAGAATTAATTGACAAATGCGTGGGATCAAAGATTCACATTATTATGAAGAGTGACAAAGAAATTGTTGGAACTTTGCTGGGTTTTGATGATTTTGTTAGTATCCTTTTATAAACAGAAAGATTTAGTTTTTGCAGAGATAAGAAGTATTTGACCATGGAAAGTTGAAAACTGAAAGCAGAGAAGGGAGTAAGAAGGAAACAGATAAATTAACAAATTTCAGGATGAACTTAATTTATAATGTGATAACAGCAACATTTACTAAAACATAATTTACTAAATAAATCATTCACTAAATCATCAGGGACTTGAATTTACTTGAATGCATATCTCATAGTAATATTATATTCCAGTTGACTGTAGGTAGAGATAGATGTGCATAGAAAGAACGATTGAATAAGAGCATACATATAGCCTTCTTTAGTTGCAATCCTGCTTTTCAACAAATAATGCAGGTTCAAGTCATATGGTAAAAAAACCCGAAATTCTGAGCATTTTCTCATTTTCACGTTATTGAGATGGTAGCTATGGTAATAGACATCTATAATTAGTAAAGTTATTATTGCATCCTTGACCAATTTTAAGATATGGTATTGGAGGATGTGACTGAATTGTAAGTGTCAATAAAATGAGTAAATTCAAGTTAGCAAAATGAAGCAGCTTTCAAAAAAACCTTATATGCAAAAGAAACAAATATGTAAACACAGGAAACATGTTGACTTAGTGCACAATTTCAATCGCCAAATGGTAGCGATTGATACAATTTGGCTGGTCAGTTTTGACATTTGTCTCCTTTCAGTGAAAATACTGCTGAAGGTCGAAGAGTAACGAAACTTGATCAGATTTTATTGAATGGCAACAACATTACCATGGTAAAGTGATTACAAAATGTTAGTTGGATTACCATCCACATCATCAGTGCTAATGTGTCTTGTTTATATTTTGTTTCAGCTGATACCTGGTGGAGAGTATCCTTTTTTATAGTAAAATATAACTTTTTTACTTGCACAACCTGTTTTATAATATTTTAAATAAAAATGTCTGCTGCTAATATTTGGCAATATACCAAACTTTTTTCAAGCCATCACCAAAACACCATAGGAAAAATAAAACAATTCCTACTACAATAATTATTAGCTTAAACATAAAAATATGTTACTACTTTTGTACTGTGCGTTAGTGCATTCTGAAGTAGAGTCTCTGTGAGGGAAAACTGGTAATTAGGCTTCATTTGGGTCATCCTCCAGGTATATACATTACCAGTTCCCTATTTACTTAGTATTAATGACCTTTGCAGTCTCCTTTTAGCAGTTACACTATTCCCATAATATGCAATTACATCACAATGATATGCAATTGTGTATATGTATATTTAGTAAAGCACAATCTAAAAGAATATTGCATGAAATATAAGCTGATATGTAATAAATACATAAATTTATCCTTCTAAGTCAAAGTTATAAAGATTATAATCCAATTTTAGGCATAAATTGCAGGTGTTTTTCTTTCCTTAATATGTCTTCTCAGGGGACCTGATGTTGCATAAAACTGTTATTCTTTCAACACCCAAAATATGGATACTGAAGGACATACTTTATTTATATAAACTAACTTTATGTAATTTTGAAGATTACAATATTATTTCCAGCATTACACCCTTTCTTTTTTCCTATTTTGTTTTTATTTTTGAAGTAGGGAATAATAAGTTTCACTATTTTGGATGGTTTTATAGAATTTTATTACTTCTATATCAACTACATGTCAAGAGTGGCCGTGCATAGATTTGACCTATGGAATTAACTAAGCCATGCTGATAGTATATAATGAATTTTTATTCAATAATCGAAAGAACAATTTCAATTCAACAACTATTCATTGCTGAACATATAAATAAAAGTTCAAAGTTATCATAACTCTAGCTTGTGGATACTGTGGATATGAATTATATATAGTTCTGTATGTAGAATAAAATAGTTTTTAGGATATCATCTGATGCAAAATACTAATTTGTTTATGATTCGATTAACTATAGATGTGAATAGTGATGAATGAGCACACAGATGGTTGTGAAGATCGAATTTAAAATTGTGACCATAGATTTTGCTTGATTTTTAAAGGATAATTTCATTTTTGAAACTTGATGACAGTTCTTTGTATGGTAATACAATAGAATTTCGAACCAATAGTTCTGGGCTGATCACAACATTACGACCTAGACAAATGAAAAGATTAGCTTTTTTTAGGACTAATTTATTTTGTAGTCAATCTTTGCATCTTTTTCTTACCTAGAACTGTTGTTGATGCAATTAATCGTCCATCTTTCTGAAATAGGGACTCGCTAGCTAAACGGGCATGGGGTTCGTTAGGATTAGGTTCAAATTTGGTTCCCTCAATTCTTGACCATGCACCAATAACACAGTTCCATCCAACTATGCTATAGAGGATACAGCAATGGTCCTAAAAAATGAATATTGGATTACAAAAACCCTTAAGAGGTATGTTTGACTGTAGAAATTAATAGCTAAACATATATGGATGTATTAATTTTTGGCAGGCAAAATGCATTTGGAAAATTTTTGCATGTAAGCCAAACTATTTCTCTCCAAGTTGAAACTTGATCTCTTTTTAGATTGTACCTTAATTTCTGCCTTGTCTAAAATAATTGCATCTTTCACCCTTGCACCTGGTCCAATTATAACCCCACTGCCTATGGACACATTGGGTCCAATCTATAAATGAAAAAGTATCCAGTCATGTATACAAACAAATTAACTAGATTTGTGTACTTTAGAAATGCAAATTGTTGTGTAACAAGTCATTCAACGTACAACTGCAGTGGAGTGGACTGAGGCTGTTGGATGAATAAAAACATCGCCTAGAAAAAAATGTTGAAGAAAGGTCTCAACTAAAATATTCTTTGACATACACTAGTGATATATATAACCATATTTACAGTGGTTATAAATGCCTTAATAAATATCTCAGACAAATCACAATGATTGCCCGTAAATATTACATATATATTGTTACTAGCTAAATTGGAGTCAGTTGGAGTCAACACTTGCTAACTAATAATTAATAATTAACACTGTTGCTAACTAATAATTAATACTTAAGTCTAATAATAGTTTGTCTGAAAGTTTAAAATGTGCACCGTACACACCTATAATTGTTGGTTTATTGTCTTCATTTAGTGTAAGACGATCGTTATGCTGTGTTCTGTATAACTCGAGAAAGTTTTTATTTGCAAAGATTGCTGACCTGTAAGTATATAATACATAATTATTATTATCATCATGTATATTTAGCTGAACATAAAAGTTTTGCTTGAACTGATTGATCAATGCAAGCATTACATATGGACTTCATATAACTGGTTTCCATATGTTCTTGTGTGACAATGAACTAAACATATATAGTCATGCAAGTGCAATTGTGCATTTAATTATGTCTAAATAGTAAATACCCTGCACTTTTCAATACTGTCCAGAAATTGTCTGTTTTAAAGACATAGACAAGTCCTTGTCCAGATAAGTATGGCATTAGTTGTTCTCCCATCATTATTCTGCCAACATTGTTTGATTGTGATAGCTCACTGGAAAAAAAGAAGTTCAAGTTAATTATGTTCAAGGTAAAACCATCAGGTTTCAGACAAATTTCCTCAGTATATGTACATTACCATTACATAAGCATTACAAATCACCTGCTCCAAAATAGCTAGCTAACTTCAATTTGTCATGATTGAAATCACTGATGTGATTTGGGGAAAGGGTTGATTACATATTCACATAGAAGCTGCTAATATATTAATATATTGCTAATATAGTTAATAGGTTAGACATAGTAGAGATGAACCCTAAACTTACTTTGCTCTGTCAACATTTTTTTGTCTTAGTTCTTTGAGTGCATCAAAAATTGTCGGTGTGAAGATATATGCCCCACAGTTGATTAGACTACTGACATATGTTTCGGGTTTTTCCACATAATGTAGCAGCTACACAATAGGAATGAGAGTAAAAAATACAACATTTTGAAATGCCATGTCTGTCTGCATGAGCACTGCATGATCAAATATTTATATATAGGAATGTAGAATAATGAAACAATATCAATACAATCAAATATTTCTACCTCATGTGTTTCCGCATCTTCCACCATGCAGCCATTGTCTGAAGCTTGACTAGGATTTGACTAAAGCATTACAGTAAGGAAATTTGAGAGATTATAAAAAGGTAGCAAAGTGTAGTGGCATGTATACAGTGGATAATTAGCATTAGTACAACTGTACAAGTTGAACTACAAATAAAATATTGTACCTCTGTCCCCAGCACTGTGTGCTTGCCATGATTATGTTTCTTGTGAAATTCCCACATTTCTTTTAGAGGGAAATCTGAGCTGATATCAGCGTACAAAACTATGAGAGCTGATGGATTACCAAGCATTATCTGGTCTCGAAAATGATAAAGACCTCCGACTGTGCCGAGAGGCTGGAATTCCTGTAGGTACCTATAATAGAAAAGCTAGTATGTGTTTAAGTAGGTTTTGGTTACCTCATGGCAAAATGAAATGAATTGATTTTGTTCATGAAATGAGTGCTCCATATACGGTACCATCAAGTAGGATTGGAAGCTAGTTTTGCAATTCACCTCTAATGCTACTTGTGACAACCTACATATATTTTGAATTTGCATACCGTACAGGGATGTTAAACTCGTGTTGGACAGAAGCAATGAATCTTGATAAAGATTCATTCTGTTGGTAGTAACCGATTAGGACAATTTCTTTCATATTTGGTACCTAGAAATAAATAAGTATAGCTATAATGATCAGTGGAACTTCAGATTTTGAATAATATATGAAGCACAACATACATACTCAACAAATCAGGATTTCTATCAAGTCACAAAATTTTTCAACCTAACGTTTAACTTAGCAAAAACTTAATGCTTGATCATGTGATACACGACTGGAGGTAGATGGGGCCACTGTACCATTGGAGACAGAGGTGGTACACTATATCTATCTGGGCTTCTGGTTATAGGTTCAGCAGTGGCTTTTTCACCATGCTTTTCGTAGCACACCATCGGTGCCAACACAATCAGACAAGGGTGGATTTTTCCTTTTGTAAAAATCTTCATATAGAAATGCCATACCTTACTACATGCTTCAATATGGTGCTGAATCAATGGACAACCTGCTATAGGAAATAATGGTTTGGGCAGCTCTAAAGAAAGTGGTCGGAATCTTGTCCCTACAGAAATAACCCAAGTTGAGTGGATTGCATATAAATTGCAGCCTTAATTTTAACAAAGGTGTTCCATCTCAAACCATCAATCAACTAGTACTTGAGGCAGAGCATGCATTATGCATATCCATGTTTAGCTAACTCCTTCTCAGAGTCTTGCAAAACACAAAAATTGCTTATTGCGTCTATTTAAGTCTGCAATTTGCACAAGTGACACTAGGGAAGTATAAACTGAACCGATTTATATGCAATCAAATAGTTAAATTATTTTATTAATTGCCGATATAAGATTTGTACTATCACTTCTGTGATAAAAATATTTTTAAAGTTTTAAATTGACCTGAATAGTTAAAATTGTGCACAAAAACTTGTAGTTGAGACCGTCCAAAGACCAAAACAATGTTCCGCATAATTTATACATACAGTATTTATTTTGAGAATAGAAATTGAATTGTTCACAAGGAAACGCTACCTTTCTGAGGTCCTCCAATAAGAATAATTGTCTTCAACTCCATTGCTGGGAAATACTTTAGGTTTAGGTAAAATATGACAGTTTTGAAGGAAAAATAGTTGAAATAATATTGTTGTGTCACTTGTGTGTTGGCAAATGTTGTTGACACGTCCTCATGCTTACGTTCGTCTACGATAGCGCACGACAATTTCCGAGTAATTAAGTTAATTTGCTACAATTTGTACACAAACGTTCCGTAATTAGCCCGAATTATTTTCAAGAACTATAATAAACTTCAACTTGGAACCATAGTAAATTTCAATTTATTTTGAAAATAGGCGCCTTTTGTGGCTAGGTCAAAAGTAATCTTACATGCGTAATCTTACATAATTTTACTCAAAACCTTGAAATGTACCAAAGTGACAACTTATTTTTATTTTCTATTCATTTACTTTGCCTGGCAATCCATGAATTCTAATTGATTAATGGCTTAGTTTGCATATAGAAATTCAGTACTCGTGTTCTGCATTTTTATATTGTAAAGCATGGTAGCCGGGCAATCTATATTGTAAAGCACCTGGTAACCGGGCAACTCTTGAAAAAACCACTTGCCCGGCAATTCTTGTTTACAATTGTCAATTTATTGGCCGTTTTCACACTAGAGACGCATAATGCGTCTTCTCTGGTTATTCGTCTTCAGTATAAAGACGGACAACAGACGCATAATATGTCCAGACGATTAATGTTCAGTTTTTCGTCTCAGAGACGAATAATGCGTCTGTCCGTGTGAAAACGGCACATTGACGAATAATTCTGGAAAATGAGACAGTGATAAAATAAACCAGATATTCTAATGTAATCTATTCGCGCGTGTTGCCATGTAATGCCATCGACTTATTCGTCTGATTAGTTGTCCCGCCTTTGTACTAGACAAAAAATATTGAAGACGCATTCATGTATCTCTAGTGTGAAAACGGCAATTGCGACAAAAATTGCTTACTTTTTTAGTCCTAAGCTAGACGTAAAATGATCGACTTTTTAAAAAACTTGTAATTGTAGAGAATCACGCTTGACCTTTCGCCACCAAAGATCGCCTCTTACACTAATAACAATTGGATGATCCCCATTGAAAATGTCTTTCAAAAATCCATTTTTCAAATTGAAATAACTAATAGCAAAGCCAAAAGGCCTAAAACAATCGTATTTTCATGCAAATTTCGTCACCAAATATCGTTTTTTAGTCTGACTTTCTTTCCATGTGTGTTAGCGATGTTCGTCTTTCAAAACTGAATCCAACTTATTTGAAATAAAAAAATTGTGATCGAACGGACAGCCCTGTAAGTTAACACGTACGTCAATTCTTCACCGAACAATTTGCGAAACACCCTGTGTGCAACATTGATGTCTTTGCTTTAACTTGTCTTCGACTTGATACGCGTTTTGAAGTCGTCAGGGCAACTTTGTTTATAGCAGGCTAGCAGCGTGCGCCGTGCGTTGGGCAATGTAAGACCAGAAAAGAATTAAATGAGAATGATTTGTAATGAACCATAAGTAGAATTGAAGGTAGAATACTTTATGTTGGCATGTCAGAGTTTTGAATTTGGTCGAAACCTGCAATCTCGGCAGTGGTATAGTATGCTATACTCTTACAATAATACATTGATGAATACTTCAACATTTGATTAATTGAACATAGATTAAGATCGCAAACGCACCGATAATCCAAATGTATACTGATTCTTTAGAACTAGCTTTGTTTATAGATATAAGTTCACGCGCTACTAAAGAGGTAGCAATTTATAGCATCACGGAACAACTCTTTTGAACGATGTGAACGTGTGAAGCGGCCATGAATGTTCGGACTATACTATAAATGAGACAATTTAATGATTATATCGCTCGTCCCCATCTGTCAAAAGCAGAGAAAACGCGTTAAATATAAGCCAAAATTGCAGATATAAACTGGCTTTTTTATGAAAAGCAAAAAGTTAGTCTGCTTTAACCAATACACATAGAAAATCTCAGATCGTGATCTTTACTTTAAGCATCCAAGGATGCTCAACTTTAGAGTATAGGTGTGAACGGTCTACCTTTATCAGTTCGTGGGCAGTGGCAGACTTTTTAGAGTGTCTGCACTTGAAATATAGGACCATAATTACAAAATTATAATATTTTTATATCTTCGTTAAAACTTAAAACATGCTCCATATTTGCGCCCGAATTGAAATGAAAAAGATGACTAAATATACTGACATCACTGACCACTAAAGACCAAAGTATATGCACTTCAGCGCGTTGTAAAATGTCAACAAAAATTCGTTTACGACGTGAAGGAATGAGTACATATTTACTTTAGTAAATCCCAATTGTTTTACAAAACACAACACTATGTTTTCCCACTGAGATTATCGTATACCTACCACAGTCGTTGAACTACAAAGATATGTCCGCGTGGACAATATTTGTAAAGTTTAATTGCTATACACTCTCTGAAACAATCGAGAATATGCTACACTCGTCTCTAAAACCCTAAAACAATTAGACTTGACTGTTGTATGTAAGTAATTTCTATGGCTCTAATCTGGCGTGCTTGCTACTAAAAATGCCTCAGTCTTAATGTATAAAGCAAGTACATTATATTGAAGCAATTTGTGAGAGGAACACTATAGGCTGTTGCTATATCTCGCTATTGGTAACAAAGAAATCCGGAGGAGACTGATAACTTTATCTTGATCTGTTATTTGCAATGTTTGCCGTATAAGGCTTGATTAATGTTACAATTCTATATTGACTATTATTGTAACAAAGTAGAAATTAGATTTTCAACTTGAGTTATCGCGAAAACGTTACAACAGGACTGAACAGCGTAAAACCTGTGAACACTTGTTGCTATAAGCTGCTACAAGCACCGAAGTACGGTTTGCCATTAATACTAAGACTGTCACTGTTTGATATGAAGGAAAACTTGCTAAGCTTCGCGCTCTTGTGATGGAGGGCTCAATGGGGAACTCCTTTATGACAATGACAGGATTACGGTATTATATACGCTTGCATATATGCATGATGCATATACAATTTTGCGTGTTATAAAGCCTATATGTTTTGCTAAAGGAACACGCGAACCGTCGACTACGAGGTGTAAAGTGACACTCGTATCTATGAGAAATTAATTCAATATTTGTCACTCGGCTCACAGGATTGGTCAGCGAGCTTATAAGAACCCGATATATGCGTTGTGATACCCACTGTCCGCGCGTCTGAGAACACCTCGGGGCTCCCACATGTCATTATTCTGTTAATTGGCGCACTGCTTGATGACATAGTGAATTGACAGAATTTACGTCGCTGGGAGATTGGGCTCTCGGCCAGCCACGGTATCAAGTAATAATTCGCTCAGCCAAGGAGAGAAGATACTGCAGTTTCGTGCCTTTTTAACAGGGAGTACATATTGTACTACTCCGAAACACCTATACGTCGAGAATTAGATGCATCTGGGATTCGCTCAAATCGTCATCATTTGGATTCTGATCTAAGGAGCTGATATCTTTATTTTGTACATTCTGCCTTCATTAAAGTAAAGTACGTTCTATCCTCTTGCCTCAAGACTGCTGAATGATCTATTGGCTTCTGTTTCTTGGCAAAGTAGCCTTCTAGCCGCCGAAAGAAGATAATAAAGTACAAAAGCAGTTCAGTACGGGATTTACATCGTGAAAGTGTGAAAGTTTACTGCCTAGAATTGACGAGAAGGGACGAAGTGTCTAAACGACACAAAGGACTGCTTGACCTCTTAGTAATTACCTTCTGAAGGCTTTGATCATTTTTATATTATCTTCAACCGAATACGAAATATGTTGGACGGTCAAGGACCTTCACGGGGCAGCCAGGAATCGAGTGAGGAACAGGCTAGCAGCAGTACAACTTCAAGAGCAGCTGCTAACGTGAAGAAGGAGTCGAAATCAAGTTCCTCACGAGCACCCAAGACACGATCGACGGCCGCTAAAAGGTATCTGAGGGGCACAAACGCTCCCAAACTTGCCCGAGCCGAGCTTTACTTCATCCTGAAGCATCTCAACTGAATTTTGTTGGGTCCCCGTGTTTATGTCGTACACAAGCAGAGCTTATTCACAACACTTTATGACACAAGCCCTCCCAGTTAGTAAGAATGACGCCCTGATATAGCTTCATTTGCATCTTAACTTCAAGCTCTTCGCATGGCAATGCCGTTCATTGAATGCCTTTGTAAATACACCAGCTGTTTAGAGCATTCGTTTCTCTTTCATTTGATTGTATTTTGATGGCCGTCGTCCCAGGGAGACGCGAGAAAAGCGAGTGTGTAGTTGGGCCTTCAGAATGTCGCAATTGTCTTTGAACAAGACACGTTTATTGAATTTAAACAGTTTACTTGGCGTTTATTAGCGGTCGTGTATTTCCTGAATTTGTGACAACCTATATGCATATTTTATTCTAGAATTCAAAGGGAATTGGCCGACATAACACTCGATCCACCGCCTAACTGCAGGTAAGAATATTTTGGCTAGAACAGAAAGCGGCAAGGATAAAGTACTTGAAATCATTTCACGTTTAAGACCCGGAACAATGAAAGCTGACAGCGGCATTCGTCCGCTCGCTGAGAGTTGATAATTTATCAAACAAACCCCACATTTGCATGAATGAATGAAAGATGTCGAAAATTCGAGAAGTTAAGCGTTGTGTAGCGAGCGATTACGTGATGAACACATTTCAAAGTACTCAGTTCCCTTACTTATATGAGAGGCCTTGATATATTGTCGTATATTGACCAATATTTTGAAATAAATGCACGTGTCATCTGACTAATTGTTCGCATGAACCTTTCATTTGTGTATCGTTGTACAATTTCACTTTGACATTTTCATCAAAACCCTTCCCGCTGTCAGTGGCTATTCAAAAGTCGAGGCTTCGGACTTTCGTGATTGCAGTTTTAACTATAAATACAAAGTTTCATCCGGCTATTAACCATGTAGTTCCTAAAATATTTAGTAGCAAACTTTAATAGCAGGATATTATATATCGAAACAATTGGCACTGTTGAGTCTAAAACCAAAAGTAGCAATGTTGTGTTCCGTGAATTCAAAGTTTTGTAACAAAGAACAAGAACAAACAAGTTTTGCACTTCGGTTCTTCGCCATTGCAAGTTATATCGTGACGTTTTTTGCAATTTCTGCCCACCGCCACCGGCTTGTTATTTAAAAGTCATGCAAGATAGCTAACTTCTGTGGGCATTTCACAAAAGAGATATTTGTTTGGACTTTAAATATCCCTGTTTGAAGCGAAACACTTTATCGATGTAAAAGCCGACCTATTTCGCGACTTTTGCTCGCAGCTTCAAAGGAGAATAGTGCTTGAAAGGCCATTAGCCCATGGCAGTATTTGGCAGTTCATAAATTCAACAAATTTAAATAATCTGTAATATAAGCCGTCTGATTGCGCTAAAATCCGAAGATAAAATCGAAAAGGAAAACAAACAGGGAATCAGGGATGAACAATGATTTTACAGCGTACGTTCAGCCCGTGTGTTGCTGGCGGTCTTGTAGGAGGTTGGAAGTGTAATCAAAGGCAGTTTAGAGGTGGGGGAGGGAATTAGGAGACGAGGCAGACATATGAAGTGCATTCACTCCATACCCTTAAACCCTCCAAGTCAAAATTAGTGTTTGTTTTAACCTTCTATAAAGTTGAATTGAGTTTGTAAAACACACAGGACCTCAGACTGGTTTGGTATAGCTTCGAATAGCTTGCACAAAATGTACAGGTGTCCTTTGAAGTATTACAGTTATAAAATGCACACAATATACTTATATATCTTTTTGCTTATATTTATAAATGCCTCCTGAGGTTACTTCGGGATTTCGTACGCCTATAAATCCCAGACAGTTATAATTGTGCCATTGCAATTACATACATGAGCGTTCTGACCATAATTTACATTTTTGTTGAAACTTGAAATGATCTCCGTCTAAATTGTACACGGACCGTGTGCATGTATACACATTACTTTTGTTGAGGTTACCAAACAACACCTGTAGATGTGTTATACTTATACACTTGACGCTTTAACTCCGGGCTATGCCTATAGTGTAGTGTTCCTTTTCCCAAAGACCCTATGGTATACATCTGTCTACTCCACATAGATTAGGCTCCCTGACAATAAATCTGCCAGAAAGCAAATTAGATCGGCAGAGCCAAAGGTCGCGTGTTTACAAATCACGATATAGGGTCTATACTCCGAAAACTATTTACTGTTTGAGGATCGAAGTAAATCCAGTCTGACTCATCACTCATGAAGTCCGTAGAGCTGAAGGTTTATTGCAAGAACTGAAAGATTCGAAGAACAAATGAGGAATGGTTTTATCAATTCTTTATGATAATTTTGTATCCCACTTTCAGCTTCATTTCGAGCGAGTCATACGCTCAAGGAGACACCGAGGTTACCACATGCCTACGAATTTTTTTCTACGGCGGGGATAAAATTAATACAAAACCAGTTTTACCCATTTTCAGACTTCATATGCGACGCATAAACACTGGCCTCAGTAAACATGTAAGAATCATCTAATGCTTGTCTTCTATGCTTTTTCTAGCGCTGCGCCAAAAGGCGACAATATTTACGAATGGGTATCGACAATCATGGGTCCTCCTGGGTCAGTGTACGAAAGAGGAGTATTCTTTCTGGATATCCACTTTCCTCCTGACTACCCATACAAACCACCAAAGGTAAGAATTTGAAATAAAAAATAGTGTTTTTTGTCGCTGTCGGTATTACGCATGACCGACTCTCGAGTGCTACAGACAGTAATGTCTTTGTCGATTAGAATAATGGTTCCGTTTCGTCCTTGGCACGAATTGGTTCATAGATCAGCCATGTGTATAGTTATCACTGAACGCCGGCTGAACTTTGACTTTCCAAGTGTATTTAATGTGCAGCTAGGTCTCTATATAGCTAATTGTGGGAGATTTCAGAAACATGTCGGGCAAGCAAATATCTGTCTAATTCTTACAGCTATATATACCGTATTAAAAAATCAACCCAATTGCGGACATACATGATGATAGCAGTTATATATATCAACATTTTCAAGCAAACTATACACTGGCAATAAATGGCCGTTTTACCGACGCCCAATACGGCTCAATATAGTTAAATCAATAAATGCCGTTTCACTTGAATTGCTAAAGGTATCTCAGCTATGATAGCATGCAGTTATGTGCTTTTTTTTCATTATTCTATTGTCTTTATCACCAAGCCTCACTCTAATGCCATATACCTACATTCCCTTTACATGAAAGTAAGGTTTGAAGACAATATATAGCCGCATAATTATCAAGGGGGTAGCCGCATAACTGCTTGGAATACTTGAACAAGAACGCCAAAAACTTATGCTCATTCATAAAACCTGAAAAATCCAAATGACTTCACAACACCTGCATATGGCTGTGGCGAAAAATCCAACTGACTTAAAGTCCATCATGCAGAATTTGAATTTGCCATCACTGATGTGATTTTGGCGGTATAGAACCCTACCAAATTAAACACGAATTAAGATTTAGGCCAGGCCAGGGGAGAGTTGTATGTAAGCTGATTTTCGCTATCCAACATGAACGGTGATTTTCCAAATCGCTTTGAACTGAGGTTTCCAATTTTGTTAAAAATAATTTGGATTAAGTATTGTGCATGTAGCTATTCTTAATTAAACCGCTGTTTTTCTTTATCAATTGTTGCGTCAATATTTGTAGTTTAGTTTCCTTTGGCTTTGCCATGCCGCTGGATTGGTGCATGATGTAGGCTAAAAAGTAAGGTAGAAGTATCATAACGCCAAACAGCGCTTTATTATTTATCTTTAAATTCGATCTATTGTTCGAAAATACTTATCATATGGAAGCAGCGTACGTAGTAGCGTCTTTGAATACACTTTTCATGTCTCATGAGATATAATTAAGCCTCGGTCAAACGAGAATGGAAGTTGATGATAGTTTTGAAGCAAGAGTTTACACGAGAGTCTCCCAAACTCTCGTGCGATGGTCAAACGAGTTGACGAGAGTTGACGAGAGTCGAGAAGCAAGAGTTGACCAGATGTTACCGCGCGCGTAGCAGGGACTATTTTATACTATTTTGTATTTATGTTGTCTTTTTTTGCTGAGCTTGCTGCAACAAAATGCAAACCGCTAGCTGTTTTGCAACTCTCATCAACTCTCATTCTCGTTTGACCGGGGCTTTAGGCTACTGCCTAAATTGTACAAAAACAATTTCTGGACGTATCTACAAGTGTAAATGCCATCGTCAGGAGAGTTCGTCTGACACTAATTCCCTGATTAAGCTCCTTAGGTTGAAACGTTGAGAAATGTTTTTGTAGCACCTCATTGTATATGAAATACTGTTGGAAAATTACCCATGAGCCCCATGAGGCCGCCAGCCCTCGTGAGCCTAGGAAATGATAATTGGCACGTCCTGAGGTCGACATGCATGTTCGACTTCACGAATTTATAAGGAGACGCAATCGAATCGTTCTTTCGTTTCATGAAGGGCTTACGATGCTCGAAACGTCTCGAAGATATTCGTTATCGTTTCAAATTTGGTATGAATCATTTCATACCCAAGGCCAAGGCGTGTTTATCGATTAGATACACTTCATTTTCCCCCTTAATATCGTAACGTAAATCCAGTGGAAATGGCTTTCAGTTGGAAATCTTTTAACGCTTGTTCTGGTTAGGCGAGCTAGCCCCGCCATATAACGTTTGCAGACAGATGTGCATAGCGCCTAAACAAACGCAAATTTTGGACTTAGCGCGATGATAAGTGTGAAAAGTGCAGAAATTTTGCATCGCATACACATTTCATCATGTAACATGATTTTGCCAATATCTTTCTTGCAAAACATGCCCGGAAGGCAACGTACAAATGAACTGATGAGTTTGATAACATCGCTGAGTGAAGAGCGATCCTTATTAATATTCCTAACAGCATGATTTCTGGGGTACTGATTTAGGTTGTTGCCAGCTAAATTCTTGTGTATTTTGCAGGAAGTATATAGTTCAAAAACCAGCCATGTTTTACGTCTTTTACGGTCCTGAAATACAAATCAAAATTCTTCCTATCATACAGATAATATAAACATGGTTCCTCGAATGTCGTAATTAAAAATTTCATTGTCATTGCGTATATATTCGATATCTCAATGTATTAAAGTGGGGTGTTTTTTTACATTTACATGTATTTGCATTCTACATTTACATCGTTTTGGACTATCCATGTTTTTAGGATATTAAAAATGTGTTGTTTTGCGGGTGAGACTAAAAGAATCGCGATTAAATATTGCCGAAAATTGATGTAAAAACTGTTTCAAATATGAACGAGTTTAAAGCTAGTGTTGTAGTGAGAGATTTTTGTCAACTTCACAAACTTGTTGATTGATATCGAATTCTTATCAAACTTCAATCATCGCTGCACTTGAGCTTGTTTAATCTGCTTGAGAAATTATTCATAAAATCAAAACGTTGAAAAACTATTATATCTTCATTTCTATAAAGTTTCTCCGGGCATGGAGCGGAGTTCAGCATTCGAACGATGTTATACTAAAGTGTTTGGTCTTAGTGTAATTGCCGCTGTAGCCTTTTAGCCTTAGCTTTTCATGCTGGGTCATGTCATGTTGACCTTTTGTGGCCCAGTGGCGAAGCTCGTGCTGAGCGGCGAGAATTAATATGTCATCTCCTTTAAAACACTACTGCGGATAAAAATTTAATCAAAATCACAAATTGCTGGCATCTCGAAAACTGTTTTAATTTGCAATGATTAATCCGAACCTTTGTTTTTCGCCTAAATTTAAAGTCAGTCAAACCTGAATTGGTGGTGTCGGTAAAAAAAAGACAATATTTACGTGCTATGACCTGTGTATATACATATTCAGCAAGTAATATTTGCGAAAGGTCAACTTGTACATTTTAAGCACGTTCGATCATGCAGATTTTTTGAGCGTATTTTTTAAGACATTATTTTGCATAAAAAGAAAGTAGTTTCCTAATCATTTTTACCATTTTGTGTTGCAGGTAACATTTCGAACAAGAATTTATCACTGTAACATCAACAGTCAAGTAAGTTCATTCACCAATACGTCAATTGATAATATTTAATATTATCACATTAGCAAATTTATTGCGGAAGAATCCTATATCGAATAACACCTAATTAACAATGAGATGCAAAAATTTCTTAATGGTGATTGGCTAAGTGGAGCATAATTAAATTTGGAATAGCGGTATAGGATGTTAGAGGAAAATTTGGGAAAAACCATATACACGTAATTAAGATATATATAAGAGTAACATTTAGCGAATATAAAACATTTTTCTTGTTGAAATTGGATAACGATAAACGATAAATTGTGTGGAAACACGACAGTCAAATGGCAAGTTGTTGTTATATTCCAGTTTTCACGAGTGGAAAATATAGACGGATCTATAAATACACACTCTCCCCCTAGTTTAGCTTATATCTACGCCTCCCTGTGTAAAAATAACAGGCTATATTCTCCACTTTCTGTGAAACATATTGCAGTTTTACTTATTCCAAGATGTCATTTCTAGCCGAGTAGCTGTGGTATCTTATTTCGTTGTTCGATTAAAATTTTGTCCATTAAGGTTATTAAGCTCTTCCCAAGTGTTGATATACGTGAAATTTGCATTTGCGAAACGCAAATTTGAACTGTTTGTTTATTCAGTCATATTGAAAGGTTCTGGATAAAACTATGCAGATCTAATCTCGTTAAATCTTGGATTATGCTGCTTTGCATTGTAGACAAATTACTAAGATAATGTCGCTCATTCTTCATATCTTTTAAGCTACAATACTTTCGAATCACTGTTTCCGCTGCAATACTTTCGAATCACTGAGAAACGAGGCGGGCAATGAAATCTATTGTTTGTGGGATGGTTTTGGTTGCTTGAAAACAAATTCGGGAAGAGTCTTTTCTTTTATGAAATGGGCTAAGCATTATGATGGCGACCAGATTTGGCTGGTTATCAACATGCGTGAGGAGAGTGATTTTCAGTTCTGTGGGACTTTGTTACAACTTAAAGTTGGAGCATTCGTCAATTTAACAAGTGGTTATAACATCGTTGACAAACCGTGTTTTTGCGATGCAGGCCAACTTTATTGAGATTTAGGACCTCTTTTTATCAACCAGAAATAATCTGTCTTTTTTCAACCGTGTGTTCCACTTGATAGTTGCTCTCTTAGCAGACAGGATGAACGACAGCTTACGTACATCCGTCTATGCATTCTGACGCGGTTATCAGATCCTTTGCCAAAAAAATAATAACTGAGATGTTATTCATTATCTTCGCACAGAATATTCATCTATCAGCCCGAAATCAAGTCACGGTTCAATTTTGTATCATTAAGTATATATATGTATTTTAGTACATAGAATGTAGGCTCAGTCATTCACATTTCACAAGACGTAGCTATGAAAGTGTTTTTAAACTTCGGCCGTTTAAGCTGAATGCCTTTCGAACAACCGGACTCTGATAGCAAATATTTCAATTGCTCGTCTAAAAATACTTCGGTATAAAAAATGACCCTCATTCGTGGTAAACAATCGAAAAATAATTATTGTAGGCGTTTTAATAAGTCAGCATATGTTTTTATTTGATTAATTGCCAAATAACTTCGTGATTTCTCTACCGCAAAAGTCCATAATGGTACGAAAGCTTGAAAATTAAAATCAAGTTTGATTATAATTTCAAAATTCCTTGATTTGGACAATCTGGAAAATGGGCTCTCTTACAGATTCATGTTTCTGATATTGTTTCTCTTTTTTTCAGGGTCAAATATGTTTGGATATCTTCAAAGACAGTTGGAGTCCGGCATTGACAATCTCTAAAGTGCTACTTTCAATATGCTCCCTTTTGACCGACTGTAATCCAGGTATGTTTTTCTAGGCCAGTAAATAATCCATTTTTTATCGGATAATCCGACAGGTAAAAGACATTAAGTTAACAGGACATTACACAAAGCAGTGGGTGGCGTGGTGAACTTCATAACGAATATTCACACTTTAATCGTCTAAATGTCTCGATTCTATTAATTTTTATCTCAAATACACTTAGAGCGTAGACGATTTAAGGAATGATTAAAATTGCCTCCAGCTATGCCCAGAATCACGAATCTTTTTTGGTATTTTCGATTGACGTAATGAGTTCCCTCACACCCACACACCCTCCCACAGAGCGATGTGATTATGTACATACGAGATTGTTATATAGGTGCTGTGTATTTTAAATGTGATTGGTTCATTCGTAGTCACATGACTTTAAATAAATGCAATGTTTCCCGCCAGGGAAACAAGTGAAAAATTGTTGCCCGCATATTGTCATAACAAAGTTTTTTAAAATGAAATTGTCGTGTAACATGTATGTTTTTGTTCCTATATAACAAAACACTTAATGTTCGCTACTCCTCGGGAAATAGTGAGTTTTGTTTTCCCTCGAGTCTCAACATTCAGACTCTTGGGAAAACAAAACTCACTATTTCCATGGGGAGCATACATTAGGTGTATATTGTACCACTGATATATATGTAATACTGAATTGATCACGCTTCTGCTGTGAATAGCTGAAGCCAACCACAGCCATGTTGAATGGTCTGACTTAAATCTAATGTGCTATCGTAGAAATTTTTAAAAACGCTTTATAGATTTCTAATATTTATGGCAAAAGAAAAATATCCTGGGTAATAACTTATCATCATCAATAGCCTCTTATTCGTCCCAAGCTGGGACCGTTCAACATCGTCATGCATGATAATCATTAAGATAGAAATAAGTTATGGAAAAGTTGTTTTTTTCTCCAAAGCGTTTGAGTGTGTAGATTTGTCCTTTTTTTGGTTCCGATTACACAGACCATGCAGTTGGAAATTTCTAGTTTCCGAACAAATTTTATGCGAAATAGACTTTCGGAACCTGCTAGAACACACATTCACCCCAACCGGTAAACTGTGGTACCTAATGTTTTTCAATGCTCAAACGTTAGCAAATACATCCTCATCCCCAGGGCCTAGCTCCGTTGCTCTCTGCATAGGATGTGGAGAGCAACGGAGCTAGGCCCTGGGGACGAGGATGTAGCAAATAGTGCTGTGCAATGAACTTAGGACAATCACTATACTGTTAAAAATATAGGTTTGCAATGTGGAGTTCTGCAGGGAAGTCGATTAAAATGCATTTCTCTTTCTAGACGATCCATTGGTGGGAAGCATTGCAACTCAGTATCAAAGCAACAGAGCGGAACACGACAGAGTAGCGAAGGAATGGACCAAAAGATATGCAACATAAGTAACTAAATCTCTTACGATTGTGCCCAGCAACAGTTTGGTTTAAATGTAGAACCACACCTATGGCTATGAGCTTTTATGTACGCAAGGATATGAAAGAGTACTTATTGTCCTCTAGACCTTGAAGTTTCGATGTAAATATTAAGCGATATCTCTTACAGTTTGTTAGATATAATTTTGGCACGTACACTACAGGCTTTTACATAGATCAGTGGCTTAGCTGGCACGTTGGGGTTAGATTTATGTAAAAGTCTGTAGTGTGCCTATGCTTATAGTAATTTAAAGCGCCTGGGTACGAAGCTGTAACACTCCTGGCACATATTTTTACTTAGAATGCGGAAATTCCACGATTTTAATTAACCTTGTACAGTTAGTTTACCTTCCGGACCTAGGGTTTTTTTCAATTGCATAGACGCAACACAGCAAGTATTTGTTATTTGGATATTGAAAATGAGTCCATTGCCCCTATATATTTTCATATAAGGAACGAGTATAAATACGAAAGATAACGCTGGAGGAAAGATTCGCGTGTAAAACAGGTGGCGCGAGACAAGTTTTTTAACACGTTCCTCGATTGATTCCCACAATGAAGAGACGATAACGCTGGAGAAGTTTTGACATTACAGGTAGATTTGCAAACTAGTAGGATGTCAATTAAACTAATTTAACTTGTTTATGTTATGTGTGTTTTGTCTAAGTCCCTAAGGACAAATTTCCATTCAGAGTGCAAAATACGGAGCCTTTGGGAGAAAGATAGATATCTCAAATTCAAAAACTTACCCGTTAATTATATCATTAAACCATCCAAGAAGTTGCTTACTCTAAGTTTTATACCACCATTTGCAATCTAGCCGTTATGCGTGCAATTTCTCATCATAGGTGGCTTCCGCGGCTATGAATCAAGGAATATGTTTACCTAACACCGTGCCAAATTATGAAAACTATGGCGGAAAATTTGAATATCAACTTTTGAGACAAGACATGCGCATCAATTGATCAAAAAAGTTAGGGCCTGTTTACTTGGAGCGAGCGAGTTATCCCGGCTAGGCGAGGTAAAAAGCACATCACATCAAAGACTTAAACTGATTAGTCTTTCAGGTAGACAAAACTATCGTTGGGCGTGTAAAACGCACTCAATCTAAACTGACTAAACGGTATGAAAGAAATGGAATTCGTGTGAATTTCTCGTTTTAAACGGGAAACGAGAAAAATCTCGAAACGTTAAGCTTCTTATTCCATTTAAATTGTAAAGTACATCTTTATCGAGAACACGAAAGCTTCTCGTATCCAGCGACTTTATTTTTTTGATAAAACGTGTCTCAAATGGAAGTTCGGAAATTGCCGTTGCCTTTTTGACAGACAAAATGATTTAGAAGGTAAATTATTAACTATCACCTTTAGCTCAAGTTCTTGTAGGATGCAACTTCTTGAACCTTCTGACTGTAAAAATATGGCTTTGAAGATACTCCTTTTAACTGCCATTTTTAGCCTTCGCAAAAGCAGGGCGGTTATCTTATAACCGTCCTGCTTAACTAACAATTAATGGTGCTATTGATGATTTATATCTTATAACCGCCCTGGCAAAAGCGAAAAAACGACTGCTCATGCGTCGTCAACCATTGCGTCACGTTAACCCACCGAGCTGTATAATAATTCCACTGAGCTACATAGGAATTATAATATAGCTCCTCCCGTCCTCTGTGGTCAACCTACTGAGCTTTATGAAATGATTTCTCAGTACGTGAACCACAATGACATGAATAAACCGTTCGTAGTTATTCATCTCAATGGTGAACCACTAACGTGGCGAAGACTGAGCGTTTTCACAAATCTGCATTCACGTTTATCGTGTTATATTCATCTGCCCAGATTTACCTTTACATCTAGCAGAAGAAATGCGTTTTCGTCGCTATATTTTTAACGAAATACTCAACTTCAGTTCAAAACTTTACCGGTCTGACCATTTTGACCTCTTTGAACAGTTTCCTACATCATTAGCAATTGAATCACCTTACATTGTGCAAAATGCTCTCCGTAAATAATTTTTATTCAATGAAAACGCTTTATGAACGGGCCCCATACCGTTTCACATATTTTCAGAAATATTCTCATTTTGGACATTAGAGAGTGGTTTGACACGCAGAGAATGTGACCTAATTAGTGAGAAAACTAACGACGCGGACATGGCATGAAAACAGCCACTAGTGTTAGGAATTGGAACCCAGTTTTGATTTTACTACTTAGGGATATGACTTTGTTTTTCAAAAATAATCTATAATTTTCATTCCTGTTGTGAATTTGTAGAAATAACGACAATAATACTTCGCGTCCGCGTCGTAGATTTAGTGCTGCTTTTCATCACACATTTAAGTCTTCTACTCGCGAAAAACTTTAAATGCTGCCAAATTTTTACTTTTTAACACATAGCCCAACAAATGCGCACAAATGATTTATTTATTCGAACATATAAGGCACATGCATGTAGTGTACATGATGATAATGATGTACAATAACAAGAAGTGATGTACACATGTGGATAAGCGTGGTTATATCGCTCCTTCGCTTCTCGCCTTGAGACACGTGTGTAATAAAAACTTCAATTTTTAATACAAATTCACTTCATTTTCGAAGAATTCATCCACATTTTCATTGCAAAAAGAAACGTAACGCAAGATAAAACAAAAATCGAGCAATGGGCGACAGAAGCAGCGATTCCGAAAGCGAAGAACCCACGATATCCGAAGATGTTGTTGTCACCAAATATAAAATGGCGGGCGATATGGCAAACCGTAAGTTTGTTTTTTTGTTTGCCTATTTTAGATGCGTTTGGAGGTAGGAGAAGGTGAATGCAAACGTGGAAAGCGACAGAAGTTTATTGACTTTGCAGTATGGCATTAAAATGAGACCTTAATTATATTTAGGATATAACTAAACAGGTTGTTTCGTGTTCCCATGCATGGAAGACTAGGAGCTAATAATGCAAAATTATAGGTCTGAGAATGCTTTGGTTATCAACATAATCAGGCAGAAATATAACCTGGGGTATTGATGACAATCTAGTGGTAAAAACCTTTTCGAAAAAGCACTTGTTTCATATAGTTCGGTCGCATTTTTGCATAGCATGTAGTCATGTACAATATGTAATGTACCTGTTAAAGGCTGTAATTTTATTGATTATTTAGGTACTTTGACACTTTATTAATAACACGCATTTGTGTGCAATTTTCTTCTTTGATAGTTGCATAAGTTGATAATTTGTGTTTTAATAATTGCACCAATACATCATGCTGTTTATAACTACTCATGTCTTTGCATTATAAAAGTACAAAAATTGCAGGAAAATTAAATTTAATAAAATCGGGCCTTTTGAACACCACTTTGATGCTTGTTTTAAGCAGTTATCATTTCTGTTTGTAAAGACTGCAATTTCCCTTGTAAAATTGTAGTTTTTTCCAAATATTAAAATTGTGTTTTCACTGCAACTCCCAATGCATAGTCATATTAATTAATTATTAATGGTTATCAATTTATTTACCCACAACTGTTAAGCCTCCATTTTGTCATAATTGCGGTGGGCAGTTGTTATTACTCATGTGAGTCTATGAGATCACACCAAAGAATAGAGGGGAAAATAATCAAATTGTTTTTTGTAAAAATTATTAAGGAAATTCCTCAAAGTTGGGTTACAACCATTTATGCATGAAGTCAAGTAGAGCATGGAAGATTTCATATTAGACTATGATTAGTTAAGGTTCTCAATCCTAGCATGAAATATAGTATTTCTGAATAAATTTCCTAATGTCACATGATGCTCAAATTTGGGCTGCCTTCATAGGTTATTTTAGGTTATTTGGTGGATAAAGTTACATGCTCTAAGTGTTTCTGAAGTGATTTGTAAATGTAGCATAGCATAGGGCTGCTTTCTTATAGGTCATTGTAGCATATTTCATTGGGTGGATGAAAAATTTTTGTTACAAGTGTTTATAAATTGATCTTGTGTGACATGATAGACAAGATGACCCTGCATTATAGGTTAACTGTACAGATTCTTTTCCAAGTAAGGAAAAGATATTGAATCTTGCAATCAGCATGCACGAATTTTTATGGGCATATTTTTTCATTTCTTGGCACACAGATGTAATTGTGTTAATATTATGGTTAATCCAGTTTTACCCCTATAAATGTGTCTATTGGTTTTACTCTTGTTTTACACAGATAAATGTGTTATGAGTATTATGATTATTAATCCAATTTTACTTAAATAGATGTGTCTATTTGGTATTGTTGCTCTAGTTTAATACAGATAAATGTATTGTTAGTATTGTGATTTTTCCAGTTTTACATAAATAGATGTGTCTATTTGGTATTATTTCGCTTGTTTTATGCTGATAAATGTATTGTTAGTATTATGATTATTCAAGTTTTTCATAGATCAGTCCAGTATGATACAGATAAATGTAGTGCTTATTAAATTTGAGATACATTTGAGAGTTACTGAAAATTGTTGCCTGCTACACCAGAGTCTATGATTGCACTAATAATTATATTCCAATATGCAAACCCCAGGTGTCTTGGCACAAGTACTGCAAGCCACAGTAGCTAATGTGACAGCTCGGACATTGTGTGCCATGGGTGATTCCTTGATCACCGAGGAGACTGGTAAAGTTTTTAAAAACAAAAAAGATATGAAAAAAGGTGAGATACTGAGATACTTACTATTATTAATGTTTGAGGCTTATTAAATGCATATATTTTCAAACTAACCACTGCTAGACACTTTTTGGTATATCCTGTGTTGATCACATGACAATAGCATGGTCATCATTCTTTGCCCACATGTCATGCTCCCATTTAGGGGATCATTTTACCATTCTATGTTCATGACTACACTTTCTTACACTACATTAACCCTTATCACTTTTAGGAGTTGCATTTCCCACATGTGTCTCAGTGAACAACTGCGTTTGTCATTTTACACCATTGACCACCGACCCAGACATAGAAATAAAAAATGGTGATTTAGTGAAAATGTAAGTTTATACATTTGTCATCCAATGCAGCAGACTTGAAATACCTTTGAACAATCCATCACACAAGGTTTTTTTCATGCACAGAGATCTAGGTGTCCATATTGATGGTTATGTTGCAGTTATCGGACATACCATTGTTGTCGGAGCAAGCAAGGTAAATGGCTTTGACCTGCAAATTTGTTGTTTTGTTTTATCTCTTTTTTGAAACAATTTTTTATCATTCAGGACAACAAAATTAAAGGCAGACAAGCAGATGTTTTATTAGCAGCATATCATACGTCAGAACTTGTACACAGGACTGTGAAACCATCGGAAGAGGTAGGATAAAACATTTTAAATTGCGATCCAATTTATGATTATTGATCCAATTTTTTTCATCCTATGCTCCTCTGAAGGATTAATGCACTAGTTATGGCAAATATACTTATCAAACACCTGATGTCATTTCTAGAATTATACAATCACGGACTACATACAAAAAGTAACTGAGGACTTCAACTGTAAGCCTATAGAAGGTTGGTAACTTATACAAGCAATACAATAATGTATGAATAAACTAAAAAAATAAAGAAAAGTTGCTGCAGAGCATTCATATTTGTGTTTTAGGAATGCTTTCGCACCAGTTGAAACGAAATGTTATTGATGGTGAAAAGTCCATCATTCAAAATCCCAACGAAGGACAAAAGTAAGAATGGTATTTTGCTAAGGCTAATTCACAAGTCTCTTTGCCACTTGCCTGTACCCCACAAGTTTAGTTTTATCCGACTTTAATATGCATACAGTAGGATGTTGTATAGACACAGATTACTTTTAACTAAATGTATAAAGATCTGCAGAAGCGATTGGTTTCTGAGGGTCGCTAACAACGATTACGGACCGGCTCAGTTTTGGCGGGAAATTTTGAAATTTACATTCCTTTGGGAATAAGTCAAGAACATGTTTTGTTCCTTTCATTCTTGGTCGCAAGTGAATATTTAGAATATTTTAAATATTCTGATAAAGCATTCTTATCTATTCTTAAATTGTTTAGCCATATACAATTGTTTAGCTTCATTACAAATATAAAATTTTGGTAAAGAAGTTCTTCTGTCTTCTTGATCAATTCCACATAAGTCAAAAGCACTCGGAATTTCTGTTTTACTCCTCAAGCGATAAACAAGCCTCGGTTTTCTGCGCGAGCGGTCTTTTAAACCACGTTCAGAGTAGAAGAATAACGTTTAATACATGGCATTTCATATTTGTTAGAAAAGAACACGAGAAATGCGAGTTTGACGTTCACGAGGTGTACGCTATCGATATTCTTGTCAGTACTGGGGACGGAAAAGCGAAAGAGAAAGACACGAGGACCACAGTGTATAAACGAACGCCTAATATGTACAGTCTAAAAATGAAAACATCTAGAGGTACATGCCGTTATGTTCGCGTGTTTATTGATATATTTTTACAGTATTTACACCTGTTGTGGGCAATTGAATATCTTGAAGCTGGTCCATAGCAGCGCAAAATTGCCCAACATATAGTTGTTAATTATATATTATTACCACTGATTTTTACACTATGTTGACAAATTCCCAGAGAAATTTCTCGCGTTAAAATGATCGCGCATTTTTGGGCTGCCAATGGCTGGTCAAAGTGCGAATCATGCATAATGGAGCATTTTGATTGGTTCCTGAGCAGTCGGTAACCTCCAGCACTGTTTTGGCGGGAAAATCTCCATCTTTAAATTTTGGACAATATTTTATACATTTTGTTCAAGAATTATGTACTTTTACACTGTTTTAAAAAGTTCGAAGAGTAAAGAGGACCAAAATACTGTTCTGAGCCTGCTCGGCCGCAGACGAAATCTTTGTCCGCTAACAATATTTCCTTCTTGTTACTAGTGTTTTTTAGCGAAGTTTGCAATAAATTTACAATGATGCCTTTTACACTGAGGTTAGTAAGAATAGATATTTCGTTCAGATATCACATTAGCAACAAGAACGACTGGAACACCAGTTGGAAAAGCGACTTAAAACATAAACAAAACAACGTCTTATTCCGAATTCAGCCACAAATACTTCGCGTTTATCTGGTAATTTTTTAAAATCGTGCTCCAGGGCTTTCGAGGATGAGAAGCAAGCAAGGCTAGGTGTTGTAGAATGTGTGAAACACGGTCTGCTTGAGCCATATAATGTCCTATGGGAGAAGGAAGGTATGCTAGCTCGTGTGTCACAGCATGCTGTAAGGATAAATTTTATCATTTGAGATTCTGTACAGTGATAAGATATTAGAACTTTGCTTGAATCGGACACAGTAACTGCAGTTAATTAGTTGTTCACTTTGTCTTTAAGTGCAGTTTCGTACCATTTGCTTACTACTGTGCAGTCATAAGCATGGAAACAGCCAAACACTTTAGCCTGAAATCGCTGATTGGAAGGCCCCATGAAACTCACAACTATTGAATCGTGAATTTTCTTTTAGGAGAATATGTTGCCCAATTTAAGTTTACTTTACTATTGATGCCAAATGGACCTATCAGGTATACTGACAAACTTAAAATTAAATGAACATAATATAGTCTCATAGCAAGGTTTTATTGTGGCCAGGGTTTTATAGTTAAAGATGAAGGCAGTGTTAATAGACTGTGACGAAGCAGCCTTATTTAAAACCCGCCATTTCAAATCGTTGTTTTATTTTGAGACGTGACATTCAGAAAAGAGCTATCAAAATGTTTCTCGTGTTGTTTTCCCCTGAGGAAAGTGTTTTTTTTTTAAGCTGCGGAGCTTTGCAAAATTGCACGTTTTTCCCTTCTAATGAGTTATTGTGAAGAAGCAGTATATTGCACGCATGCATGGCATAAGAAATATCTTGAAAGGAGGAAAACATTTGCCTCCCATTTTGACATAACTCAAGGTGATTTTCCGACATTCTGATTTGCAGGATAACTCAAGGGCCACCACTAGACATGGACACCTTTGAGTGTGAAAACTCTATTAAGGACGAAAATATAAAGGTAAATTAAAGAAATACGTGCATTGTGCTTTAATTTTACTAGGGTTACTCTTATGAAAAATAAAGGTTGCAATGGTTATGCTCTCTATGAGAATTTCGATGGATATTCGATGGTAATTCCAAGGTGATTGAATTTTGCAAAGACTAAATAAATTATGATGTTTTTTTTTCAGTCAATCCTAGCAAGTTCTGTGAGTAGGAAAGCACAGAAGAAGAAAAAGAAAAAGGTACCATTTTCCCTATTGTTTTTTTGAAAAACATACAGAGAGATTTCGCTGATTACTTCGAAGTTTTTATCGAACTGAATTCATTCTAAATGTTGAAAACAAGGGATGGATTTCAGCTATAGGCAATATTTGATCCAGGAAAGAAGAACGAAATTCGCACCGCAGCTTGAAACAGCATCTTAGAACAGGTAAAACTGCAAAGTTTGGTTGGTGAATATTGTAAAATGTGGACAATATAGTCTGCATGTAAAAAGGTTAACAAATTTTGTTACTACCAATATTTGTATTACATGCGGAAAAAATAACCACTTTCAGCACAGCTGAAAGAAAGCTATTTTTACGCAACCCGTATACAATCATTGTACAAAATTTGCGAACTTTGCAGGACTATATTTTTCGCATTTTCGATACTTCGGAACGAAACTTCGTAGTTTTATACACTAATTCTAAGTTTCTATTTCTATCTACGGTGTTGCATTTTGGTGATTCTTTTATTATCTGCAGTGCTGCTTTCATTAGCTGTCGTGTAACGAAGCTTTGGCATGTCTATAAAGTTAACGTTTTTACTTGCACTGTGTGTGCATTTAATTGCTGCGCATATAACCGTTTGAGATCATCGAAGACCGCTATTGCATGGCTTCGCTAGGGAAGTATTGCATGGCATCGCATTCTTTCTGTTCCAATTGGACCAAATCTGACCACCTTGACAACCATATGTTCGAGGGCAAGAATCAAACGCTCAAATAATTGTTAATTCTTGACAAAAATTTACGCCTAGATTTGCTTACATACGTTTTGTTTTCTGCCTTGTGGGCATGTTGAGAAAGTAAAAGAAATTTATGCAAACAACGTCCATGAAGAATACACATTTACTACTAACATTGCACTCCACGGAAATTACCTTGCACAACGTTGCCAAGATGTTTTTAAGAACTGCCTATTCAGCAGGGATATCTTCAATAATATTAAGGGTGGGGAAGAGGTTCAAGTTTGGGAGAGTAAGTGTCTAAGATCTCTTGAACGGACTTCTTTGCTCGTGGGAAAATTTTTGTTTTTTTAAGTGCCATTTATCATTGACTTTTTGGGCATGACAACATTTTTTCAAACGTGAAAAGAAGCAATGAATACTAAGTTCGCCTACTAAGTTTTTTTTCGGGATTCACAAGATGTCATTTTAAGGAATTCTGTCGTGTTTCTTCAAGGCGACGGGGAAAACAGCCGAAGGCACAAAGGAGGAAAAAGATACAACTAAATAATGGCGTTGGATAGCAAGTCATGGGGACACCAGGCTTTCTCTTTGTAGTGCAAATAATATGCAATAAAGTGTACATAAAAATGTGACGAATGCTTCCTAACATTCATTATCTTATAGCCGGTAAATGAACGTCGTTTTCACTAGAAATTTCTGCAATTTATTGCACACGTGCGAGTCCGCAAACAACGGTGTGTTCATTGACAAAGAAGTTGTGGTTATTAATATATTATATTGTTTTCTCATTTTAGAGGATTTTGAATCTATATTAGTCATGAGACTAATATTCTACAAATACTGTTATCGAAAAGAATAAATTGTCCGCCATCTTGGAATAATAGGTCGTATACCAGACTGAAGCTATTAAAAAAATTAAGTTTATAAAATTACAAGTGAATATTTAAAACAACTGCCATTCGGCGCAAAATACCGACAAATTATACGCAATAATTTTTGACGGATTTTTGTAAATATTTCTGCCTCAACTCGAGACCTAAAATTTCGGTTACCCTGAGTCATCGTTCCAGTTATGGTAGTCTTAGTAGAGGTCACTGGTACGTCACAACTGGTCACAACCAGAATTAGAACAGATTTTTGTCTCAACAAATAATTCGCAGTTAAAACTATATACTTTACACGCTCATCAAAGTATCAGGCTGATCCATATCGTTTAAAACATCAATTAACCAATATTTGGCCAGTAATGAATCCAATGAATCATTTTCTTCGGTCTATACACTTGTTGGGACGTGCAAAACTTCCGTTGATGAGAGAAAATATTTATCCAAGATGGCGGACACCGATTTTACTTCAGTGAAATATTTCAAAGAACAAGGAACAGTTATATAATGGGTAAAGGCAATTAATATATAGTTTCAAGCAAGATATAATTAATTGTATATTGCTCTTTTGGTCTATTAACCACTTATTTAGACTCCAAATTCAAATTTGAAACACAAATTTATCATTTATGCATGAAGATTTTGCATGAAGAACTTACATGTTCAAATTCGAACGTGCTATTAATGATACAAAACACCCATCAGATTACGTCATTCCTAACTGCTAAACAGTTTACAAAATTCCGAATTTTGTTGCAATTAGCTATATCCATTCTACGAGGACACACCGCATTTATACTGTCATGGATCTCAAAGTAAATTATGAGGTCTGCAAGTTTATAGATAAAACGTTCAGTGTTCGTACGAGTTTCTGTCCGAGCAAGTTGAAATATCCAACACCGAGGTTTTGACCTTTCTTTTGACCATGGTGTCATGCTTTGCTGTTTTCTTCAAACTTCAAACAACAGGAATTGTTACTATGAGTGAGTATTACAGCATATAATAACATCGTGTAATCAGCAGGTAGAAGTTTAGATTAAACGGAACGATAACAGGCGAAGTCAAGACGACAGCATGCAATTCGTCCATGATAACAAATATGGCGGCATGAGCTCATAGTCATATAACTATAATTCTTTGCGAATTCAAGTTGGTTGTGATAACATGTTCAATATTTTTCTTTGGTGTAAACTAACTGAGAATTCCCTACCTTTTGACGAAGTTTTGTTTCCGCAAGGTGTGGATTTATTTGATCTTTCTGTAGTACTGATGATATATAGACATTGGACATGTCACTATGTTTTCGCTTTCAGAGGGTGCATGGTTATTGACGAAAGTGCCTGGGGAAAAAGCTCGTCAAAAGGAAGCCAATGCTCACTAATTTCATGTGACATAACAGATTTTTAATTTTATATATTCACTGATTCAACGTAGCAAAAAGTTGTGTGTAAAAATAGACAAGTTGGCATCTTATATAATGGCGAATAGACGAAATCCAGGGGCCGGTTGTTCGAAAGGCGTTTGCCGGTTTGGCTTAAACGGTGGTTAAGTTCAAAGTAGAAAACAAAATGATCTATTTTACAACTGAGCTGAAATATTTCGATGTAAATAGTTGAATTTTCAATGGCGTACATATTTAATCCATAAGATGCAGGTTCAGTCATTATTCACAAGATCTATGAGAGTCCGTTCAAGCTAAGGCCGTTTAGCTTAAACGGTGGATAAGTTCAAAATAGAAAGCAAGTCTGCCGTTTCACTCAACAAGCGAACAAAATGTTTTTGACCTTAATACAAAGATACTGTTTAGAACTACATATTCAGTGGCATAATATTCTAGTTGACTCATTCAAGAGAGTTGTAAGAGTGTTATTTAATTTTGACTTATCCACCGTTTAGGCTAAACCAAGGGCCATAGTAATATTTTTTGGCTGCGGTTTGTTTACGAGTGTAACTTGTGTAAAATTTAGGCGGGTCTTCAACGCTGATCTTCTGAGTTCTGGTTTAAAAAAAGAATCATCAAGCATTTGAATTTTAGCCAAAGCGCAGTGGTTGTCAACAAAATTAAATAAATTCACCTACCCCCTAGACAGGGGTGGAGTGTCATGCGAAATATGCCGGAATAATGGTTCGATTAGGGTTTAATTAAAAGGCCTTTAAGGCCCGACCTTCTAGAATTTATTGTCAAAACTATTCAAAATACGGTTTACTATGGCGCTTGAAAACCTCTTAGTCTTTATGGGTCATCTAAGGCAAGAAATTATATATTTCAAATAGCACTGTATACGAAATATAGAAAAATATAAGTCGATACTTTTTAATTAGATACTATTTGTAGGTTGTAAATTATACATGTGATTTGAGTTAGTTCGATTATGGTTCGATCAATCAATGCCTAGATATATCTCCAGAAACTTTAATTTCCCAGATTTTAAGAGCGTAGAACCATGCTTTTCGTATGGTTCTGGGGCCGGTTGTATCAAGCCAAACAGCTTAAACGGTGGATAAGTTTAAAATAGAAAGCAAGTTTGCCGTTAAATTCAACAAGCGAATTAAATGTTTTTTACCTTAATACAAAGATACTGTTTACAACTACATATTCAGTGGCATAATATTCAAGTTGACTCATCCAGGAGAGTTGTAAGAGTGTTATTTGATTTTGACTTATCCATCGTTTAAGCTAAATGGGCTTGATGCAACCAGCCCCCTGGTAAGTCCAATATACATATGAATTTGCTTTACCTAATGGCATCCATGGGCGCGTGTACAATAACAATGTGCCTAAAAAAATTTTAGGAATTTTTTTGTTTTCCCACGGTGGACTAAAAGTCTTTGTGTGTGTGCTAAGGCTGAATCACCAAAACGTGTTTACTTGCATCTGTCACAATTGCGAATGTCATTGCTATATAATATTGGACAGATGCGTGGGTAATATGATCTGATGGAAACGTTCCGGACAGCGAATTCTTATATATATTCATAGGTGTTAATTTGTAAACCGAATGAATAAACTATGTCTATATGTATAATAATAGTTTGGTAATAAGCTGTTCTATGCCAAGTTCGGACTTACTTTACTCTTTAGTCCAAAACAACGTCAATGCATGTATTTCTAGAACAGTTAACACGAAACAACTTTCAACATCAACTCGCAACGCAACAATGTTTTGAAACTAAAGGTTTACGCGTCGAATATGATATACATGAGCTCGTTTGTAACACAGAAATTGTTTTGGAAACAAGTTGAAAGTTTATGAACTGTTTTTATTCCACACAACATTGTTGTTTAGATTTTTGCTTATATTATTGCGTTGCGAGTTGATGTTGAAAGTTGTTTCGTGTAACATTACCTTAAACTGACAAGTACCGCGATGAATACTGATTCTGCCTAATTTTTCGTTGCGAAATGCCTTGTTTAATACTTCGCCTGTTAGGCTGTTCCGACCAGATAAAAAGTCATAAAAAACCCGAACCGATTGAGTAGATTTTGGCATTGTACTATTCTTTATTGACTGGAGTCAGGTTTATGTTTGTCAGGTTTGTGTTTTCTCGACATGGCATACAGCCTAAAGGAAATGTTATCTTGTACCAGACTAGGTAGACGGCCATTAGGAAGACTACCGTTCTGGTAATAATGTTGTACAACCCTCTGAAAATATTGATTTAATAAGTTTTTTGATAATAAACTAGGTATTTAGCGGACGGGAGGTGAAAAATCTGAACGAGTTTAGCTTTCCCCCCGACACCCGACGATAAAAATGAGCCTAAGAATTTCCGTTAATTTGAAATGTGACCTTCAATGCTGTTTAAACATGAATTCGTGACGTAAGTGCGTTTCAAGCCCATTTAGCTACTTCCTTTGAAAACAATCTCCCGTAGGATACCATTTAACATCTTGAAGGTCAAACACGTATTCCTAATACAGAAAAGACTTTCTTTTTCCTCACAGGAAGTAGAAGCCTTTTTTTAAGGCGTTTTTTTACCACGTAGTAAATACGTCCATTTTTGGCTTCACTATGATTTTTGGTAACATTAATGTGTCTTTGTGTTCCAAAGTATACATATATTATTGGAAAAAATGTATTCCTAAAACATTATATCTTCAACTTCAAAGGGCCGAAGATGGAAATTTGGAAATTAAGCAATTAGTGTAAAAATAGTTTAAAAAAAACGTTGCCAAACAAAATTTCAACAAATGCAAAACAAAACATAACAATTAAATCACGAGTTAATCTGATGATTGTAGCTACATATAGAAATATCACGATTAGATTTATCTAATCTGATTTATATTTTCTTATCAACTTGTTTTGTGAAAATACGCGAAAGAAAAGAGCGTACTCGCAGCAAAATCTATTTCGGCTCTTAAGAAAAATAGGGTGTAATTGTGTCAATACATCGTTCCTTTCGCGCTCAAAATCTGGACTTTACAATGCGATTTAATAAAATATTAACTAAAACCGTCGTCGAATCATAGCTGTATATGTTGTATGATAAGGATTTACCTGACACTAAAGTTTTCTCTTCATCGATCATAAATCCAAGTTGGGTTTAATATCATGGATTTCCCGGTTTATAGGATTAGACGTGGAATTACCATCCATACAGTGCTATGTCACACATGTAAGAACGCTAGAATAAGTTTGCGGCTGTGCGGTAAAGATGAAGGGAAATTATTTCGTGCATCTAACACACGGTTCTTATCAAGGCTTATTTCGTATGCCGCGTCTCATACACACGTACACGCACATAAATGTTACAATCCATTTCAACGATACATGATAGCCATTGTGTTTTACTATATATAATCTACAAAGATTTAAGCCATTGCGTGCATGTACATAAATCGCGACAGCTGTAATTTGCTTTTAACCAGAGAGAAAGCTCTCGTGATTGTATGAGAAGGTGTAGTGCAATATCACACCGCGAGACGGAATAATTAATTGACTACGTTTTTATTACATAATTCTCCATAAATCATATGATATCTCTTGTAACGCAACTTCAAATATATACATCAATATACAAGTACAAGCTATGGGTTTCCCGTTTTCCAACGGAACTAACTATGAAGACTACGACTGAACTTGACCTGAATGCTTCGTCTGAGCTGTGTCATGACACTGTAGCAAAACGTTTTGTCTTATTCAAGGGCAGTTTCCCAGGATTGTTCAAATACAAACTCTATATCTTATTAAACTTTCGTTATTAAAGTGATGTGTCTTGTGAATTTCAGGCACGTGTGCTTCTGAAGTTTCCGGCAAGATTCTTAAGCTCAAGATGATGCTACGTCATTAAAAGGCCAGTAAGATTTCGTATGTTTTTTTCTAAGATAATGTTCGCCAACCATAAGGTTGTCATGCTTCGATCGCGTTAAGATCAGTTGCTCATTGAATGGATCAAATAAGTAGGTCTTCGTGGGCGCCTCGCGTGTTTGTTGGCATGCCTCGCGGGATTGCACGCAAAGGGTTAATTTACCTTCGTACACTTTGTGTTCCATTGTAAGGCCAGCACTTGTCTCGCGCGGTAAAACTTTGGCGAACTGAATTCGAGTATTGCTCGTATCTTTCGGAGTAACATTCAGTGTTACATTATTATAGTCCCATTGTCCTTGTATGACGTCACCAATACTCGCGTGTATGTCACGAATTTCGTGATCCTTTTCGAAAAGCTTCGATTTTGCTTCGGTCAGCTCGTTGCGCAGTCGGGATGCGACAGCGAAACTCGAGTTTAGGATAAAACTCGAAGGAATTACATTTCTTTCCGACACCATTTTTAGCGTCTCCTCGTGGAGTTTAAACGCGTCAATAACATCAAGCGCTTTTGATTTCATTTCCTCTGAGAGTTTCGTAGTTGAAAACAATTCTTCGACGATTAACAGCAGCGAGTCGTGTTGTTGTCGATATGACTTCGGAGTCGCCCGGACTATACTGTCGAACTCCTCTGGGGTGATGTGTTTTTGTTTAATCCGTTCCCAAAGATAGCGGTCTATTGTGTCACAAATCGAAGCAAGGGGTTCAATACTATTATTCACACTATGTTCAACGATGCTGAGGATATCATCGGTCGGCATGGTAACCAATATTTCGCGCGGTATTTTGCTAAGGTTCTTGCTAACTGCCATCAACAAAATTCCCTCGCACTTACACCTTAACTGCACCGCTAGTCTGTACAACAAACACAACAGTTCGATGTCCATGATTTTGCTCAGTTCTGTAGACTCGGGCAGTTCCAACAGTATTGCGTCAAAAATGTCGCCAAAATCCTCAATCGAAATATTGTGTATGCCCGCTTCTCGCTGGGAGGCTTTTTGCGATAAGTACTCGTCTATACAGGCTCTGTGCTGTTTGGACAACTTCGCAATGTATTGTCCTGCGAGTGTGCTGATTTTCTGGACGCCTATGGAAGCATCTCTTGCGCCAATGAGAAAACCGATGAACCATTCAACTGGAAGTCCAAGCAACACCTCAGAGACATCCACTGACGTGCTTCGTTTCTTCATCAGCGAGAAAATCGCGTCGAAACACATCGGAAGTACATTGGTTTGATCGGCAATCGCGCCCAGTTGACAGGCGGATGAGAGAATTTCGATGACGGAGCTCGGCTGAGAGCGTAACATCTTGGTCAGAGCCTTCGTTGTCTCGCCTGCCAAGTTCCCGCCCGAAGTCATCTGAAGAAACTCCGCAGCGCATCGCAACTCGACCACGTTGCTTGGGGTTATATCGATCTCCACGTCGTAGCAGTAATCTGCCACCAGAGCGAACGTCGCTGCTCCCCCCGGGAATTCTCGTAGTGTGACCCGATTCTCGTCCAGCATCGCACAGCGGCATAGCGCTCGGAAAAATTCCGAGTTCAGATACAATGGGAATTTGTGTAAATAAAATTGAACCTTCTCGACTATCACGCAAATATCCGAGAACTCGCCGTTCGTACGAAACTCACGCAGTTCATCCGCTCTCGTCAGCTTCATTTTAAATTTTCTAAAATATCCGTATTTGATATTTTTAACGATTGAATATTTGTCGAGTTTCAACTTAACGAGCGTTAAACTTCCTCAAATTCGTGATCTTTGTTCTTTAGTATTTGTTTATCATTTTAAAAGCAAACACGAAATGTCATTTACCTCGAAACAGCTTCCGTCCTTTGATATTTTCCTGTAGTGTTGCCTTGTCTACGTTTAAAACTCGACTCAAGTCGTTTCAACACGCAGCGAGTCTTTGATCTCTCGATATTTGCATAAAATTTACAATGAAACAACGAATGATCGATAGAATATCCCGGCAATATTGCCGCCAACGATTTTATTGTGTCGATCTTCGATAGCCTTCTGCCAGGAAGCTTGAAATATTGCCTCTTATAGTCTTAATATAAGTTCCCTTCGACGAACAACTTTTTGTGATCTCCTAGGTACAGCACACAAACGCGAAATATGACTACAAGATAAACAAAAATTGACAGGTGTTTTAGGTTGGAAGGTGTTAAATTATTCATGCATAATATCCGCGTCTCTCCCTATTAAATGACTTCCACTTATAAGGTCAGATTTGAATCATCTGGTGGGCGTACTATTATCTATATTTACGTGTAAAGGAAGTATGCGTCCCGATATCTCAAGTATTTTTTGAACAAAAAACTCTTCTGTGTATATCGTATTCAAAGGCTGGCGGGAACTTAATACATGGAAATGTTGCTGCCTAATGACGTAAAGGTTGAAATATCACTTTCAGATTCAGAACAGACACTGAAATTTAAAATATCTAAGATGCGCTTGAAGAATATTAAAGCATGAAAAAAACATGAATTAGAATTTAGAATAAACCATATATACAGTCACCATTTGCCACATGCCGTCTAAAAAAGTTGATTATTATCAAGATGTCTTCATTATATTTTTGGACAGATATCATTGTTGTTATTCTTCAAAGTTTCCTTCAAAACAAATAGCAAAGGTTGTGCTTAAATACTTGCATGAACATATATATTAGTTCATTTGATTGATTTATTTTATTTATCATGTTTTGCCAGATATACACACAAACTTACAGTACAATAATAAGCACAAATACAATTACATGGCAGGGTATACGCTACAGCTAATTACAGCGGCCCTTGGTAATAATACGACACAGAAGACAAAACGAAAACGCATTTACAGGACTAATTGTTGCACGAAGTCGATCGAGATAGGTTACGAGTCACGTTACAAGACAAACATATAGACTTCCACGTTCTACCGGAATAAAGAAGAACCGCTTGTTTCGGATGCAGTAAATATTCCCCAATTCTTTAACTAGTAAAGTATTCTTCAGCTGTTATATCTGAGAACTTATTTTTATACTGCATGGTTTTGGGTCAAAACGAAGGAACTATATATATTAATTCTTAAAATATTTACAGTATCTTAATACGACGTACAGTTATCCCTATAATATGCATAAATGGATTTATCACGGTATATTAACTTCCCTCTTATCATGTATTATAAATAGCAAGAGAATTTGTAAATATTTGCGAAGACGCGCTTTGTCCATGAATCTTATAGCTACCTACAGCGTTTCCAATATTATCGTCTAATTTTTAGCCAGCTTAGCCAAACTAGCAACTGTCATGAGTTCATTACTTGAATTCGCTGTTTGACTTTGTAATTCGCTATACGACTAGACATGTTGGTGCCTGACTTAAAAAAACCACACCACTTTTTTTGTCATATGAATAAACACTGATTTTTTTTTAGTAATCAACTAAGGATTTATATTTCCTAGACATTAAACTGACTGGTTGTATAGTATACAAGTATACAAACTTTGCCTTGATTTTTAAACAGTAATTTCTTTGGTCTTTCCATGCAGGTACGATTCAGCTAAAGAACTATAAATTGATTTGTAATTTTTAGTCACGGGTGGGTTTTGTGTTGAGAACTAGCGATATGCGGAAGTGTCCGTTATTTATAACCTATATACAGCACTTACTCTCTAAACCAACCTAAATACTAAATAGAAAGCTATATGTATGTAAATGGGAGAAATATAAGGGCAATGCCAATGATCTTTTTTGATAGCGTATTTGATTTTAAACTAAGGCTTGCAAATATATGAAAACGAGAATATTTTGTATTAATTTAGGCAGCAAATGCACATTGTAACAATAGTTTTAGATGATTATAGCCTATTTTGACGGAAGTACGTGACTTGTGATATAATAACATTGCATTCCTAAGTGACATTTCAATAATGGTACGTTAAAAATAGCAATCATGCGGAGTTTTTTAAATCTCAATAGGACAGCCAAGTATCTATAGTCGATGTCATATCTTATTAAGCTGCATGTGCTTGGAGTTAGATCATGATACCACCTCACCAGATATCGCCTCGCGTGAATGAATTCACCTAGAATCTAGTGGAAAACAAGCTTAAACGATATGACAATCGCGTAAAAACGCTTCAAATCACCAGATATTTCAAGCCTGCCTTCCTATTTTTACTTTCCACAACAGCTCTCACGTCTCAGAAATTTTCAGGAAGGGACATGCATGATGGAAATATAGCATTCAACGCTGTCGCATAGGGAAGACATTGTCGTTTAGTAGACGTTTGCTTCGCCTAACATATTTCTTTGTTTTAAAATAGTAGCACCGCGTCATAGCTAGCACGTCTATGCTTGCGTAATCGTAAACTCCCAACCTGTTTTAAGTGAAACAGCTAGCGGAAACGCGAAAATCCGTTGTTTTAGGTCGTTTTACTTGTTCCTGTGATGATCTTAAATGCCGCCTAATTTACGCCCGCGCGGCGCAATGATTCAGTTTAATATTTTATTACGAAGACAAGGCGAGAGCATGCAATTAATTTAGTTGTATCACTATAGGGAAACTCTAGTCCAAACCCCCTTTTTTTACGCTTCACATCTCAATCAATCTGAATTTGTTCGATAGAATAATATATTCGCTCTGTAAGAAAATTTGTAAGATAACACATTCGCTGTTTTGTTTATCGAGTTTAATATTCCATCGCGAGAGCGATTGAATTATTCTCACGTCTTGTTCAAACTCTTTACAACGTCTCATTTCACATTCAATCTTATTTCGTTTCACCAAAGCTAATCTAAGTTTTCGCCCTTCTGTTCATTTAAGTTTTAAAACTTCTATCACGAGACTATAGGATTATATATTAACTAACTTCTGTTTCAAACCTCTCTTATTGTGATGTCACCCCATTTGAACGAAAGCCAAACATCTAGGGCTGTTATAGTTCCTCTTATTAGACGATAGTGCAATCGAGCTACTTATAATTTGATGAAACTCTCGGAGACTTTCTCCTTTCATGAATTAATTGCATTCTCATTAAACCGCGAGACCAAACTATAAAAGGTAATATTTTCACTCTTTAGTACTGGGTTTAATATTCCACATCACGAGAATCTCTTGAGAGCTATTACATAACACATAAATTTTCTCTTTCTTAAAATATCAATATGTCAATAATCTCTTTGTTTTTAACTGAGGCAAAACTAATTAAGATCATATCTGTTGCGAGACTAAAGTGCAATTGAATTGTTGAATGTTTTTATTTCTTCTCTTAGCAAACTAGTATATTTTCTATTAAATTCATATAATATGTTAGTTCTAACTGCAAATTTACGATATCTAAACGGGAATAAGCAGAAATTTGGTTCCAGTACCGCTGACAGATGCGGTTTTTGCATTTTTTATACTTCCATCTTTATTGACCCCTAAATACCAGTCGTTTGAACTTTGTGGACACTTCTCCGACCGAAATCTCGTGTTACCATTCTTCGGTTGGTATATTAAAACTGTTTCCAGGTTCTGTTCATTTGTCTAAAAAAGTGGAAACGATTTAAGATCTTCAGCGTTATTTTAGCTACTATGTTCACAGCAAGAATTTAGCAACAAAACAACTCTTTTAATCTCTTATTATCGTGTATATAATATAACTTCATAATGATTACTTCACAACTTTATTGTGTTCAGTTAAGAACCATCCTAAATGAAATGGATTGGAAGTCCTGTATTTCCGTGAGCAGCTATGTCCGAAAGATGCTAAAGATTTTCCTGAACACACGTGATTCGCTAACGCAACGTGAATTTTTCCTTTTCAGAAGCAAATCAATTCAATTCTGAAAGAGCATTTTGAGAGCTATGGGTACCAGACGAGTAAAAATGTACAATTACTAGAAATATCATCATAACGTTGTCAAAATTGGCGGCTTTTGAAAACTGAAAATTTCATAAAAATCGCGTCGCGTTGCCAGATCGCGTCCAGTTTGTGTCGGCCTTGAACCTTGTAAACGGATAAATTTATTATAATGTGTTTTAGTTCTTCGTTTTCCTATAGTCATTTCCAAATATGAAAAATTCTTTTCATGCATGTGTTGAAGAAAAAACTTTTGCATACAATCATTTTCAAAAGTAGTTGGGACACCTACTATTTTTAGCTAAAATCTACTATATAGGATGATTTCCAAACATCCCCCCCCCCTCCCCCCAATCAATGTTGGTTTTCAAATCCAAACACGTTTCGGAACAAAATGTCCGTCTATTTGGGACACAACATTGAAAAGGGGGCGCGGGGGATTTGGGTTTGTCTTATAAATCGGTAATTTGGCTACCTGTCCCAACTCTTTTGAAAATGATTGTAGTTCAGTGTCCAATCCATTTCATTTAAGGTGGCTCTAAGTTGAAAACAATGAAGTTGTGACGTAATTATTAAAGGTCTATTTCAACCATACCGTCGAGTAGACGATACCAGTCTTGCATGAGATGGCTATGAACTTGTGATGTTTCTCATTTTTCAACCTCACTCTGTACTTTCCTTTGTGTATACCATAGAGCATCATTTTGAATTTGGCTGTTGCAAATTACGATAAGATGAGATTAAAAATTACTCTTTTGGTAAAATGAATCATGCGTATATGATGGAGAAACAATATCGTCAGGGGCTGGTCGCCGAGGATATGACTCAATTCTGCATGATTGGTTGATTTTTGTACTCAGCTTTACATAGTTGTAGACTTGTTATTGCAATACATGTAATTGCATAGTTTTTCTGTCAATTGGGGCACCGTTAATGGTTTGAGCTCTCACTGTAATTGTTCGTTTGTTTTCATGAACACTTTGTGACCGGAACTAGCCAAACCCCTTTTTGGTCTGGATCCCGGGTAATTACCCTGCCCCCCCCCCTCACCCTCTAGAATATCTTTCACATAAACAATCTACATACTTTCTGCATTTCCTAATGTCGCATAGACTTGGCCATTGGTTTTTATAGCCAAGCTTCCACGAGGGTTGTAGATTTTATACGTTCTGACGTTGGTTGGAAAATCGTCGATTTCCGACCTGTACTGCCAGGGTTTCAGACCGATTTTAGACCTGTACTGCCAGGGTTTATACTCGGAGTTTATGTCGCTTGTGTCGCTATGGAAATCTGACGTGTACTCTGACGCGTCCAATGTTACGTCATCGTTCGGACGTTTTTCATTCAAAAACAACGGCTTCCTTATGGGTCTTCTTTGAACTTCGTCTTGAGATAAGCTTGCTGGAATTAGTGGTAGCAGTGATGCCAATATGAATAAACACTGAAAAACATTAATTTATTTCATTCCCGTCATAAATTTTATTTACCCGACAGTCCTTTGAATATATAAATGTTTATTTTGAAATCCACCATTTTTGGATTATAATGGGCCTTCCCTATAATAACAGTTTCGACGAACGTCCATTTTGTATAGAGCTCAGTGGTGCGCATGTCGCTTGTTGCCAATTCTCGCACGAGAAATATTTAATTTAGAGATCAGTGCGCTATATTCGAACAGCCTGTTAACAGCTTACATTGTTGGGAAAGACTAGCGCCGCCCAAAAACTTAACTGCTATTAAAATATAATGAATCTTTACCTTTTACAACGAAGACACATTCAATTAAGCAGCATTGTTAGTTTTATCAACATGCTATTTTGAAATTCGAAACACCAAAATGGTTTTGAGAATGCTGACTTAGTAAATATAGAATTACAGTCTTAATATAGAATTATAGTCTGCATAATTTCACATTAATTACACAATTTTAGATATGCATATTCGAATCAGTCGCATTCACGTTCAGTAAAATTGTGTAATGTAAAATTATACGGAATTCTTTCGGATTAACTTTAACTTTTCGGATTAACTTTAATCCTATATTTACTGATTTCATAACTAATCCAAATATCCCTTTTTATGCCGATTGTGTAAAAGCAATTTAACGACTTCTTTGTTTGAAACAGTGAAGTTTGCAGGCGAATATCTACGACATGTAATAAATAAGCTCCCGGCACGCATTTCCTAATAAGTTACGAACCATATTAATCATGGCGAATATATTTATTGTTTTCAGTCAACCGTGTTTGTTACAGTATGTGATAAAAAGTTTCTATTATGTTCCGTTTCAATTGAAATAGTAAATATATAATCGCAAGACAAATTGGGTTAAACCAAGCTATTATTTTGACAATGCTTTCAGTTAAGTTTTCGAAAAGAGCGTAAAAATATTACTGGACTCACCTTAAATTTGTACATGTTTCAAACAATTGCCTAAAACTTCATTCGATCTCTCGTCTCGCGTCTGACAAAAACAAGACAAAAGTCAGCAGCTGATATGAGATCGTATCCATGCATGCAGCAATCGATTAGAGAGTTTTATTTGCGTTTCGACAAGTGCATTCGTTATTGATTATCGCAAAAACATATGTTTTAAAATTGACTCTCAACGTTCGGCGTTTTTATTGGCTGCCTACGGGCGGCGTAGAAACGTTGCTATCCAGCTTGGATTAACGAGAAGCCACGATTGGCGCTTTTCAGAATTTTAGAGCCGGTTGTACAAAACGCCGTCAAGCACATTATGGATTGTCACATCATTGCTACCTGTCACTGACAAACTACATAACTAGTTAAAAATCGCCTACTTTTTTACGCGAGAATTTGTGTGCGAGAGATTTGCATCACGCATTTCAAAGTAGGAAGCCTTTTTGAGAAATATGTCTTACTGAAAAAGTCAATCGAGATGAGATCTCTTTCAAGTAGCAAAATACTTCCGTTCTAACATGGCTTGGAACAAGCTAGTTTTAATATGACCTTGGATAGTTCAGTCTACTGTTTTGAAGCCTCATGCATAATCTACAAAATTAACGGTTCAATTTCACGATAAATATATTGCTTTGGTGAACTTACCAAACATGAAAAATGGCTGTTCCTACGAGTTTTGAAGATACGCCTTACTTTAAACACTCCAAACGTACGATAACGTACGATATACTGATATAGTCACTGCACGTTACTGAGCGGTTCAGGTAGATCTATAGCTACAGATTGCGTCTGACAGCGACTTATAAAATCCTAGAAGCCGAAAACTAATATAGTTCGTGGCGTAGGCTGTAAAGCACTCAGCTCATCAGAGTTCAGCATGCACAAATTTGGCCCGTTTTACGATTTGCCCCGTTTAACTAGTGGGCGTAATGATATCAGTCAAATAACTTGAAAACGATTTGATTTTGGCCCAAAGTCAAGCAAAATTAATATACCTCCTTTATATTATATGTACGCATGTATTTTTACTAAACCTTAACATGCATATACTTTGGAAATGTGTGAATCGAGTATCTGTCCATGGAAGTAGCAAGTTCATTACCTCTATATACATTGATGGCAAAACAAGATTGGTAAATATATTCAGTAGCCTTTTCAACTCACGAAACCGTTATTAAATAATTTTCTTATATAGCCGTTTATCGGGAATTTTGAGCCAATTTGAGCGGTTGAGCCAAAGCGAAACTGATTTGCTAAAATTCATAGTCCATGTTGTAACTGTTGTAAAGTCCACACTTAAAGTGTCTAGCCTGCTGCGGTTTTGATTGTCATTTCTACTATCTACCTTTCCTATAGTCAACAATTTTAACTAAACTATCGAGCAAATTTACGATTTACTGACAAAGTTTTCTCGCAGCCAGCCTGATCGTTAAGTTTGAGAAGGATCATTATGTTTAATCGATTTTAGCTTACCACACACGTCGTCGGGAATGAGATCTAGATGGAGAAAGAAAGATTCATTTTCTGATGAAATAATTTCTCCAAGTCGTTGGCCCATAGCCCATGTCTTCAAACAATTTCAATCGCGAGTGTTTAATGACAGGTCCTGAGAACAGCGAATATCTCGAACGATCTATAGACGTACAGATGCAATATTCCAAATCTTGCATTATCGTTTATCTGAATGAATATGCTTTAGATCCGAAATCAACGTTCAAAATTGCAAATATATCGTTACAGCTGAAAATCACTCGTGCATATGATAAAATCTTGTGACAAGACTTTCCCAGACTAATAATTTTCATCTTGTGGTTGCATATGAGTAATTCTACTGAAGATTTTAGCCAACAGCACTATAAATATAGTATCAGGCATCAGCGTTTTGTATTAAAAGCCGGCAACAAACATGCATGAATGTGAATATCTTTAAGATGGGGCGAATGTAGAGGCGTGTAGATAATAGATAGTCTGAACTAATAAAACAGCTACAACGCACGTCCAACGTCCAACCTCTTCCTAATTTTCCTTTCATTAATTGATGTTATCTTGTTAAACTCTAATTATCTTTTACTGCCGCTCATTAACCAGCCATTAGTATGACAAACAGACACCCTGGGACAATAGGCGTCTAAGTGATGAACATCTTGACTCCTATAATACTGCAATCTGTCATGATTGCCTAAGTGGGACGCTTTGAAGTGCAAACGCCTTAATTTCTATTTTCGAGTATATATGGCAATGATATTATGCCTGTGTGAAAAACGAAGAAATTCTAGCTATTCCCGAGTCATTTTTGTAGAATTTAAAGTATGAGCTAAAGGGTTTGCAATGCAAACACTGTCAAGAATTTGCAATGGTTTGCAATGCAAACACTGCCATTGTATAGACTAAGGATTGAGTGTTAGAAAGTGCCGCCTTTATAAGAATTGAAGTGTTAGTGCTTTCTCGTTGGAATTATATGCAAAAAAAAGACTATTAACCACTACATGTTTAACCCATAATTATCAATATAAATTAACAGAACAGAATTTTTAGTGAAAAAATTCGCGCAAGTTTTGACCAGATTTGAATAGGGATTATTAGATTTATTGCACGAGATTTTACAGGTGCGCTCAAAAGTTATTGGACACACAGTTTTTTGATTATTATTTTGTCTGGTGGATTTGGTCGGATAATAACAACTTATTTTAACACAGAATTTGAAATAAAATATTTTAGTATTCAAAAGAGCACTCGTGCGTGCCAGCGAGCGCGATAGATTTAAAACAGCTCCCCAGCACAGACGAGACCTAATAGCAGACGGCACACGAGTGTCTGTATCAACAATAAAGAGACGTTTGAAAGAAGGTAATATGAATGGACGAGTACCAAGAAAGAAACCATTGATAAGTTAAGTCAATGTGCTGGCCCGTCTAAAATATGCGTTAGCGAAGAGACATTGGACAGCTGATCAGTGGTTAAAAGTGATGTGGTCTGACGAAAGTACATTTAATCTTTTTCCCAATTGTGGTAAAGTGTATGTGCGGCGGCGACCTGGCAAAAAGTTCCAACGCAAATGTCTTAAACCCACTGTCAAACACGGAGGTGGAGGTATCATGGTTTGGGGCTGTGTTAGCGGGGCTGGTATGGGCAAAATAAAAAGGTTGGAAGGAAAAGTAGATGCTGAAGACTATTATCGCATACTACGTCACGAAATGGCGCCCACTATGAAACTCCAAGGTGGCCGGCAGTCTTTCGTTTTTATGCAAGACAATGCCTCCATGCATACAGCTAAGAAGAATCTAATGTTCCTTGAGCGAAATAAACTGCCACCCAATCCATTGGAGAATATTTGGTGGGCAATAGAACCTCTTCCTTCTAATGCAAATGATTTGTTCGAGAAAATTCAGCAAATTTGGAATAACTATCCCAACGATAAAACTGATTAGATACATAGAATCAATGCCCAGTCGTATAGAGGCAGTTATTCAGGCCAAAGGATGTCATACCAAGTACTGATTTGGCGTGAAAAAGGTTGTTGTGTGATGTGTGATGTGCTACTGATAATTGTGCAATTTGCATAAATGACAAGGCTGTATAGTATGTAGCTCGTAAATGTTGTATTAAAGCATAAACTTTTGAATACTAAAATATTTTATTTAAAATTCTGTGCTAAAATAAGTTGTTATTATCCGACCAAATCCTCGCCAGACAAAAAAAAATCAAAAAACTGTGTGTCCAATAACTTTTGAGCGCACCTGTATAAGATATGCTATCTCTTTTTAGGAACTAAACGTAGCTTATTTTAGGCCAAGGTATAACATTGACTACACATACACATGTATGTGACTCAATGTTCATCATTTATATATATTTATATATGGATAGAATTTCCATCTGCTTTTTGTAATAGAGTTAATACCAAAGATGATTGGAATCGCAAACTTTCGCTGGAAATTGCTGGGAAATTAGAAATTGTCTTGAATAATTCGAACTGTTTATCGACACAAGGGCAAGTTGAAGCAACAATTCAAACTTCCGGTTAGAATCACAGTTATTATTAGGGACAGAAATTTAGTTGCTGATACGAGTGAGGGCCAATATTCGCCAAGATTTGTATAGTTTCATATTACGCCAAAAATTACTCTACCAGGTCTGCATGGGTCTGCTGGCAACAATTTTCTCTTGCAATATGCGCATGTCCTGTATCAATCGATAGCGCTTGCTCTTTTAAATTAGCATATCTTCAATCCAACTAGAAAGCGTAGAGATTTTTTTCACCGTTAGCTTATCGCGATTCGATATGCAGGGGTTTTACGAAATCATTAAGAAGAAACGTGACTTCTATCTAGCTACAAGCTTTAAACATCTTGTTTGTACATATAAATCATTAAACACGAGATAAACGATTAACCCACGCATAATTTTTACAATACCATCCCCCGCAGTCGGGTAGATGTAAAGAGCATGGCTAATGCCGATTTTGAATAAGTATATACGTGTAAAAACGTCAGCATTCGGAAACAATCGCCACATCAGTGAATCAGCATGGCCAGAGATACGGCGTCAGCACACGTTTACATACGTCAGAATGACAATTGGGTATACGGCTGTGAATTTATTACAGACAAGTATTCACCATTGAACTCTGTGTAAACTGGAGCTATAAATGGATCGGCTATTTCAAGCCAAATTAAGACTAGTGCCAGTCTATTTCTAATGTTTTTGTCGGCGCCGTCGACATTCGTGCCAACAAAAACAGTAAAATGGCGGTCAAATAACTAATCATTGCTCCATTCAAAATATAGTTTCACTGACGTTTACACTTTACACGATCCGTGATTTTACTAGGGAAGAGCCCAGATGAGAATGGATGAAGAGGAGTATTAGTATGCATATCTAGAACTTGTATCATCGACACCATATTGCATGCTTCAACCTCAATTGTAGAAAAATAAATTCAATTCCTGCAACTCAGCCGAAACAACTGAATATAGTTGAAAGTAATAGAATGACGACCATGTGAATTGATTACTTGCCATCTCAGCTTCGCAAAGTCATTAACCTTAACCTTCAATGAGCAGTAATCTTTCCAAGTGTATCTATATTCTGTCATACTCTGTGGTAAAAAGTCCTTAGCATGGCCGACACCAAGAAAGGGATATTGTCTGCGGTTCTCATCCAGATTTTTGAATTTCCCCACAATACACATTTATTTACAACTTCTAACGATTTCTTCTATTCCCTATTTTCATCGAAAACTTTAATGAGTAGATTTAGACTTGAACAATATAATTGTAATTCTAATATACATTCGTCGAAAGTGTACTGTATTGCATGGAATATAGTGAATTGTGAATTTAGTGAAGAGTTGAATAATATTCGCGCAACTTCAATATATCCATTGAGTCTAAGAACTTTCTTCATATTTTTCACCAATATATTTATTTATACAATGCACCGTCAAATTTTTCCATATATAGTTATAGAATTATCTCGTAAAGTAATGCGTTTTCCGTGCATGTTTGGGTTAGAATTATCTGATTGCGGTTCTGTTATTCTTTTCGTAAAAACCGATGTATATAGATTTGCCATCGGAATAGATCACACAATTTGTCGACCCAAAAACTCCTGCCACCAACCTCCAGTTATATATTATAAACTACTTTTCGAAGAGAAAGCAATTATTTATTTGTATAGATTAATATATACGGTATCATTTGGTTACCAACCAGCTATAATAAGGTTTATATATCCATAATATATATCTTTATAATAATCAATTCGCCATATGCGCCGTCAATAACTCGATCATTTCAAAATCATCTGTTATATCAACCGGGGTTTTTCCATCGTAGCTCAGGATTTCGGGATCAGCTCCGTGTTTCAACAGAAATCTTGTAATTTTTAAATTGTTAGAGTTCACACTGTAGTGTAGAGGCGTCCAGCCCGTGCAATCGTGAAGATTGACGTCTGCTCCGAGGTTGACCAACACACGAACACATTTCATGTTTCCATCGCGAACGAACTCGTGCAAAGCGGTTCCCCCGTGACTTGTCGTGAATGTGGTATTAACTATCCCGGTATCAACACTTGGCCGTTTCAAGAACTCCACAATTTCAGAACTGTCGCCATCTTTCACAACTTCTTTGAAGACCAGCGAATGTGGAAACTTAACTTTCCGTTCCGTATTCGACATCATATACGACTTCGTAAATTCCTATCCAGCTTTCAATGTCTATATCATCAACACAGTTCTTTTCCAAGTTAGTCTCGAGTAGCTATTTCAACTCGTAGCTACTGCATGAGTAATCTAAGCACAGAAAAGATAAAGTTTATGGCGTCCTTCTGCTTGCATTAATTGTTTAAACAGGCCAGCTAATTTATCGTAGTTTCCAAACTCGTCTAAAAACAAATTACTTATTGTCTCAACTAATCGTATATGTCAAATAGGATTACGTCAAACGAGGTCTAGCCAATCAACAGCCGGTGATTTTATTAAATATATCAGGTTTAAGATCCTCCTGTTTGGTTAATTTAACTTTACGATAACGTGCGTGCTCTGCCATACATATTGTGTACTCTTAATCTCATTTTCTACACGAAATTAAGAA